ATGGTTGGTAGTAATTAGAAATTTTGAAAGCCTAATGACTGGTGACAAATTTTATATCTAGCCTGTTAATAATTACTATTCAAATTTAATGTGAAAGGAATTGTTGATGAGATAGTTATTCTCAAAATATAAATTATCTTTAGGCAGAAGAATGCTTCTTTTTTATTTTGGAATCTTAATTGATATTTAATATAGTTAGGCTACAATCCACTTACATGAAAGTAAGCCCCATTTAACTTAATGGGGCTTACATCTATGTAGACATGCATAAGATTGCAGTGACAGTATGTTTTTCAAGCTTCTATGTTTTGTCTCTCTGTGTATATTTTTTGTATAAAAATAATTTTAAAATTCTCACTTCCAATTACACAGGGTTTTTTAAAAAAAAACCTGAACAATACTTTAATATAAAAAGCACATGTGAGGATAAACAGGGCAAGGGGATCATGATTTTAAGCCTCAGACAGAGGTTTCAAATGCTTTCATGGAGTCTGAACCAAAGGGCACTGTTATCAAATAACTGGTCATCCTTCCATTGTTTTCTGACATCACTCTGATACCTGAATTACTGATATAGGAGGTCCGGTGGATGTCATACTGTAGCTTTCCCAGATTATTTATAATCGATCACTTTTATTTGCTGACCATCTTTAAAGCAGTTATGAGGTAGGATACAATGACAAGATCACGGGGTCAAGTATGGCTGTTTCAGTTGCTTGTCCAATATTGACAATTCAATGTCCACATACTGTTTGCTTTTGATGTTGCAAAATTCCATGTTCTTCTTCAGCAGTTTTGCACAGGAAAACCATCATATGGGTAGTTTGTCACACTAGTCTATTTGAAAGTGTGTCCTATGTATTTGTGGAAGCCAGCAGTTAATTTAGATCTCTAACTCGTCTGTGACATAGGAAGGCAGTATTTTTTTTCTTTGTACAAAGAAGGAACCTGAGGTTCCAGTCTGTCACATGACTCACTTAAGCACACAGGGCACACTGGCAGTCAAGGCTAAATCCCAGGTCTTCAATTTGTACACCTATGAATATTTTACTACAAAGTGTAACCCAAACCAACACTAGGTAGTAGCTGAATACACTCTACTCAGAGGAGACCCAATGAAATTAATGAACCTAATCTTTTCATGCTCATTATTTTCAAGGGGTTGAATCTAAGTAGGACTAACATTGTAAAGTTGAAAAAGACCACAAGGATACAACCTCTTGCAATTTTTACTCAGACCCAACTTTCTTCTAATCAGTTCCAAATCCGAGTTTACTAATTAAAACATTCAAATGACTCCTACAATAAAATGATTTTTAAAGAAAATTAAAAGTGGTTGTTATTTTTGACAGTGGTGCCCTTCCTGTGGAACTCCTTCCCATCAGATCAGGAAGTTTTATTACGTTTTTATTATTTCATTATATTAACGTTTTATTATGTTTTTATATGTGCTTGAAGCTGCCCAAAGTGGCAGGGGAAACCCAGCCAGATGAGCGGAATGTTGTGAGCCACTTTGGGTACAATTTTGTGGATTGTGGTATGGAAAGAAATGGATGGTGATCACAAGTACTTGCTAATAGAAATCTACTTTGATCATAAAGAAAGCTGAGGAGGGATTTAACCACTGGAATGCTCAGGCTTCTTAGGGCTGCATGACTCCCTCATATAAACCCAGAGGTCCATTGCCTACCCCCCAAACTGGCAATATTTAATTGTAGTGGATTTACTCATTCTGAATTTACATTCTCAAAATTAGTTTTCAAGACTCTGTGGAAGATCTACATAGACTAAAATCAGCTGAAACTGGAGAGGCTGATCCCAAACCCACATCTCTCAGGTCCTATTTGTAGGCTGCATGTATCATGAACTACATATTTTCATTAGCTAATAAAATTTTCTGTCTAGTTGTTACATTATGTACTCAGTATATATTTAAGGCATGTTATGCAAAATAACCATACACAAATCTGTGTTTACCAACAATTGCCCCCACATTTTCAAGTGCCACTTGCCAAAACTTATGGCCAGAAACATATTTGGTGTCCCCTCACTGCCATTTAAACAAATGCTGAAGTTTTCAGACTGCTGAATTTTGCACCATGTATAATTGTGCTGAACTCACATCCCCATAAATTACTCCGTCAAGGAGGGAAATCTGTACCAAAGAGAACTGGCAGAAAGAATATGCAATTGATTTCTCTGCTTCTTATGCAAGTACAAGTCAATATTATTCAGACACAAATCCTTAATTATATGCCTGATTTCATCTATTCTATTCTTCTGTTTCAATTACTACTGCAAATGGTAAGCTCTCTTTATTTTGAGGCACCAGGCATTTCCCTAGAGCAAAATAAATGTTAAAAAGTGCTTCTACAGTCACAGGTGTCTCTGCTCACCCATGAAGCACTCTGGGTGAATTTAAGTCAGTCACTTACTCGGCCTAAGTACCTAAGGCTATAATAATAAAATGGGGAAATATTTTTTCCCCATTCTGAGCTCAGTGGAGGAAAGGCGAGATACAAACGAGTTCAGTTTTGAGGAATTCCTACCTTTAAACATAATCTACCATGCATTGTGTAATAGCAATAGGTTCCTAGTGTTTCTTATTTCATTATACTGCATTTCTGCATTGTTCAAAGTGTGCCTTATCTTCATCCCTTAATATTATTCAGTACTGATGAGCCTGCAACTAACATACAGGCTCCCTGCCAATTTGAATAAGTTTGCCATTTGTACCTCTGAATTCAAGGCTGTGAGTTTTACCTCTGAGTAAACAAACAGGCACCAGGCCACTAATATGTTGCATTGGTGAAAATTCCCTGCTTCTTCCTACAGAAGGGGTGACTGCAGAGCTGACTGATACATGTATGTTCACTGCTTACTGTGTTTAGCATCCGGTGTTCACAATAATGTGTGGAAAGAACCCGTTACAAAACAAAATTATTTTCAGTTATATTGGCTATTTTCTAAGCACCTGCATTTATTGTGATTTGTTTCAAGAGTGATGATATGAAGTTGAATCGACCAACTGTTATTCTATATTTTTCCAGTGTAAAATTATTGGGGGGGGGTGTATTGAGCAGGTTCGTTGCACAAGGTCAATGTTACCAATAACAAACTTAGTTGGTCTCTAAGGTGCTACTGGAAGGAATTTTTCCCCCCAACACGGCTACCTACCTGTAACATGAATTTACAGATAAGAGTATGTGACTGTATCCTACCCAAAAGTAGTGAAAGTTTGGAAGTGCCCCATGCAATGCAGCCTAGTTGTCATTAAGGTGGTTATGGTAAACCTGTGTCTGAGCTGCACAAATTCAGGCAGGAGGTGGACTTGAACTCACTTGGAACACAGAAAAGGAAACGTCAGTGTGTCAAGACTTCTAAGCCTGCTGTTCTCCCTGACCTGCTAGCTTGCGGTGCACAGAAATGCGTCGCCATCCCCCGAAAACAGGGGCGCATTCCTCCGCGTGAATCCCCCTCCCAAATCTTAAATGGCACAATCCAGACACTGGGTTTTGCACCTCAGTGAGCATCTGGTAGGAAACGTTACCAAACACAGGAGACCTATTTGAATGCACTTTCTCTCCAAAGGAAGGCTCGTCCTTTCCCAATCCCAAACGTGAGAAGAGCCAAAGTTGGCGCAAGCCTCCCTCGCTGGGTCGGAAAGTGGGGCGCGGGAAAGCCCAAGGAATCACTCTCAATGCTTGCCGGAGGAATCCCACTATGAATGAATGCACGGGCGGATAGAAACCAAAAGGTCCCCGGGACCCACTTTGCGCGGGAGGGGAGGCCGAGAAGTCGGGGGTGGGGTAAGAAACGAAACCCAACGCCGCCCAAGTGACGCTGCTGCCGGGGTGGGGAGAGTCCCTCCGAGGTCCCCTTCCCTTCTTCGCCGCCCAACCTCTCACCATAGCGGAGCACTCGCTTCTGCCACTGCCTCGTCCTGCCACGGACGTCAGCCCCGCTCGCAGCCACCTCAGGCCGGCCCAGGCGCCGCCTCGCATGGCTCCGGCGTGGCTTCTCCACCCGCCCACCTGGCACCTCCCACGGGGAAGCGCATGCGCCGCCCACTCCTCCCACCACTCCCCGGCTGAGGGAGAGGCGGGATGGAAGGCAAACCTCCTACGCGAAAGGCCGTGGCTCTCCTCGCCCACTTTACTTTCATTATGTCCTGCAGCCTTTCTCAACCTGTGCGTCCTCAGATGTTGTTGAACTACAACTCCCATCACCCCTAGCTAGCAAGGTCAGAGCTGAGGGATGACGGGAGTTGTAGTCCAACATCATCTGGACACCCCCAGTTTGAGAACCGCTGCAAGCCCATCTAGCCCCTTGGCCTTCTTCTGCACTGCTGCTACCCCAGCCTGAGTCAGCCTCCATGGGGGGAGTGGGGGTCGCTTGGAGACCGCCTGGCCTGCGCTCTCACAGCATAACAATTTTTAGAAGAGCAAAAGTGTTGGGGGGAAATCTCCTGCCAGAGGTTCTAGCCACCGGCAGTGTCCTTTGTGAGGCGCAGAAAACAGCCGCCTGATGTTTTCTCACAACAGCTACCACCTTTCTCAGCACCTGGCTCTGTCCCTACTGCCTAGGGCTTCTTGAAAGAAAAACAGACTTTCCTATTGTACTTGCCCATCTGCATTACCCTCAGCAGACAACTCACAAGTTTACCTGACCACAGAGAAGGAAGTCTGCTGCCACTGCAGAAGGATTGCAGGGCAATAGCTGCGCCACAAATGCACAGCTAATTCTCCCATCTGCACATTTGAAGGATGCAAAGGATCTAGCAACTTGTACACCCAACTCCCAGCTTGATGAATGCACCTGAACTTCAGCCAATGTGGACAGAAGACAGCGACCACAGCCATCTCCAGAGCTGAATGTAACCTACAGTTGCTTCGTTAGATATTTCTTGGTTTCTGGTGCCTTGTGTGATTAAAGCATTTTAGTATTCTACACTGAAAACCATGCCAAGACCACCACTGAAGATGCCCAAAAGGATATTTGGATGTTAATGGATTTATTATGATTCAGAAATTTCTAAAATGCAATAGAACTTTGGTGCTGCTGTAGTACAGAATGTGGAATGCAGCTAGCTTCATTGGATTGTATTGGCTACCCTTAAAAAGTCATACTATTTTATATAACACATCAAAATAAGAACAGTAACATGAACAAGCAGAGATACACCCTTTCAAGGTTAACTAAGTTCACAATAGTGCTTAAATTACATTAACATTGCAAAACATGGACTATGGGGTAAAAAGTATGTTTATTATGATGTATGTGTATTCCTCTGTGTTTTCTGACTCTTTAGAACGCTGAAACATATTATTCTCAGTTCAGCCGTAAATAAATGTCAAGTTCATGTATCAGTAGTCAGTGCAACCTTACTAAAAGCTCTGACATGTTAGCAGCAGCACTGTCATCCAAATACTGTGATCATAGCACCACATGTGTGACAGCATCAAATTGACAAGTGAGCCAATTCTTACAAATTCCCTACTTAATTTTTTTTAACGTGTGTAGGGAAATCATGGGGGTCAATTGTTGCAGCTCCAAATCTAGCATAGTTAAAATGACCATCTGGGGTGGCTCAGGAAACTTTCTAAAAGCTGCATCTTACACCTACACCTGATCTTTTCCTATTAGAACTGTCTGCATCTGCAACAGTTTTCACAGATGCATAACATCCTTGTTTTTTAAATATGAAGCAGCAATCCATTTGCATTACTAGAGATCATCAGATGTCCCCCAAAAGACCCCACAGTTCCTAAAACTTAAGCATATCAGATAGGTATATTTTTGTCATTCCCTCATAACAACTTTATGAACAATTTCCAGCTGTGCATGTTCATATTTGTATCACAAGGAAGTTCTGCTGAGTGATGTATGATTACCAATACAGGGTCCTGCCTAACAAGAAATCACAAAGAGTCGATCCACCATTTAATTTAATGTTGTTTAGCTTGTTCTGAAAACAAAGTTCTCAGTTCACATATCATTCCTGATGTTCCTGATCTTGACCAGGTATTAACCACCGGATGCTCTCTGTCCGGACAGTGGCATACATGATAAAGCTGATGAGGAACAATAAAGAAAATAAGAGAAGCCAGTCTATGCCTCTAGTCAGTGTGCTAGGCAGGGGACCATCCTGATCTTCCTCAGTTACCACCACATCAGACTTGGGCTCTATTCCTGAAAAAAAGTATTCATTATTAGTGTGGTGCAAGATTGAACAGAATCAACATTAAGTATAGATATTTGCACAAAGCACCTACAATTTTAAATTTAGGACTAAGCATTTTAAACTACCAGCTGCTAGAACATCATCAGAGCTCTGTAATTTTTGAATTATAGCCTCCTGGTGCATTAAATAAATAGGTATTTCTAACTGTAACGTAAAATATGACTCTCTCAAATTTAAGTATTTTAGTGTCATTTGGAAACAGCTCTAATTCCACCTCTCCCTGAAAATGTACCAGTACAAAAGCTTACAACTCCTATTTTAATAACAGCTTCTTAATTAGCCAACTACAATTTCAGTTTTATGTTCTTCAGCTTCCCAGGGGAAAAGCAACAGAAACTCGACTGACAAGTTCCCTTTTATGCCCAGATAAAGATCTGTAAACACACCGGTAGGGGGAAAGGTTTATTGCTTTCTCTCGTGAGTCAGTGGTGACCAGAGCTTGCTTATGTAAGTCTATTTCAATCTTCATTTTCTTTATTATTCGCTGCAGCATGTAAGGAAGAAATCAAAGTGGATCCCAACTTACTATCCCATCTTCTGTAGAACACATAAGACATTGGGTTTCCTCCACTACTAACATAGGTAGGAAGAGATAACTGTTGAAACAGTTACCCTTCTCCTCTTGCATTCTCCCCATGTATCACCTACATTCTCCAGGCGATACCTATTACATTCCCAATTCTTGCCACCACACAGGAGCTGAAGGATTCTTAATCTACCTTACCAAATAGGACAGGATTTGGTTGTAATAACATACTCAGGTGCTGAGTTGATGGCTACTCAGAGCTACTGAGAAAGAAAAGGGAGAGATTGGAATGCTTGGGGCTGCTCCAATCATTGGAAAAAAGAGTGGAAAATGGGAGAGGGCTGGAGAGAGAGAACAGAACAGAATGTCCCCTGAAACAAAGTATGGCCGGCTTGCTGTAACACCAAACAGAAGCACTCCAGATCACATTTTATTGCAGGTCCCACAGGCACATTTTTACTCAGAAGCATCCCTACTGTGCTCAATAGTCCTTAGTCCCAAATCAATGTACCTGGGACATGGAGCCTTATTCTGTATTGCCCCAAAATCTTACACCTTGATTAAGGCTGAAATGTTTCCCAAAACTTTAACTCAATGTTCCTGGAGATCATACAATAAACATCTTAAAACTAGCTGTATGACAGTGGAAGACAGGAGTGCCTGGCGTGCTCTGGTCCATGGGGTCACGAAGAGTCGGACACGACTAAACGACTAAACAACAACAACAAGAAGGTGGAAGTTGGAATCACAAACAGGGAGAGTACTTTTGGACTTGGGTCCTCCCTGCAGGCTTCCCATAGGCATCTGGTTGATCACTGTAAAACAAGGATGCTGGACTAGATGGGCCTTTGGACTTATCCAGCAAGGCATGTGGCTATCAGACTACAAAATCTGTTAAATGTCTTGGTTACATCCTGTTTGGACTACTGTAAAACGCCATATGGCTCTGCCTTTGAAAAGTGTTCAGAAGCTTCATCTGGCCCAGAATGCTGCAACCAGACTGCTGGCTGGTGCTGGTTCCAGGGAGCATGTTACCCCACTGTTAAAACAATTTTACTAGCTACTGGTTTGTTCCCAGTCACAATTCAAAGTGATGGCTATAAAGCCCTATATGGCTTGGGCTCAGGCTACCCGAAATATCCCTGTATGAACCTGCCTGGGTTCTGAGACCCTTGGGTCAGTACCTCCTCTTGGTCCCATCAACATCAGAAGCATGACTGGTGGTAACATAAGTGAGTATTTTCTGCGACTCTTCCCAAATTGTGGAATTCCCTCCTAAGAGAGAATAGATTGGCTTCCTGTTCAGATCTTCCTGTTCAGACAAACCTTTGGAAACTAAGGTACAGATGATGCTAATCACTGGGCTGCTGTCAGGACAAATTGTATTTTAATTGTTGGTTTTAAATACGCTGAAGTGCATTTTAATTATTGTTGTCAATGAGTTTCTTTTTATTATTCTGTATTGTATAACTGATGTTTTTAAATGCTGTAAGCTGCCTTGAATCCCAACTTGGGAGGAAGGTGGAATATAAATATATTAAATAAATGAGTAAATAAATCCTACCTGTCTGATTAAAAATGAAAGATTTCAGTGTTTCCAGGGTTCGATCTGTATGGTTAAATCTTGCCATTGGCTTAGCTCCTTGAAAAAGAAGGATGTTGGGAACAGCCACAGTTCCAAACCTGGTTGATAAACTGTGAAGACATAAGATAACAAAGAGTTAGCTTTGCTAAATATGTCTTGCATTTAACCCCATGATAAAATAACTGAGTGTTTTTCAGTACAAAATTGGAACCGTAGCTAATTTCAGCAGAAGAAATATATTCATTTGGTCACAACACACTTTAGACTCAAACGGGTACTCTAGAAAATTAATAGTATTGTTAATCAATTGCCTTCCATATATGGCCAAAGGCAATGTACAAAGTATAATAAAAACAACTAAAAATAGTTGAAAACAGAAGTTGAGTTTAAAAACAAGACAAAGTAGACAGCCTTAGCAGAGACATATTCATCCAGCTGGGAAACTTTGTGGGAACAAAAATGTCTTCAGTTGTTTCTGCTAAGTGCTGATAATGGATACATGGATTAGTGTGAACTGAGCAAAAAGAATGCAATTAAAACAGCCTAAATTTTGGAAAATAAATTTATAGACAAATTATTATTCAATTAAAATGCACTTTTCAAGAAAAAGTCCTCTTCTGCACATTTGCTTAACCCTGATTTAAAATACATGATGGTACAATAGTCCTGAAAGGAGAGGGATATAAAAGTTACCTGCTGTGCTGAGAGGCATCCAATGCCAAGAAATGAAGAGTTGGGAATGCTCGGGGCAAAGAATTAAAATGAGGAGCCAGATTGGCAGAGAAACGGCACCAAGGAGTATAAAACAGGACTAAGGTACAGTCACTGCCATTTGGATTTAAGAACTCCATTAAATCCTGCAAGAGAAGGAGAAAAGTGACTTTTTAAAGGCATAATGGGAACTTATTTAACTTAGTATTGCTCACGTTAATTATCCTGATCTCAACAAGGCGGTGAAGTACTTCTACGTGCAAGGTGAACTTGGTCAATTCAGGTTAAAAAACTTATTACCTGCACAACAGTTTTTAAATGACTTAGGGAGCTTTTAACTTTCATTGCAACCATGAAGTTCAGGAGATATTTTGACATTCACCTACTTGCCACCATCAGCAGAGACACAACCCACAACCTCATCGCAGGTATAGGCCAAATTTGGCCGGCCAGGTTATTTTGGAGGACCCACACCTGCTCACCCACACACACACCCTACACCCAATGTCATACTGGTAAGAGTGGGGCTTCCAAAGGAGCAACCAACAGCTTAAGCAACCTCCTGGTTATTTCTTTACTGGAGCAAGGCATGTTTCTTTGCTGGAGTAAGGCATCAGCTGATAAGCAGTAGGAACGCACCTTGCTTAAGGAGGAAGACGCAGTTTCCGTGAAATAGAAATTGCCTCTCCCTCCTAGGACTGCTCTTTGAAGCAGCCCCCATAATCCCTTTCAACTTCCAAAATCAGAAGTTGAAAGGAGCAGTGTGTGGCAGTTTGCAAAGAGTTCAGTTTGGCTATGCACAACTGTTCCCACACCCACCTGCCAAATTTGGCCCACCAGAGCGTAGGGAGATAACTATCTGTCCTGCCAGCCAGAAAAAGTGAGGTGGTCTAAAGTGAGATGTAAGGGAAGTAGTATAAGGTGCAGCATTTAGGCTTGAGGAAAACAAATACAGAATATACATAGAATCCATCCTTTTTCTTCCTGAATAATTTTATTCAAGCAAGTTATGCCATCCACATTTATACAAAAAATTCTGATAATAAGAAGACAAATGAAAAAAACTCTTAAATTAAAATAATTTAGATATATATAAAAATCAATTAGAGTGCTTTCCACTTACTTGTGAAATATTCAAGATTTGTAATGTGAAGTTTGTTATCCCTGTAATGTTTCTTTCCTCACAATTCACTTTTGGGGTTTTCATACCATCTGTGCTATTAGAGTCCTCTCCTGATGAAGGATGCACTGCTTCCAGAACTACAGGTGAATCTATTACTTGCTCTTGTATAGGAGACCCAGGTTGAGATAAAAATGAAACAATACCCTGCGTACTGCATTCACCATCAACGGCTGCATCACAGGTGCCGGTGTCATGCTCCAAGACATGTCTCTCCTTGGACTCACCTGGAACAACTGACAGAACTACAGGCTCAGCTGCAGGTATGCTGCTACCCATCATAGCATCAGCTATCTCTGCAGTCCTGTACTGTACCGATTCTTTAGGCCCATCGCTGCTTGCAGGTACAGAACTGCTTTTCACAGCGAATGGTACAGCAGTTTCACTTAACTTTTCAGATGGCGAGTCAGTGGTTTCTTCCATTTCAGCTACTGCTACAAAAAATGCAAGGACATATAACATATTTAGTGCTGAACAATAGGAGTACATCTATCTTTATTCAACGCAACAACGCAGCAGTGGGTGGAACTTATAATCCAATGTGTGAATTGAGGGGGCTCAAAGAAAGCAAACCGTTCAGTGAGGCTCACACACTGCAGCAACCACTGCCACCCTCACCTCACCATAAATACCAGCGTGGCATGAAATATTCAGTACAGTGGTACCTCGGGTTACATATGCTTCAGGTTACATATGCTTCAGGTTACAGACTCCACTAACCCAGAAATATTACCTTGGGTTAAGAACTTTGCTTCAGGATAAGAACAGAAATCGTGCTCTAGCAGCACAGCAGCAGCGGGAGGCCCCATTAGCTAAAGTGGTGCTTCAGGTTAAGAACAGTTTCAGGTTAAGAACGGACCTCTGGAACGAATTAAGTACATAACCCAAGGTACCACTGTATTGCTAACCAAAGCCCAGTGTCATTTTTTATGAAGTCTTTCTTTGTACTGTAGAAAATAGACCCCATCCAAGATATGTACAGAAAAGAAACATACAACAACAAAAAACCAGAATCTTGCCACCCAAGAATACAAGTTCCACTTTGGCTACCACTCTACATATTCTACTACAGCAGGGGTGGGCAATTTCAGAATTGTATGGTCTGCTTCCCCACCCGCCCAAATCCCCTAGGACCCGCAAGCACATTTCAAGCTTATAAAACAAGAGTACACAACACTAGATCTTTCACTTAGTCATCTGCTCCCGAGCATGCATGCAGCCTCGCTAAAGCAGCGCTTGGTTTGCTGGATCAAACGAAGTCGCACGTAGGCCTGCAAGTTTCACAAGCGCAAGACTACATTTTACCTTCTACCCTATCTTGTTTGTTGTCCAGAGAGAGAAACAGGAGAAAGAGGAGTTGCTTCCTACTTCTCCAAAGCATTTAAAAAAGCAGCAGCAGCAAGGGGTGGCGACGCGGGCTTAGCTGGCTCGCCCCCCCATTCCCCACAGGTGCACGAAGGAGGCGCGCAGCCTGTCCTCAGCATCTCCGCTCAGCTGCCCCTTCCCCCGGCGGTGCTACCATAGCAACCGAGCCCTCCTTACCTGCAAGAAGACTTGCGAGCAGCCAGGCCAGCCAGAGGCCCCGCCCCCGCCCGCGCGAGGACAAGACCATCATCCTCGCAAGGGAGGGGGGAGCTGGGAGAGGGGGGCAAGGAAAAGACCCGGCGGATCAACCGGAAAACAAGGTCCCGTCCAACAACAGCCGCTTCCGCTCTCCACTCGTTTCCGTTTCCGGGGCACCACGAAAACAAACAAACTCTATGGAGCTTGAAGAATCCTTTCGTCCGCTGGCGGACCGGATGTCCTGACTGTTTCTCTCCAGGACCCGACTGTGCCCCGCTCGGCGGCAGGCGGCAGTGCAGAAACCCAAGACCTTGCCCTTGTCAGGATTTGCCAGCACTATATCTGTCTACCCCGTTTTCTAACTGTTCTGCAAGAAGAAATAAAGTGCCTGTTATTATTATCGCCGTATTGCAGATTGGGGTGGCTGGGGAAACCCAGCCGGATGGGCGGAGTATAAATATTATTATTATTATTATTATTATTATTATTATTATTATTAGTTCAGTTTATCTGCCACCAACTTACGAGGGTGGGAAGAGAGTTCGACTGAGGCAGAGAGCTCTGTGACAATCCTGGCCTTGGTACTTTTGTCTCCCCAGCACAGATCTAAACTAAGGAGAGCTCAGATAAAAATCGGGATTTTCCTTCCCTGTGGCAATCCCCATAGAGATCCCCGATGCAGCTGCCATTTTTACCGTGGGAGGAGCCTTTGTCATTCTCGATTTGCCTGTGGCTGCCACCTTGGGTCTGTCCGGAAACGGAATCCAAACCAGACGAGAGGCCGTCTAAAAGGGACGGCTCGAAACCGGGCGTCTCCCCGATACATGAGGCAGCCTGAAAGGAAAAGGAAGCGTAGAACTGCGCAGCTCTGGCTGCATGGGAAATGCAGCCTGTAGCGGTCGCTATAGGGCTGCTAAATGCATAGGAAGGAAAAAGAACAATACCCACTGCCGACGCCAAGCAATAACAATGAATTTACGATAGTTGGCGCAAATTGAAAGTATTTAAAGCATTAAACCAAAATCGATTCCGCAGCACTCTGCATCCCGAGGCGGCAACATTGTTTACAACCCGCAGAATACTTTGCCCAGCCTCCAGGCGAGTATTCTGCTGCAGAGGCAATTATTTATTTACGGTAATATAGTCCTGCCTTCTACTGATTCTACGGAAGCTGATGTTAGTTTGATCTAGCTCGAACGCCTCCCCCTAATTAAGACACAGCAATAACATCTTCATACAGTTTGGGGCTCTGTAAATGGGTTGCAGTATCAGTGTCGTAGAAGAGTAGAAGTTCCTAAAGTTGGGTTCATTTACAGCAGCAGCAGCAAAACAAACAAAACACCTGCTGTAAGGAGATTCAATTTCTGCACCCAGACAACAGCAGTAAACATTTCGGATATTGAGTGTGCTGGCTGGCAACGATAACGTGGTCTCCTTCTAAAACATACCACTGCAATAATGCAGATCTTTCGGAATGTGATAAAGCAGAAGAAACTATGACCAGTGGTTACCTAACACAACTTATGCCTTTAGGTAGGCAAGCAGAGCTCTTTAGTAGAGATGGTAAAAAAGAACTTTTTACATGCAAAATATGTTCCCTTTCAGTGAACTAGGAGCTTTGTCTCTTAGAAGGGACACTAAGCATACACACCATACATTTAAATCACATTTAGCACACACTGCCTCCCCCCCAAAATTCCTGGGAACTATAGTTTACCCCTCAAAGCACTAGCATTCCCAGCACTCTTAACAAACTAAAGTTCCCAGAATTCTTTGAGTGAAATAATCTGCTTTAAATGTATGGCTATTTTGGTGCTTTGACAATATTTCCTGTCCTCAGTATTATTATGAAAGAAAAATAACTTCTAAGAAATACTGTTGTGATAATATTAAGGAACCCAATTTATTTGGTTATTTCTACCACACATTATACTGGCTAGGATCTGACCAACAGTGACCACACTTAACCTGTAAAATGCTCAGTTATTCCAACATGGAGCTAGCAGAACCAATTTGATTCTAATATTTGAAGCTGCTGTAGTCTTCACGTGTAAGCAATGTTCTACAGTGACATGACTAAAGGACCCCTAGATTATCCCAAAGATTCACCCACTGTCTTGTGCTGATATCTATGCTAATTAGCCTTTATTCTAATTATATTACGGTATTGGCCCGAATATAAGCTGCACCTTTAAAATTCAAGGGGGGGGGAGAGAGAAAAACGACAATACCCGAATATAAGCCGCTCCCTTAAAATTCCGCTGGCACCTGTTCCATTTTACCGTATGTGTTTCAGCAGTGATATTGTAAAAGCCAGTTTTTGTAAGGTCACGAATTTAAGCCACACTTTAACTGTTCACGGTCGGAATTTGGGAAAGAAGTGAGGCTTATATTCAGGCCAATACGGTACATAAAAATAACTTCCAATGGAAGCCAGTGAGGCACAATATAGGAAACTTATTTTACAGACATTTGAAGATCATAACTTTGTGGTACAGGCATACAGCATCTACATTACATGTAGAAGATCCCAGGTTCAGTCCTCTGCATCTCCAGGTAGAGTTGGGGAAGAACCCTGCCTGAAATCCAGTTAGTGTAAACAATGCTGAGCTACATAGACCCATGGTCTGACTCAGCATAAGATAGTTTTCCATATGCCTATAATAATTCCAAAGCCTGCATACAAAAATGATTATCATAGAATCATAGAGTTGGAAGTGACGCTGAGGGCCATGCAGGAATCCTGCCCACAGCTGTCCTTGTGTAGGCTCAAACCACCAACCTTCTGTTTAACAGCCAGACACACTAAAGTTAAACCATTGTGCTACCTCAAGTGGTTTGTCTAGTCTATGTGCTCATGTGTGGGCATGCTGCTGCATATTGCTCTGCAGTTGGAGTAGGGAAACTTTGGCCCTCCAGTTGTTACTGAACTAGCATGCATGGCCAATTATCATGTTTGCATGTGCTATCTTCCTGTCTTGCATGTGTGCTTGCTCATGTTTGCATGTGAAGTTCTCGTGATTGGGTGGGTAGGTAGGAGACAGACAGACAGACAGATAGAATGAAGGGCTGCCATGACCATGCATTTCAGGGGGTTGAACTAGATGATCCTTTGGGTTCCTTCCAACTCTACAGTTCTCTGATTCTATTCACTGGTTTGGCTCACTTCAAGTATGTTGTTCTATATCTCATCTCTTTTGATATCTCTGTGTTAACTTAATTTTCAGTCTCATATAATAAAGGACTGAATTCCAAGGCTATTGTCTCAGCTTTACTTCTTCCTCTCCAGACAGCTAATCAAATGGGACTACAGGACAAACTAGGAACAAACTAAAAACATCAACAATATGAAGATGACCTACCTTGCAGGGGCAATATCTAATTACTGAGATATTGTGACTTTCAATACTTTATATCACTGCAGAGTTATGTATTATAGACAAGTCATCACAATCATTGGCCTTAGGTTAATTCAATTCCATTTTCAAAAAATATCCATTAAAAACAAAAAGCTGTTTTAGGATCAAAATGCTTTTCTAAGTAAGTACAAGAGCCTGTAGAATGCATTTTTCTGCAAGCATGATTCGTTAGTTAGGGTAGAGTGGCTTAACTTGCAATTGCCTTGCTTTTTGGCGCATGAATTAAATTCCTAAGCATGTAAAATTTTCTTTTAAACCAAAGTTTGTTTGTTTGTTTTATCCAAGAACAAATACAATGGGAGAGATGCAGCAAAGGAACATGAATAGTCCATAGATTATTGTTTATACTTATCTAGGGAAGCATATGAAACAACCTACTTTGGCACTGCTGGATAACCAGACTCTCATACATCATCTCTTTCTTTTCATAGCTACCCAGCAGACTTGAAATGGCCCAAATTCAGTGCACTTTAATGTAAAATTTATGAGAATTCCGAAACAGAATAGAGTTGCCCGCACACTGTTTGCAACTGTATGTTCCAAATAAACTAGGTTTTGTATTTATTTCTACCATGACAAAAAGTTTTAACTTATACATTAGATGGATATTATGCCAAAGAAGCCAAAAAGTGGTACAGAAAGATACCCATCTGCCTTTAGACACTGTTAACAATCTAAAGTGCTCTCATTTGCAAGTTTTATTTTGCTTTAAATCTTTGGAAGTTTTTACAATGACATAACTTACAACAAACTTAGAATGTAGGTCACTGTAGATGAAAAAAACTCTTACTGAGTCTATAGAATATCCTTTTGGTATTACTTAAACATGAAGAAGAACCTTGGAAAAATGCAAAAGAAAACATGCCTTAGAAAAAGAAAAAGCCCTTTTATCCAGGCACTTGATCCTGGAAATTATAGGTTTGTTTAAGGCAGGTTTGGTTAGCAGTTGTATCTTGCAGTTTATCTATTTGAAAATTAGTCCGCTTCATCGGGATCAGAAACTCATAGGTGATAATTGCCAATAACGTGAACAATTGAAAGGGATATTTAAGATCATGGGTGGGGAGCTTGTGGCCCTCCAGATGTTCCTGAGCTCCAAATCCCATCAACCCCAGGCAGCATGGCCATGCTCTTAAATATCTCTTTCAATTGTTCATGTTATTGGCAATTTGCTTTTCGGACACAAAGCACGCATAACTTTCTTTTATCTGCTGTGTGTCTCTGTCTCACCATGAAATGCAGTGCTTGGGACCAAAAAAGATGTTCAGTTTTGATCCACACTCTTACATGTCCCTGCATAAATGATATACTTTGTGAATGCCTTCCCATCTTACATTGGAGATGGGACCCATATGGGATTGGATCTTCTGTTGAAGTAAGTTCATTTGGATTCAATTCATGGTGTTTATGGAATATTAAGTAACTTATCCTGAAACAGTTATCTAACAGCTGCGATATGCATAAAAAAGGTGGGGTCTGCTGCTATTAAAAAAATATATCATAGAATGGTTTCTGCCCCCACCCTATGTACCTGAATGATAACTTAAGGTGCAGTTTTTGACATTTTTTCTGTCTTGTTATCAGTAAATACTCAGCGGTGTGTAGACCACCAAGGTGGTCAATTGTTTAAATATAGCTGTTTGGATAAAAGCCTCTTACTGAACCATAATTACCATAGCCAACAGGAACAATGCTAAATTTTGATAGTTCAGATTTCCCCCTAATTATTATTGATATTGGAACTTTGCCACATCACAGCGATACATAGAAATGTCGAGATCTTTAAAGAGGACTACTCATAACAGCATATCTAGCAATACATCAGATATAACCCTACATATTCTAAATTTTAAGCAAAATTGTATCAAGTGCCTTACATAAATGGCATGAGCAGCACTATAGTATAGCACCATTGTTAGCTGGATGTCTCTAAAATTTTGACTGCAAGAGGAATAAGAATCTAAAATAAGAAGAGGATTAAGAATCTGGTATTAGCTCACAATTATCTACACCGGGTGACATGCAACATAATAAAATATTCTAAATTGCTTTGGGATGCCTCGTGGGAAGTGATTCATAGATGAAATAAATAATAGCTGCTGTAGGTCCTCCTCCCTTCTGCAGCCCCCCAAAAGTTTCCTCTGTAGGGCGGGGTGGGGAAGAAGTCCATTCACATGACATTATATATCACCTATTGACATTGCAGACACAAGTCTTTCCCAATCCAACTTGGAGATGCTAAGGTAGAAACTTGGACATTCTGCACGCAAAGCACTGAACTACATCCCCTTTCTCTTTATCAGGATGGGAAACATCCAACACACAAGACAAATTAGGCCCACCAGGATCCCCAATTTTAACCTACAAGGCTGTATTCTCCAAGCCACACCCACCTGCCTCACACCTGACAGCTTATGGTAACAGGTGTGGGGCAGGTAAAGTCACAACTGCAAAGAAACCACCAGGAGTCTTAAAGTGTGCTCTGACTTGTTCCTTGGCAAGCAAGAGCTGCATCTAGTGCTTTTAAATGCAAAGACCACTGGGGTCAGCTCCACTCAGGAGCTCCCAATCAGAGCACCCAAGTGGAGCTGATCCCTGCCAAAACAGGGTGTACAATTAGCACTGCTTTCTGCAGAAGTCTTTGCGGCAGCAGTAGCAGCTTCAATTCAAGCCAAGGCTACAAAGGAAGAAGGGAAGTCTCAGGAACGCACTTAAGAGTGTGCTGCTGATTCTTCCTTTTGGAGTTTGAATAAATAGCTGTCACATGACATCTGCCAGTCAAAAGTGGTCAGCAGAGGGTGGCTCAGATCTGGATCCAGCCTGCTGATCTGATCCGGTTCCCCACCCCTCCTCTATATGCAATACCACTGTAAAAATGTTTTCCTTGTCAAATTACAGAGCAAGTCTGTTGATGTAAGCTGAAAACATACATATAATAAATTAAGTTCAGATAAATAAAAAACCTGAAGTCACTCAAACCAAGGTTTGAACTGTCACTAAAATTAATGCAAGGTGGTCTTATAACATTTCTGAAAGTCTTTCAAGAAATAGTGGGGCTGCAGTATTGCTGTTTATGGCCACTAAGACTATCTGCATTGCCCAGCATCCTAATTATGATTGGTAAGCTTGCCTGGAGATATCAAGCAGGAAGGGAGTAAGTAATCCCTATATGGTGGGCCCAATCCCTAATACTTTCAGAAAATAAAGTGGGGGAGAGAAGGGAGTTGGGAATTATTTTTGTTTGGAAAATATATCCATCTGATAAGAGAACAAGCGAGGGAAAGCATATAAAAAAGTAGTTCAAAACATTCCATTTCTTTTTATGGGTAACAATTGAAGAGTTGCTTTATTCATCTGCAAAGCTGGTTAATTTAACAGGTGTTTGCTGGGTTTCAACTTACACTGGGGGTGGGGGTGGCAAGAATATAAAACATACAGTAATAAAGTTATTTGGTGTTTAAAGCAATTACTTTATTAATAAATATACATCCATATGATGACGTAAATACAGATCATGAACACTACTCCATTCCCATACAGACAATTGCACACGAGTAGCTGAAGTTCATGGACATAAGAACATACACAGTATCTAATCAGACTTTTTACAGCAGAAGACAGGGTGATAATTAATGAGCAACTGTTTCCACCAAAATAACCCATCCCATCAGAAAAGCAAACAGTGAAAGGTGAGAATCTTAAAATGGCCCATTTAAGCAGATTTCTGAAAATTTCATAAAATTACTATAACTTTCAAGATGAAATAGATTACACATCGCAGAACCTAGATTTATCTATCTGGAAAAAAATCAGAAGGAAAGGCCGCTCTAGTATTTTCTTACATGTATAATAATGTTTGAACTATGTTAAATATATGTATAATAATAAAACATAATGTGAATATAAGTGGAATCCAAGAACTTTGATTACAAGAAACTGTTTTGTATTTAATAAATTGATTGATGCTGCTCTATACATACAGTAATAAAAACCAGAATGACAACTTAGGAAAAAGCTGTAAAGTTATCTCTACTACTCTGTCTTTCAAAAGAAGGCAAAAGTTAATGCTCTGATATTAACTGCCTTCTGCATTGTAGATCAGGGAATATCTCATCCCATATGCATTATCCTGACTTGCTGGGTTTGTCCCAAGACCAAAAGCAACTTCAAAGCATAATTGAAATGGACCACTGCAAAACAGAAATGCCAGATGAGTCCTGACCAGGAAGTTCTATTCTCAAAACTTGCAAAACATGAATTCATTTAAGAAAATTACCTGTATTTTTAAAAAATGCCACCTTCACAATAGTTAGCCCCTAATTAAACTTACAGCAGTGTGTGTGTATGTGTGTGTGTAAAGATTTTGAAAATATCCAGTGCAAGACTTCAAAAATAGAAGTAAAATTATTTGGTTCTACGGTTTAAGTAAATTTCACCAGAAAGTGAACAGCAATTTCTGTAAGTGTTTAAAATAGCGGCTGTAGTATAGATCTCTCTTAATGCTTAATTATGCTAATTGCTTTATCAAAAAGTGAAAAAGGCTATTTTTAAATCAAAAGAAAAGTGAACACAAGTTTGACATGTAGATTTTCTGAACAGTGCCAATACACATCAACAATCCTAGCTTATGAAGAGCAGAATTAAGGTATATAATATAAAATTATCAATTTGCTTTACAAATCATGTATTAATACTACAAGGAGAAAGGGACATTCCTCCTCCCCCTCTCCAATAATATCAAAGTATAGGAATTAACATGCTGTTTCAGTGTTTGTCATGACAAGAGACAGTGTTACAAAAAAAGAAAAGAAAAAGAAAAACACAATGTATTCTGGAGATTATATACAGGAGTAGCAAAAATATTTGAATATACCATTCAAACATCTCAAGTTCTTGACTTCTGTTTTCCCCCACAGCATGGCACTTGTAAACCGCAGTAGAGGATAAAATGAACTGGAATCAAGAAATGCCCAACAGTGTTTTTCTGGCCTCATTAACAAATCCAGGCGTTAAACTGCCCTTTAGAGAAATGAAAGAGGATTTTTCTGGCCCCCCTCCCAACTTACAATATTAAGTTATTTTAATGGGTAAGTTTTCCATATGATATAATTAATAAGCACTATAAATGAACATAAATTGCTTAGATGAGTTCATTATTTTCTCAGCATATGTGAATACAAAATTCATTATACTAGAGCAATAATGCATCTGCGTTGTCTCCCAACACACTGCACGACACCATTGAGGAGATGCACACGTGAGAAATAAAAGGGTAGCTTTAAAAAACAGGAGGAGGTAAGTAGAGTTACTCAAAGGTACATTGGTGACATGCAACTTGCTCCTTGCCAGTAAGGTGTGCCGTTCTTGTAGTTTTTACATTCAGCTGCTTTCCTAGAGAGAGTTCAGAAAGGGTCTGAAGCAGCCTCTGGGTTGGAAAAAAAAAGAACCATCTAACAAAACAGCCAACACAATATATGTCCTGAGGGTGAACTAGCTCACATTAGCACTGTGTGTGTCAGAAGTTGCACCACTGTGGGGAAAATTAATAAGAGTTTCATATTCCGAAGTTTCTTGAGGAAATATATAATGGACTTCATAGCTTCAGCAAAAAATTATTTTACCAGCATTTAGCTGCCATTAGTTTACATGACTAAAGAGCCTTCCAGTACTGTTGAGGTTCAAGGTTGCCAGTGCATACAAAGTCCCCCCAAAACAATTCAACACACCTATTATAAAATACAGGATAAAGTCCAGCTCATTATGAGTTAGGCATCACTGGAACACCTGAAGGCTTGCTGCTTTTTTCCTGATAAAAAAGGCATGAAATGACATCCATTTCTTAAGTTGTCATTACTAAAATCAGAGTTGTCATCAAAATGTCAGCAGGCCACAATATTTATCTTACAAAGGAAAAGAATCAATACTGTTCATTTTCATCTCTCTAATTAACCTGAAAGAAGTCTGTCCCCATGAATTTGCAAATATTTATCTATAACCTCTCTCTTGCGTATTTGAAGATACAAATTTAAATTTTTAATCTATAACTATATGTAAACTTATTTTCAGAATAGCTTTAGTTCTAAAGAAATATTTGGAATATATTCAATATTGAGAGTTTATTCAGTTACAACGTAATGTGTGTATTATACATTGTCTCTCTCTCACACATACACATTTTAAAAAATAACAACACATACCCAATTCAATGCAGAACATTTATTTTAGGTGCACAAAATGGCAAAATGTATGTATAGTTCTGCACCTCCATGCATAGATGTATTCCAATAGTTTGTTATATATCTGGGGTCTATAAACACATCAAATTGCAACTTGCTTGTGCATCAACTGTATCATTTCCAATTATGATCCATGAAATGTCATCCTTTGGTAGATATACGCTCTCTTAGCTACAGTATGTGTGATAAATAAGACTTCCACTGGCAAAATTATTAAACATGACAAGATTATCTATCTGAAAGGTATAATTTTCAACCACACCAAATATTTGAAATCCTAAAAAACTGCTGCCATCTATGCAGATATTGCAGTCACTTAAAATGTGTATATTTATTGACAGATCTGAGAACACAGGGCAAATCTCACATATATCTGTGTATGCCAAATGTCACTGAAATGGACTGGATTTAGGAGCACACAAATGTGCAGAATCTCAGCCACAACTTTTACTACACCTGTACATTATTTGCATATTTGATAGCACTTTTTAGAAGTTAAATTATAAAATATTTCAAATATTTAATTCTTTTTGATTTGGTATGTGTAGTCTTAGGCTTTTATAAATTGTAAGTCAGTGTCCAACAGTTAGCATATGCAGGAGAGCTACCATACTTTAATGGGAAAATAGCACTTTGGATATATATCAGGTGCTACATAGGATTTTTTTTTAATGTTTGGATTACTTGAAACTGATAGCACTTTAATGCAATGACTACCTGGAATGACCACTTTTTAAAAAATATAGTTTTGAAATTTTGAAGTATCTACAAATATTGAGGTCCGTGTTAAGTTCCAGCCATTGTGGAAAATTTAGTTCTTTTTCTACTTCCTCCTATTAACAAAAAGAAAAAGAAAAAAGAGACACGTACACTGCAAACTTTACAGAACTATTCCTGGTAAAGCTGTCCTGAATAATTGGTTTCTATTAGTTTCTTCTGGTTACTTGTTGAACAAGTCTTTATTTTGACTATAAATAACCTAGGATGCAGAATTCTGCTAGTTGAATTGCTAACCACATAACTAAAATGGCCAGACAATAACTTTTACACTTAGAATATTAGTAATTATTTTCTGGAAATAGACAAGGGCACCACTGAGGAGTCCGCTTGTAAACGTAAGAAACATTAAGTGATTATGATATGACATCTTAAAAAAAATAAAATGTAGGAAAGTAAGTTATGGAAACGTTACAAAAGAAGTGAAAAAAACATGCCACAACTCAAGATAATTTAAAAAGAATTACTGAGGAAATGTTACTTAATTCCTCGTTTTTCACTCAGCAGGTTGCTTGATTTTGCTACTTGTTTCACCAGCAGCATGCACTCCTCTGTTATGTACCACAGCATAGGGAAATGCTGCGCTGCTACAAGTATAACTTAGATTTGCAAGCCGTGATAGAGCTTTAATGCTACCTGGAGGTCTCCCTGGGCTGACTTTGTATCCTGCAGCTTTAGTTGTACCCAAGGGTCTACCTGGACTTGTCTTAAATCCAGCTGCTTTGGTGGTCCCCAGCGGTCTACCTGTGCTCGTTCTGTAGCCCGCTGATTTTGTGGTCCCCGAAGGTCTTCCACGTTTACCAGATCTGTTGAGGTTTTTCTTTTTCTTTATATCATCTTTCGTCTCTATACTCCTGCCACTTGTGGTCTGCAAATGTGGTTCATTTAACGCATCTTGTCTCTGGCATGGTATTGGCTTGTGGCTGACTGTGTGGCTATACTTGGTTTGTTGTGTGGAATACAAATCAAACTGATCAGTGGGGGTCACGTTGTCATCATTAAGGCAAGAACTCTTCCCAGGCCCACAGAAAGGGGAGTTACCGCTGGCAACAGGATGCATCATTTTCTACCAAAAGAGAGAGAGAAAGAGGGAGAGATGTAAAAAAAAGAAGAAAAAAAAGGTAGCATTCAGCAGGGAAATATTTGCAATGCCCTCCAAAATTAGACAAATCAGCACAGGGCACAAACCAACACCTAAACAAGACATCTTGAATATCAACAGACTCATTAATCAAATACTACTCCAAAACACTATCAATATATTACAGCATAGGTTTCTGCTAATTTTACATTTTTGCATTAATCTTTGATTTAGCACAAATAAATCTTACACAGAGTTTCAGTATTGCAATGATAGGTGCTTTAAAAAAAAATCACAGTGAACCAAAAGTTTCTTGTTAAATTAATTTTTATTGGTTTCATAATCATAAAACTTACAGGAACATAAAAAATAATGTTTCAGGGGCTATTATGTATAGATAGGATTCTACTGACTGTATTTTTCATATTTTTCTTCTTAGTTCTTTTCAGGTATATCTGACATGACCAAGAATTGAAAAAGCCATTCCAGTAAGTGTATACTGACATTTTATTTTATTTCTATTTCTTAAATTTTTATACTGCCCTTCATCTGAAGATCATGAGCAGTTCACAACATAAAGATACAAAATGAGAACACAAAATACATAATAAAAACAAGAACAAACCAGTAACCTCCCTTCCAACAAACACATTTAAAAGGACATAGATATTTTATGGTGGTACTCCATTGTTTATATTGTGTGTGTGAATATAAATAATAAAATCAAACCATTCCAAAAATAATTTGGCCCCCCCATGCTCAGCTTATGTTAGCTTCTCTGACATAATACTTCACATTTTGCATACTCTTTTGGGCTCTTTTTATAGTCTTTTTTCAAAACCAGACTGTCAATAGTAGATACAAAATCAGAGCTTTACTTTTAATATCTGTCATCTTAGAAGCACTATTCAGAAGTGCTAACTGGGAGTCAATGTTTATTTGTTGCTTTGTGATTAGTTCCTGGAAAAATAAAGACCAGAAAGTGTTTGCACAAGTGGCAGCACATTACTTTGGCCACACAGCCCTGCCATAAATTGAGGGTAATGGTTTTAATACAGTTTATATTGTGCATCTGGAAACTGGTTTTAAGAGTGGATAGTCTACAGTGAATTCTGGACTGCTGCGATTTCTCTGCCACAATCAATTTCCATGTTTTCCTATATACTAAAGACCAGTCCTCTCTCAACTGTATTCATATTCTCTATTCTAAGATAGTTAAGGATGCAGGGTCAGCTCTCATATTTTAGCTTCGTATTCTCTTTGATGCCCTAAATTTACAGTGCCTATATTCGCAAACTCGGGATGGGAGGCCAGTAGAATCAATTATGAAGTACCAGACATTGTTTTTTCTTTCCTGCTTTTCAGCATAGGTATGATGAATTTGTTATGAAGCAGCTCTCCTATTCATTCATAGATAGAGAGATATGACATCTCCCATGTAAATCCTTCTGGTTTTGATGAGGATTCAATCAAACCAAAGGTTTGATGTGACCCATTGTTTATCAGTCTCTTAAAAGCCTCTTAACTGGTTGGTCTCATAATATGGGCTCAGTAGTGGTGTAATTCTTTCTCTCTTTACTGATTGTTTGTATAGCTGCTTCTTGTTTATTCTAGGTCTCTTTCCTTCAAAGATGATGCTCTAGTCTACATTTCCAAAATACTAACTGTGGTCTTGGTATCCAGGTTGAAAACAAAATGGAAGTTTCTAAATGAATGTAAGCTTTGAAATATTTATCTATTTTAGAGAATATTTGAATATATACCAAAAGTAAATCAGTATGATGTCATCTCCGATCTTAAGAAAAGCTAATTCATTAAACAGGTGCATTATTATGAAAGGACTGTTCTTTTCCCAGATTGTTTCAAAAGCAATGGCATCAATGGAATTTTTATGGAAATGTTGTTATTAAACTTGGCCTAGAAAGAATTAGGTAATATGACACACAAATCTACTTATGTTGTAATTGTTCAGCAATCTGTGAAAACCACATTGTTGCTTAGAAAGATGACACTGAACTATTTAATTCAATAATTTCTCCATCAAAGGGGCTTAACTTTCCCCCAAAAAAACTTACATTAATTTTCAACACCTGACCTGTCTGCTGAAGAACATTTTAGAAAGGTGGGTAAACTAGAGGTGCTAAAGGTATACCAGTCAACATGTAATCTGGCCTTCGAAGTGGTGTTGAAATACAGTGTCTTAACATTAGGAAACAATGATCAACCATTTGAAGCACAAGCCCTTTTATTATCAATGACCTTGTCAATGTGACAATTTAGGATCATCTATCCTCAAAGTAGGGACGCGGGTGGCGCTGTGGGTAAAAGCCTCAGTGCCTAGGACTTGCCGATCGAAAGGTCGGCGGTTCGAATCCCCGCAGCGGGGTGCGCTCCCGTTGCTCGGTCCCAGCGCCTGCCAACCTAGCAGTTCGAAAGCACCCCCGGGTGCAAGTAGATAAATAGGGACCGCTTACTGGCGGGAAGGTAAACGGCGTTTCTGTGTGCTGCGCTGGCTCGCCAGATGCAGCTTTGTCACACTGGCCACGTGACCCAGAAGTGTCTCCGGACAGCGCTGGCCCCCGGCCTCTTAAGTGAGATGGGCGCACAACCCTAGAGTCGGACATGACTGGCCCATACGGGCAGGGGTACCTTTACCTTTTATCCTCAAAGTGTCATGGTGCTCACTGGAGACCCTACTGTCTGTGGAGGATTTCTCCACTAACCTCAGCAGCAGCTATGCCAGTGGCTTTGTTGTAATGTAGATTGATCAAGGCTACTTATACACTGGCTTCCAGATAGCTTTTCATGCAGTGCTGCTTCATGTACAACAAGCTTCCTATGCTGAAGTGAATTCAAAGTAAGGAGTTCCATGAATCCCACATGCACCTGGTCATTCAGTATACCTGAAGTAGTGTCTCTACCCCCATAGTTCAGCCCGGACACTGAGGTCCAGCGCCAAGGGCCTTCTGACAGTTCTCTCCCTACAAGAAGTGAGGTTACAGGGAATGAGGCAGAGGGCCTTCTCAGTAGTGGCACCCGCCCTGTGGAACACCCTCCCATCAGATGTCAAGGAAATAAACAACTATCTGACTTTTAGAAGACATCTGAAGGCAGCCCTGTTTAGGGAAGTTTTTAATGTTTGAAGTTTTATTTTGTTTTTAGTGTTTTGTTGGGAGTCGCCCAGAAACCCAGCCAGATGGGCGGGGTATGTATAAATAAATAAATCAAAACATGTTGTGTAATGCACACCATAGGAAGCTGGCATCTATCAATGCTTCCTGCCAAGTATATACATGACAATGCAGAATGTGTGTATTATAAATTCATATTATATATAACTTCCAAGTAGGGCATTTGTCTTGCATGCAGTCATGGTGTGCAGCAGGCACACTTCCAATGTTTTACTTTTAGCCAGAAGCATGTGAGGACACCATGTATATTCCATCATCATCATTTACTTTAGTAATTTAATTCCACTTAAAAACATTGAATTATGGGCGGTTCACAAAAATGATAAAATAAAATGTAACAAAAATATATAACAACTTGCTATTAAATATCCAGGAAAAATAATGAAACCAAGTTACAGTGGTACCTCGGGTTAAGTATTTAATTCGTTCCGGAGGTCCGTTCCTAACCTGAAACTGTTCTTAACCTGAAGCACCACTTTGGCTAACGGGGCCTCCTGCTGCTGCTGCGCCACCGGAGCAAGATTTCTGTTCTTATCCTGAAGCAAAGTTCTTAACCTGAAGCACTATTTCTAGGTTAGCGGAGTCTGTAACCTGAAGCGTATGTAACCTGAAGCGTATGTAACCCGAGGTACCACTGTACTGAAAAAATTCACAACACTCAAGAGTGGTTTAGTATAAAACACTTAATTTCACACAGGTTTGTTGTTGTTGTTCCTAAGGGCAACACATGGTCCTAGAATGGCCATAAAGAAGGTGCCAGTTGATCCTCTCTTGGAAGGGCATTGAACAGTTGAGGAGCTAGCACAAAAAAGACCTGGTAGCCACTGTCTTACTTCACTTGGCAAGGGCAACTGAAGCAGGCCTCTGAAGGGGATCTCAATGTTCAGTTAGGTGTATGTGAAAAAATGTGATCTTTCAGTTATCCTGCTTCAAAGCAATTAAGTGCTTTAAAGATTAAAATCAGCACTTTGAACTAGGTCCTCACATAGGACATGAGGCTGATGCAATATTATTCTACTATTCTATGTGGATAAACAATTAATTGTTGCAGGGACAAATGGGGGAAAGAGATGGATACAGGAGAAAGTTATACAGGCTATTAATAGAAGGAAAGCTGTATATGCAACTTCCTCTAGTTAAAAATATCCCAAACAATGGAAATGTTAGATTAGCTTTATGCTACTATTTGCTTCATGCTACTGATAAGAAGCAGCAGTGAATCAGATTCAGTATCTTGAATTGAACATTAATTTAACAAAATGGCAGGCCATACATGATTAAATAAAGATGCTACAATGTTTAATCAGTTTTAACAACTTTTATAGTGCAATCTTATATGTGCCTAAGTCTTATGAATATATCATTTTCCCCACTTAATTCATTTATTTGGAAGGAAACTGCAAATAAGTCAATGGGACTTACTTCCAAGTAGGTACTTATAGAATTGAACTGTTACCTGGATTAATCAGACAGCATATTTTTAAGCAAAATGTTTTATAAAAGTCATAAAACTGCAAATAGCAAGTATTTTAAAAGGTGTTCCCCCTTTCATGTAACATAGGAATGTCTCTTATAAAGTACACATACAACATATGTGAGTATGCATTAACAACACAGAAATTACTCATCTTGTTTCCATTCTATTGTTTTTACCATATGGAAGTGTACTCTGTTAACTGACAAAGACTCGTACAATTAATCAATTGATATCTCTTTAATCCGGTAACAACTCTATTATCAATCCTAAAATTGCTATCTGGTCAAGGATAGAACTCTTCCACCTTGTCCCAGGAAGTTTGTATGCTGCTCTTTGCAGTTCCTGTAGCAAAGAGCAGAACAAGCATTATTATAAAACAATTATAACATTTGGTATCCTGCCTTTCTTCCATTACTCAGAGAGGAGGATACAGGTGATTTTCCATCTGGGTACTGACCAGAGCCAGAGGGTGCTACCCCATGTGGCCACAAAACATGCCTTAGGTCAGGAATGGAAAGTCTTTGGCCCTTCAAGAGCATGGACTGCAATTCCCATCATTCCTGTTCATTCAGGAGGGAGATTGATGGAAATGGTTCCCACCAAAGTAGTCTGGTGAATAAGCACTCCAGCCTGCTGTGTCAAAATGCAGGCCTGAATGCTTTCTCACAGGAACTCCTCTAATAGAGGGGGCATTTGTGCAAGCAGATATCTTCTGGCCTAATCAACTTCACTCCTAAGGGACGGGGGGGGGGGGCAGTTGGCATGCTGCTTTTCTGGCTTTTACCAGTAAAGAAAAAAACATTGCAACTGGAATTCTCATATTGTAATGGGTATTGGAGATAAAATCAGTCTGATGTACATTCTTAGGCAATTTTAATAGCTTCCACTGGGATCTTGACATATGCTCAAATGTCTAATTCTATCCTCCAAATAAAAATCTGAGGATGCAAAATAAAGACACTATCAATAGCAGAAGAACATGCTAGAGACTGTACTTTACCATGCTCTTCACTAGTTTTGCAAAGACTGTGCTGAAGCCTCAGATGTTCAACAAACATTTTCTTAGATCAGCATGAGCAGAAAGATTTCTCCTAAACATCTACCATAAAATTAACATTTAATCTTAAAATATGTACAAGCTAAATGCATGACAACAATAATAGTGCAATCAAAAGTAAACCACACAAGAATCTGGGACCTACTTCCAGATAAGTGTGTATAGGATTGCAGGCTAAGCGCGCAATCCTACCTCTGGATGGGAAACAGCGGGGCAAAATGTAGTGATAGAACCACTGGTGTCTCCAAAGCCCTCCTACTTGCATCGGCTAGATTGGAAGATGGGGAGATTGAAATCACATTTTTTGCTGCAGACTGGTGCAGCAGAGGCACTCAATTTGGACCCCTCTCTGGGAAGTGGACCAGCTTAGGATACAGAGGATCTTTGTTACTCCAGTTCCACCCCAAACACCTTGGTATGGGGGTCGTCCAGCAGATCCATCACCAATAATACATTTGCATCTGCCATCCCTCCTGTGCTGCAGTGAGATACTCTGTAGCACCAGAAGTACCAGATACCCTGCAAGTGCAGAGAACAGTGTACGGGAATATGTTTTGGCTCCTACTCCCCTCCAGAAGCACAGATTGGGGGTTAGGATTGCATTTTAAATGTTTACAAGCATAAACTTAGATCCCATAAAACAATTCTAAAGCACACACTAGTGCTATACATGTAATGGTCTAATGAGATGCACTTAAGCAGCAGGTCTTAATAAATGTGGGTAGCACTAATCAATATAATATTTAAGTAACCAGCAATGCAAATATTTGTCAGTCCCATATATTAAAGGTATGCTTACACATATGTACAAAATACAGGGACAGGTAGAGTTTTTCATTAAACATGTAGTTGGTTAGATATAAACAAGAAATCACACACAAAGAGAACAGCTCAAAGTGCCTTTGTTAACTAATAGGACACTTAACAAGACAAATTCTAGAGAGATACTGTTCTAAAAACCACAAAATGTATATCTTTCCCTGCTACTGAGTGACCATAGCAGTTCAGGAATAGAGGGCAGACTGACAGAAGCTTATCCCTGCTTTCCCCTCCAACCCCATACTGGAGCATAATTGTCCTTCCTGGGACATTCATAGGGAAGACACAGTCGTTCTGTGTCTATATTAGATGGTGCCTGATTATCAGCACTGGGGGAAATTAAATAGGTCTTGGGGCATGGGAATGATAACCTTTTCCATCATTCCACTTGGGCCAAAAAGCTGTTAAGACTCCGCATCTGCCTTACTCTGGCTAGTTAAATAAGTTACCCTTTAATATGCTCTCTCACCTACATAGCCCTTTTGTTCACACTTGGATGATAGGCAGAAGCCGAGGAGAGGAGAGGCTTCCCTCCGTTTTTCCCCCTAGGCTTTTTGGCATTCGGTTTTTTGTTTCAATTTAGTTATATTTATGTGACGCGGCACAACTAAGGGTGGCTGCGGCGATGTTGCAAATTTAGACGGCTTCAACCACCACAAAAAGTCGTAGTTTTAATTTTGTGAGGGCCTTTGAAGAGAACAAATGAAATAAGGTGGAGGAAGCGCTGTGTGTGTGTGTGTTGCAGACCAAGCCACCCACCCCGTCTCGCCTACATGGAGGGAGGAAAAAGGGGAAAAAAGGCTGTCCAAATCTAGTTCAACCTACTGCTGCCGTGTCTGGGTGTCTATTCTCCGGGCACCCAGCGAAAGAAGGGTCCTTCATTCCACCCACCTAATTGTACAATTTGATACAGAAACTGGGGGGGGGGGAGTAGAGGAGGCGGAAATGGTGCCACCCCGCTAAACCCCACGGGCACCCCGGGGTGCAAGAAGGAGGGAGGCGCAGGGGGTGCTACCTTCCGCCGACTGCGCCCGAAAGGCGTCAGGAGAGAGAAAGGCGCTCTCCTTCCTGCCTGCCTTCCTTTCTTTGGAGCCAGCTGGGTGAGGCTCCATCTTGCGCGCCGGAGAACAGGAGAGAGCGGAGAGAAGCGGGCGGCACTCGCAGGCCCGGGGCGGCTCCTACCTGAGGGATTCTTGGCAGGGCGGAGGGGGAGGGGAGGGGACAAGGCGGCGGCGGTTGGTGGCTCGGTCCGCGAGGCGCGAGCTCGACGAGGGTTGTCGTCGTCGTCGTCGTCGTCGGGACGCGTCGCGGGGCGCTGGGGCCCCTCCCCGCCGCCGCCGGCTTCCTTCGTCGCAGGCGGCCGGGCGAGAGAGAGAGAGAGACCGGCGGGGGAGAAGCGGAGACGGCGGAGCGGGCCGCGAGAGCCGGGCCGGAGCAGCTGCAGGGAGCCGTGGCGGCGACGTGCGCGCTCCTGGTCTGGGCCAACGCGCCGCGGGAGCGAGCAGGAGAGGCAGAGGCCGACGGGAGGGGAGGAGGAGGGGAGGCGGCTGGTCTGTGAGGAGGAGGAGGAGGAGGAGGAAGGGAGCGGCAGGAGGACGCCTGAGAGGAAGGGGCCGCTCGCCGGGGGAGCCGCTCAGGGCCTTGGCTCTGCCGCGGCGGAGGGGCCGCCTGCTCTGAGGCGGAAGAAGAGGAATGAGGGAGAGCCGTGGGCCCACGAAGAGCCCCGCAGCGCTGCGAAGGCGAACCGGTGCCGTATTGTTGTGGCATAAGCTCATCACCCCGCCCCCCATGAAATGTTAGCCCCCATTTGGCAGACGTATAAAACACACACACACACGGGTGTGGGTAGGGAAAATGTAAACAGTGGAGTCGAATTGCAATGAAACGGGAAAAGTGCAGCCCGCGAGCATTCAGCTGAAAGATTAAATGACTGCAAAATATAAGCAAGAGGAGCGCCGGTAAGAAGGCTCTCCTAAACCCAATTGCCAGGGAGAGGGAACACATCAAACTTGATGGGACTTGCTCCTGCCTAGCCGTGCATGCATATAGGAATATCGCCTCAACTTTCTCTTAAGAAAGTGCTGAGTGCTCTTTACTGTAAGAATAGTAGTTCAGTAGCCTTTCCATGTTAAGCAGCTGCCTTAATGTTGAGTAATATTAGAATTCGCTCATGATTAATGTAGGTTTGGATACAACGCATGCCAAGTTTGGAAACATTTTGGTCACTTGAAGTGGACTATTTTCATTTTAAAAAACGGAATGTGCTGGAGGAATAATTTAAGGCAGCTATGCTATTATCCTAAGGCGGTGAAAGCTCGCCGCAAGAGCGCGTGTGTTAGGGAGGAGGGGTGGGAAGGGGATGCTCACAGATGTGAGAGGTGGATTGGGGAGAAAGAGAAGGGTGAGACCGAAGGTAGAGAAGATGTGGGGGGGAGACACATGGCCAAGAGGGAAGAGATGAGGGACTGAGGAGAGAACAAGAGGTTCTGCAGTCTTCTGACTGGATAAACTCAGGGCGAGTAGTTTAGAATTTACCAGCCAAAGCATCTTAATCAGTTTTGGCAACAATGAGTCATGAGCTGTGGAACTTTAAATGCATTTTTTTAAATTGCAGCTGGATCCTCTCAACTTGGGTTTAAGCTGTCATAATGGCAAAAGTTGTATGAGCATCCCGTGCAAGGCAAGCAAAATGGAGTTATAGCTCTCTGCCCCACATTTCTCAAGCCTCTTCTGATGCTCTTGACATAGTTATGTGCAAGCTCTGACACTGGCTCACTGTTGTCTACAATGACAGGCAGTAGTTAAGGGTTTTAGACAGGGATGTGGACCAGCCTTACCTGGTGATGCAAGGGATTGGACCTAGGATCTTGTGCATGTAAAGCAGATGCTCTACCCTTCAGCCCTTCCTTGTAGCTTTGATGTCATAACAGAAGGATCATGGAAAGTTTTTATCTATCCTTGTAGAAAGATCTAGGATGAGTGTTACCATGATCCTTCTGTTATGACATCAAAGCTGCAATCCTAAACACACATAGGAGTAAATGCCTTTCAATGCAGTGACTTTTATTTCTCAATAGATACTGATAGGATTGTACTGTAAGTGATACAGGAGATCTTAGCTTCATTCTGTGGGTGATTTCTATACCTACACATGCTACACAATATTAGAAATATTAAATTGAATTAATATTTGCATATTCTTAGATTAGTTTTATAAAATGCTATTCTACTTGGCCTTTATAGTATTCCATAGCAATATACAATTACAAGACTGTTGTGTCATCTGTGTTTTAAACAGATTATCAGATCAAATATATTGTGACAAAAGCTTTCATAAGTTACATCTGATAAAGTGGGCTCTCGCCCAAAGCAGCTTATGCCACAATACATTTGCTAATCTTTAGGGTGTCACCACCAGGACTCTGATGTTTTTAAATTATCTTCTGATGTGGGCATGTGAAGGGTTAGTATCAATGGCATATCTGCCTCAAAACAAAATTTATTTTACAGCATTCCCATCAAAAGGGCCACCTTACTTCCTTTACACACACACACACAGTATAAATAAGCATTAGATTTAAAGACTATTTTTAAGGAAGACATTGTGTGGATTAAAAAAAACACAAAACCTTGTGTTATTTTGAATAGGGAAGACAGCTGCTACCCTGCTGCCACACATTACCCATAAGTAGCTGGGTACATGCAGCATGAGGCAGCAGAGTCTTTGCAGCAGCAAATAAACAATTAAATATTAATCTACTGCACTCTTCATAACGCTTGCAAGCAGAATGGAGCCAGAGTGCAGTTCCCTTGCTGGCTCTTTCCTTAGAAAGGCTTGCTATAAAATGGACTCCTTTTAGAATATGAGCTGAAGCGCAGAATCCGTGAATGCTGGACCCTTCATCCCAATATCAAAACCAAGGATTACGGAAACGTAAACCTTCATAATTTATCTGCACATATTCATGGTGGCACAAACATCAGTTATTCTTGTTGACAACATATTCATTCTTCCTTCAGTTAAAGCAGGTCCTACTTTTGTGTTACAATAGTGTAAACTCCTCTGCCGCCACATTGATGTACAAATGTATCCACATAAATGCATGTTTACATTAATGGAATTTCAGTGTGATTTATAAACTCATAGGATGGCTATAGTTGGTTGCAGGCAAACCCCACTGAAAACTATTAGCTTGTATCTCTAGTAACTAGATTCTGTGAGCTACCAGACTAGCACATAATTTTGTCTAGTCTAAGGACCAAACAATTGTAAAAGACAAAACTGATGCCCCACCCTCATATGAGTGCTATTTCCTTGTAACTTCTAACAAAAACATGTGAACAACCTGAAATCAGGCTACCTAAGGGAGTGCTTTGTTATGTATTGGCCTGAGCTGTCATTAAGGTCTGCTGATGAGACCTTCCTGGTTGTGCAGCAGCCTAGAGAGATGACAAGCAGAATGAGAGCCTTTTCTGTTGTGGCACCATCTCTGTAGAATCGTCTCCTCTCAGAATTAAGGCAAGCACCAACCCTGCTACTTCATATTTTCTCCCTCTTAACCACGTCTAGTTCCTTGCCCCTCTCAGCAGCAGAATCAAACCACGTCTGCTACCTTCCTCGTAGGACTAAGGGACTCTGCTTCACATTTCACATAACAGCCCACAGCAGTACTACACTGGGGAATACTAGGGTTGAATTACCACTCATTGTTCAGTGCTAGTTAGAACATATTCTTAGGAATGAGTTGCCTGTATTTCTATTTAAACTGGATTATATTTTCACCTGGAATTACTGGGATTGGCAAGAAGGCATCTATCATGTCAGATTATTACTTAATGAATTACTGCCTTGCGTTTCCAAAAAGGTAATAAACTGTTGCAGCAAAAACAGCAGTGTTGCTGCAACTTTAAAGACTAAGCAATTAATTATAGTCACTTTCATGGACTAGAGCCCACTTCAGCAGATGAATGGAAAATTATCCCAAGTTGGCAGGTGTAAAAATATATACATTATAAATATATATACAATGTTAGCTGTGTGGTCAGATCACCATCTTCTGTACTGCTGCCACAGTGGTAGACCAATTAGGTTGGGTGTCCTGAATTTTGGGAAACGAATGAATTCCAGTATACTTAAGAACTGTTCCATTGATGGGCTGGTGGACCTCAAACATTGACATAGTGGAAAGCAAACATGATGTCCTCCTGCTGCTCTGGCTCAGGTTTCTGATACAAGGGGAAGCTAAAGATATTGAATGATAAACAAACTACTGTGGAAAGTTTATGTAATATCAGGTTGATATGCTTAAAAAAACCATGTACCACAGCACTCTATCAATATATGAAAATGCACATTCTGTACTTTAAATCACTTCCTTACATCTCTCCTTACATCTCCATAATGTATTCATTACAGTGGTGTGAAAGCCAAAGTAGTTGGGTGACATCCAATTGTGGCAGCCTACTAGCCCATATATTCTGCTATCAGGAGCACCATTCTTCATATAGCACAACAGCCAAATTCAGAGAGGGGGCTTAGGCCTGTAGGAGAGTTGTGCTTAGTTTTTTTAGGTGTTGTTACATTACATCTGCTTGCACACTACCACTAACTCTCCCACTCCTTGCATGAACATGTTGGGGGGGGAAATACCCTGTAAAGAGCAAGGTTGGTAAATGTGCTAGAATAATATGCCAGGGCAAACAGAATGAGGTAGCCTGAGAAACAAGGTGCCCTTTAAATCTTGGGTTCAGCAGATGCTGCCTACACGCACGTGTAATATTTTCACCACAAGAGGTCTGTATTATTAGAGACACACCACAGAATTTCCTCAGGAAACCCATATTTTCTACCAGACTAAATAGGCTGTTTGGCTGTGCTTTTCAACAAGAATGTGGCTTTAAAAAAAATGGACATGACCTTCCCCTCTTGGGTTATGCGATGGCTTTTGTTCTCTAGCTCAGATAGGATTGTTAAAAATATTTCAGACCTTTGGAATAAAAACAGCTGCAGAAATGAGTAATTTATCTTACCTCAAACCAAAGCCTTGATCTCGGGAAGAATTAGAAAGGGCTGAAGTAACAGTAGTATGAGTTTTTGCATGTTTACGGAACACTAAGTAGCAGGAAGAAGTAGCACAGAAACCTTTTCAGTCAAACCAGCTTTTGTGCTCCATAATGATTTTGTTAATTATGTATGAGACTTATTTCTGCCTCACTGATTTTAATCTTATCTGTGGCCTCCCTAGAAGTCTGCAGCAAAAAAGCAGACATCGCATCAAGTCATATTTGTAAGACATAGAAGACATCCCTTAAAGAATGGCTTTTTCTCCATATACAGCTTTACATAGCTTGAATAGTTTTTCTGACTGAACCTCTTCTTCCTTTTACTACTCCTCCGATGTAGAGGTGGAGGGGGTTAATCTTTTTTCAGTCAGTGGTAGGAAAAGTAGATATTTTATTTATATATCACTGAATTACAGTCTTCTCTAACCTGTGTAAAGAAACTCAACATAACAAAAAATGAGTAGTGTGTGCATATGCAGAAGACACCGTCAATCCTTAGCCTTGCAAATTGCAAACTATTTTTTCTGATTCCCAGGGCAGTCAGTCATGTCCTTTCCCCGCACCCATATAATTTCCTCTATATTGATCAATAGCTACCTTCACTGTAGTAATTTATTTTAAAGCATGCTTTCTAAACAAAGAAGTTACTAAACTCTAAAATTAAAGCTGCAATCCTGCACTCACTTCCCCGGGAATAAGTCCCATTGGGACTTACTTCTGACTAGATAAATACACGACTACACAGTAAGTTATCTTTAAACAGTTTAAAAAACAATTTTAAGGTTGATCTATGGATTTTACATTTTTCAGTCAAGAGTGCTGAGGAGAAATGCATTTTTCCTGTCCTAAACCATGGTTAAGTAGAAGGCAGAATTTCTTCTATTCTAGCCTTTAAGAACACAAACTTGTTTAAGCAGATACCATATTTGGAAGAGATCTTGGTCAAGAAAAATAATCATAGGAGCAGCACATTCCTTTTCAGTCATGTGACTGGAAAAGCAAGCAAATAAACGTGCCCTAAAAGGCGGGGTAGAAATATATTAAATAAACGTGCATGCACACGCAGGAACACTCTCCCCATTATGTTAACATAAAATGTTATCAACAAAGGATAGCAAGCTGCAAGTGGTATAAGATTTGCAAAGCATCTTTCAAGACTAAATACATTACATAAGAAGACAAAAGGTTTTGCCATCAGAAGTTAAATCATAGGCAAGACACAGCAGGGGAGGGAAGTGAAAGGAAAGGGGTAGATGTTTGAGAACAGTTAGAAGATGCTAGTATAAAGAGGCACATTTTTTAAATCAGGAACTGTTATTTTTAAATACTTGTACCCCACCCTTCTCATACATCAGTATCAGTTAAGCTTACAATAAAAAACACTGATATATTAAAACAAAAAAGCTTCAAACCGGAAAAAGGCTCAGCAGATAAAAATATTATAAACAAACAAAAGGAAGGAGCCAGCCAGATGTCAGGTGGTAAAGAATTCCAATGACAGGGAGCAGCAAGCAAGAAGAGGCAAGCTCAGGATATGGAGGATATAATCCTGTGGACATTACAGGAGCGAAGAGTGTGTGGAGCAGCAGATATATAAGTGGAGCTGTAAGAATGAAGGCATTTAAAAGTTAACAGAAGAAATGTAAGTAGAATATGAAAAGAATTAGCCAATATAAAAAGCAGAAACAAGCAGGAAACAGCTATAGGGACAAGTTGAACAGATTATGAAGAATCCAAGGAAGAAGAAAGAGAGAACATATGGGGAGCAAAGCAAAAGCAAGCTTACAAGTTGATGGCTCATCAATACCTAAAACTCAAGTTGTCAAAAAGTATTTCATTTTTATGCATAGCTTCATTATTATTAATTTCAATTGTATAACACTACACATTTTAAAGAATAAAATATCAAAGCCGTTAACAGCCTACAAACTTTGTACAAATTATACACGTAAAAGGAAGTGTTGCATAAAGTAGTTTAGTAAGCAGATGATATGGTATTATTCAGGATGCTAAAAGTCAAAGCAGACTTCAAAGATTTCCAGTGGGAAACAGGATGGACTTTTTGTCTGATCCAGCGTATCACTTTCTATGTCAATTTCCACAGAGGTAGCAAATGTTTTTAGTGTATGTACTGACAAAAATACCTCCTATATTTGACATAGAACCCACTATGTCTACAAATATGCACGTACTTTTCTTTCAGCAGAAGCTGGCTGAGTCAAGAAAACATCCATGTCTTAAACCAAAATAAGCTCAGATCCAGATGAGAAAAAATCAACCTTAGTTTTAAAGCATTTCAATGTTTCTAGATTTGAAACTGTAGTTCTTGTGACCTGTTGCTTATCACAGAGAGCTCCTGGCATTTAACTTTCCTTTTAAAAATGTAGCTGAACTGCTGGAGTGAAATACCAAGTCTGAGCCAAGTAAGGAAAAAACCTTAGCTATTCAGTATTTTCAGAAAAGGAATACACAATGACGTTTTATTTTATTTTATGAGGAAGTTAGAAAACACACATATAATGAAATTGTTCTTTACAAAGACCTTGTATTCATTCTAAAACTGAAAATTACAGGTAAAGAAAGAATTAACTATCTTCTCAAATGAAATGTTTCCAATATCATGGCTTCTCAAAGTAGTTCCCGTCGCAAAGTATTTAACAGCACAATCATGCTCCTGCTAATCTCCTCACCTTCCCATGAATTCTTACAGCCCAGTGAAAGTGTTTTAGATTTTCTTTTAAAAACAAAACAGCTACAGTCCTACCACATGGCAAGTCAAAGCTGTTGAAAAGTGAAACATAAAATCAGCACAACACATGTCATTGATCTGGCAAAATATTTTGGGAAGTCCAACACAGTTAAAGGCAATTCATGCTTTGAAAAACACATGAGCTTGTTTTGGTGTTCCAGTTTATTAAATTTAGAGCCTGATTTATTTAGATCAATGTACATTTTACATATTAAAATTAGATTTTGCCCCATAGCATCACACCCTTCTACAAGACAGACATTTCAAAACTGGACAAATTTTCAGCTCCCAATTATTACTGCCATTGTTTACACAGATACCACCAGTGATGCAATAATAAAGGCAAAATTAGAAGAATTTGAGAAAAGTTCTCTCATAAATGTTAATGTGATAAGAAGTGGAAAATGGAATAGCTTCGGAACCAGGGAGAGTTAGACTAAGTTCTCAGTTAAGTGTCTACAGGTCAGAGACTGTCTCAAGTAGGCTACCATATTCTGATACAATAGCCACCAACATTGGAGGCGACTGACAAACTATTTTCTCATATGCCGACACAGAAAAATGGGGGGAAATAATTAAAGAATATATATACACACACATTCACAATAAGCTTGACTAATTCTGTACTTCCCTTATGGAAAAAGATTTCTCATGTAATGGAAGTACGATTTCTCTCATTAAATAATAAGTTCAATTTTTAAAAAAACTTTTTTTGCTAATTCCTAAAACCAGACATGTATAGAAAACTTATTAAATCTTCCAAATTTCTCATTTTGCAGGAAAATATACAGACACTACTTTTGTTATCCTTATGCATCAAAGTCCATTAAGAGTTTAAGTACTCACGATTTCCAGGCCATTTATATGGTTCTAGAAGTTCATATGCCTCTCACTGGTCTAACTCGGAATGGGAGGAAGATGGGCAAGGAAGGTTTTTTCTATGCGAGTGGGAAACTTCAACCTTTGTTGAAGTACAACTATCACCCCCTGTTTAAGATTTTTCAAGCTGAGCTTATACTAGTTGTCCAGAAAAGTTGTAACTGATTTTATTCCGTATACATAGAAGCACACAATTTTTTAAAAAAACCCTTTAATTATGCCCTCCTGAAACTGTTGTAATCTGCGCAGAAAAGGACCCCCTGACAAAAGTAATTTTGATCTTTAAAAAAATCCAGCATGACTACATTAAAAAATGTAATTTACAATAAGCAGTGTAAATAGCAAAGATAAACAGAAATGACAAGTTTCACAAATGAAAACTGGCAGACATATTTACTCCAAATATTTATAAAACTTTGTATCTTCCTTTGTTGGTTGGTTGGTATGAATTTTGCTGTAAGAGAAGAAAGCAGGATACGATTAATCAGACATATAGTTAGCATACTTTCTAAGCCAACTCAACTATAAAAACAGTAACAAAAGTATATTACAGTGTAGCAAAACAAGAGTGTCTAAGGGCAAGGAAACACATAATGGAAAGCTCAATAAAGCATTTGATTGTGAGTTTAAGTGTCTGAAGTCAGCTCACCATGGAATAAACAAAGAATCCCAAATCCGAATCCAAAAGAAACATGATACAGAGCAGAAAATTATTAACATTGGTTTTGAAAAAAAGAAAGCTTCAATTTACAAAAGGAAATAAATCAGTTGTCTTCTATGGAAAGGTAAGAGATGTTTCCAAAGAAGCACATATGCAACCCTCTTAATTTTTTTAATGTACAAGGATATGTTTGCTAACCTCTTGGAGAGATGTCTCTAATAGCAAAATCCTCACAGTATTCTGTATCTGTTGCTCTAACAGACTAGCAAGAACACAGGGGGGCTGACTGGTCCAGTACTTCTGGATTTGAGGTATTAAGTATAAATAGCTTAAGGGAGCAATCCTATGCTTCTGTGGAGGGCGCCTGGGAGGCTGCTGAATAACTTGAACCTTCCTCTCCATGACTAGAAAGGGAGGACCATGCTCAGAGGCCTCACTGGTTTGGCAGCACAAAGCCCTGCTGCCACAGCTTATTGGTCCTCTGCTCAGAAGGCAGTAAAACAAAGCGAGTCATTACAGGAGCATGTCAGGGCAGATTGGGGGAGGCACTGGCTCTCCTGGATCCAAAGCTCCTCCATTTCCCAGAAATGCCTTGAGAACGCAGGAGTAACTATACCAGTTCTGGAGCTGGTATAGGTTATTTCCCCTCCCACTGGAAACAATGAGAGGGTTTTTCAAACAAAGGAATCGGTGAGGAAAAAAGGGAGAGGATTAGGTAAGAAGCCACCCACACAACTATATTTTGCCCTGTCTGGCATAAACCTGGTAGGGCTTTTGGAAATGGAGGCTACTTCACCCCTGAGTCTCCCCCGCCCTCCATGAACTTCGTAGGATTAATCTGTCCAGATAGTATTGCGGAATTATAGCACAAGTGGCAAACTGCATCTGGCTAATCCAGAATTCCTTCATGCTCCTTGAGCAGTTTCTACACATGGGTGGGGCTGCCCACCTGCCATATGACATGAGGTGATTTTCCTTTGAATCTCTAAGCGTGCTCCTGATTTTTCCTTTGCAGCTCTAGCTTAATACACTTCTAAGATCAAAAGGAAAACCCCAGAATTCAAGTTGTTGCTGCAAAAGAAGAAATGCATTCTTCCTTTAATCTGGTGCTTTTTTTAATTTGGCAGGGCAACAGAAAAAGATACCAAAGTGCCAAATTCTATCAGTGGCTGGTCTCCTATTTATTCCTTTACATTTTAGCCATGTGGATTCACCTGCCCCTCACCTGCTGTCACACGATGTCAGGTGTTGGACGGGTGGGCATGGTTTAGACCAAACTCATGCCACATGTCAAAAGGGGAAGCCTGAAAGGCCTAATTAAGCGCGCGGGTGAGCTGCTCCCCACCGCTGATAACTGCTATGAAATACCTGGAATTTCAGACAAAAATTATGACTATTTCACCTACCAGTCTGATAAGCTCTTCTTTGATAAGCCTGGTGATTTCTGCCTTTGCTTTCTGCACAGCCAATTCATTGGCACCTGAAAGCAGAAAGTAAACAAAAATTAAATCATCAAGGATGAAGCAAGCAAACAGAAGAATCACATTGTGTTGGTAGCCATGAAAGTGCTTCAGTAATCCAATAATTCGTATATTGTGACATTAAACCTAAATTAAGTTTCATAATGTTATACACATACATATTCACATTACCAAGAAATTCAGCAAAAACAGCAAGAAGAAATTAGTGAACAATGGAACAAGCACCCTCATGTCGCCTTAAATCCATGGGGCTTGCATGGAGTTCCCACCAAAATTAATAACAAGGATATACGTATGGGAATGTGCTTGCCAGGGTTACATATTTAGTGAGTTTTGTATGTCTGAATAGCTATGCAGGAGTGATGCAATTCTCTCTTTCTATGACATTACACCAAATTTAAAAGCCATTAAAATAGTTTAGGTCTAAAACAGTGGCTTCCCATATGAAACTGCCTGCACACTTTGATTAAATAAAGGAAACCGTGCTCCAGTCTCTGCTCCCAGCAGAGACACCGTGGGTGGTGATCTGAAAGGAGGCCTTCTCGATGATGGGCTGCAAATGCCCCCAAAGAAAAGAGTGAGATGTTCCTGTAACTAAGAATTCAACATCCTGAAGTTACACTGGCAGTGTCTTATGGCTATGGCTGATGGTGGTTAGATAAGAGGTAGGAAAAGAGGGTTGTAGAATCTTTTTTACCATCCTCCTAAAAAAACCAAAAAGGTAAAGGACCCCTGACAGTTAAGTCCAGTTGCGAACAACTCTGGGGTTGCGGCGCTCATCTCGCTTTACTGGCTGAGGGAGCTAACATTTGTCCACAGACAGTTTTTCCGGGTCATGTGGCCAGCATGACTAAGCCACTTCTGGTGAAACCAGAGCAATGCATGGAAACGCCGTTTACCTTCCCACCAGAGCGGTACCTATTTATCTACTTGCACTTTGACGTGCTTTTGAACTGCTAGATTGGCAGGAGCTGGGACCGAGCAACGGGAGCTCACTCCGTTGCAGGGATTCAAACTGCCAACCTTCTGATTGGCAAGCCCAAGGCTCAGTGGTTCAGACCACAGCGCCACCCGTGTCCCTTACCATCCTCCTAGCTGGAGCCAAAAGTAAAATGGTGGCTGATGTGCAGAGGCAATTACCTGCTGCATCCCAAGAGCCCCATTTGCTGAGATGACCTGTACATGCAAGATGTGATACAAATTTGTATACGCCTTAGAGCTTGTAAGTTCTTGGAGCTTGCCCTAACGTGGCTCCCCTCCCCATCACATGGAAACATCTAACAATATGGAAGATTCCTGCTCCAATAATTGAGGCTGCCAGGAGTGTCTGGTGTTGGTCTTAGAACTAGAACAATGCAGTGGAGTGTGCTCACCCCCTTCAGTTGAGAGAAAGACAGGGAACAGGCCCTATCTACCACTGACATTTCATCCTGCTACTGTATGGGCATTTCCGGTTGGGGAGGACAAACCTGAATCTACTCTGGTGTGTTACCCTGGTCAAGTCTGGGTACTTGTTTTGCTCCAGCTTAAAAATGCCACCACCAGAAGCCCTGCACTTCCCCTTGCTTTTGACAAATCATCGCAAATATCTTTAGAGGGTCAAGTCGCTGGCTGGTTGATGGGAAAGGTGGCTTGTAATGAGCTGACAGCTTGTTTGAACTCCATGCACCTTCACAGTAACCACTGTAACCGGAACACACATCCATTGTCCTTCATCTCCAGGTGAACCAATGGGAAGTCCAGATGGCAGTATTTAAAAATGTAAAAGCTACTATTGTTCAACTTGCTCCTTTAATTTCTTCTTGTCAGCAATTTTGGACACTCTGGTCAACAGTGAGCCCTCTGCTGGTGTGGGCACACAGGGAAATGTCAGACCATGTTGACTCCTGAAACTACTCAATATTGCAGGTTTTCCACACCTTGTTGCAGATGTACCCTCCTGAATACTGGCTTGTGTCAAATTGACTATGTGGTTAATCACTACAGCCAATATTTGTGTCAAGCACTTCTTCCACCTCACTGAGAATAGGGGCACATATCACCTGATGTGCCAACTTTTCTAGAACAAGGCAGAATTCCTTTCTTTGCCCTTTAAGAAAGCAACAATAGATGTGTCTGGGCATCTTTTCACAAGAACACAATTCACTTGACTTTCTAGCCTAGTTAGCTGCAATGCTTGCTAAAAACATGCCCTATGTGGCATTCATTTTACATTCACCAGACAGCTGTAATGGGAGTTTTCCCATAACAATTGTTAGACTGTACTAAATATATTGTTTTAGTGGAAATGATTAGCAATACTCACTCTCAATGGCCAAGTAAATTTTTCGTTCTCCTTCCTTGGGCTCTTTGCCTGGAGGAAAGTATGTTCCTCTGATTGTAATGGCAGCTTCAGAATATTCACTTATTCTGTGCAGAGCTTCCTTTGATGTTACTTTCCACCTGGCAGTCTGTAAAACAAAAGAAGCAAAGAAAAGTAAAAGATGCTAAGTATTAAATCTAAAAAGCCTAAGTGGAATTCTAAACAAAGGGACTGCACAGTAAGTAGCATAACAGAATGACCGGAAACCAGAAATGGGGACACAGTGTAAGTGATTAATGCTTTGATATTTAGAATTAAAAAATATATATAAGTAAAATTTTATAAAAAGTATATTAAGCGCCATTTAATAGTTCTTTTCTTTCATTACTACGTAGGACAATTTTAAAAAGCTAAACACTTAATGTATCAGAAATAGTCTATATAAAACATTATCAGAAGACAGCTATATATATATATGCGCAAGCTGTCCTCAGATAATCATTATATATATTATTATAAAACAGCCCTGGTGGAAGTGTAGTTTTGTTCATGAATGAAGTCTCTGCAGTGAGTTTCTGAAGTGCCTTTATGAGTTGCAAAGAAAAATTATTTGGCAGAATGTCAATGGATTATTAAGTGTGAATATAGTTGACATATTTTTAAAGTAATTTTCAAGACAACAAAAAATATATTGGTCAGAAAACAAAAAGTAAGGAAATCTTATTACGTGGAAGAATATCCTTTTCAGTGTGAAAGTTTCAATCCTTCATTAAACCACAAATGCTGCTTAGTGAGAAAGTCCATAGTTGCACAGCAGCTGTTAAACAGTTGATAATATTAAGGATGGATATGGCAATTAAGAACCTATGCTAGCAAGAAACTGTCTACTAGATTCCCAGCTAGAGCCCTGAGCTATCCAACCACCATTGCAATATGAAGAATCCACCACCACAAAATCTTGCCTGTGGGAAATCATTGATCTCCAGTTCTTCCTCATATCTTTTAAAAGATTCATTTTGTCCGCCTTCCTGTTTTTCCTCCTCTTGTTTCTCTATGGGCACGTAATTCAGCTTGGCATTGATCTTCTCAGCCAGTTGTTCGGCAATGGTCTTTGCAGATACGGTTGGAGCCTGAATGGTGCCACCCCTCAGGATAGCATTTGTAGCTTGCTGCATCACATCCTGTAATAAGGTATTTTTTAAATAAAACAAAACAAAACAAATTTCAGAAACATACCACAGCATGAGGTAGTACAAGAATTTTATCAGCATATGAATGTTGTTTCATAACCACCTGTGCATATATATTCTAAACCTGCACAAATGAGACTGACTAATCCCAGGCCCCCTTGGATGTACAAACAAAACAAACGTTGAACTGAAACAAAGACAATATTATCCCAGGATAACTAATCATATAAATTCCCAGATGGGTAGCCATGCCAGCCTGTTGCAGCAAAAGCAGTTAAAAAGACTGGAAACAAAAATGCTTGTGGTACCTTAAAGGCTAACCAGTTTATTATTGAATAAGCTTTCATGGATGATGAACCATAAAGGTTTATGCCATAATAAATTTCTTAATTTTTAAAGTGGCATAAACTGCTATTTTTAATCATAAAAACGGGCCTTCAGATGGTCTTTGCATTCTAGTAGCAACTATATATAAAAGCACAGCACACCTCACATAAAAAATTGATACAATTATGAGCAGAACCTTGGTGTTCAAAGTTAAGCCTGAAATCAAACACAGTGTAGTCAGAAATGCACTAGCTATAATCCAGGTTACAGCAGATGTGACGTGCCCAGGTTTTGGAAGGAACTGCCAGAATAAATAATGCAGGCTAGGGCCACTGCTGTGACAATCTACAGATCTGCAATACTGGATATATCTTTTATTTAGATAATAAACAACACAGTGTATTTTCCAAGAGTGATCTTGTTCATGTATCGTTAGACCCTGAAATTTTAACAGTGGAGCTGCTCTCATTACAGACTTAAACTCATCAATACATTATCAACTGGGCAGGTCAGCTATGGGCCAAATTATAAGTGACTGGAGCAGCTACATGCATTCAAGTATGAAGCGGAACATCTGTCCTTTTTGAATTTTTATTTTATTTTATTTTTTGCACCTAGGAGTATATGCCAGTGAGGAGAGCTATTCTTTCCTTTGCCTGACGCGGCTGGCTTCCTCTGCTGCAAGCATTTTTCTCCCCACTTCAGATATTAGAGTTGGCTGGGAGTGTTTTGAACCAATGGAGCACAAGGCAAAGGAAGGGATGGCCTAGCTTCCCTCATCCATGTACTATTTTTTATGTCTGCCCAATTAAGGCATGAAAGTGAGACATATTCCTAAATAAATATGGCTGCCCCATCACATCAAGTTTGGCCTAACAGAACTAAAACAGCATTTTGCTACCAATTATGCTTTTAAATGAAAATGCTGAAAAGCGTTAGAAGGCTGTTGTCCAATTTTGCACGGGTTTACATACAGGTATGTCTATAAACATGGCCTAAACTGTATTGTGTTGGCTTGTTTGCAGAATGAGCTTATAATAAGAGGAAAAGAATCTGGAACAGGATTAAGCACTTTCTCAAAACAGCTGCCCCCAAGTCATGACTCCCTTTCCTAGGTTGCAACTCTATACAAGCAACCAAGTGGTAGGGATCCAAAAAGCCCAAGGGTTTCAGGATGCTTTTGTTATACAAAAGAAAACAATGCTAGGCAAAAAACTGTATTTGTAAATCCTCTGTTCCAAACACTGCTGTTCCAGAAATCCACACCTGCATTTTCTGCATGCAAGTAGTTGCATGCATCTTTGGATTCTGGCCTAAGTTTTGAATGGAGTTTTATCCTAGTACAGTGGTATCTTGGGTTAAGAACTTAATTCATTCTGGAGGTCCATTCTTAACCTGAAACTGTTCTTAACCTGAAGTACCACTTTAGCTAATGGGGCCTCCCGCTGCCGCCGGTGCGCAATTTCTGTTCTCATCCTGAAGCAAAGTTCTTAACCCAAGGTACTATTTCTGGGTTAGCGGAGTCTGTAACCTGAAGCGTCTGTAACCTGAGGTACCACTGTACCATGAAATACCTTCTATGAGAAAAACCCTCCGCTTCTTAGCAAAATGAACTCACCCCAAACATAAAATCCAAGGACCAATAGAATTGAATAGATTACACCCAAAAGTAATATAAAATTAGTATGGTGATGTCTTTTACCTGCTAGTGATAATCTGACTGGCATGCTATTTATTCTCTGAATGATCTCAACCAGTCACTGATCATTCAACTAGCTGCTATAACTGGTTGCTCTTTTTTTTTTGCTGTGACAGGAGGCTTTTCATATGGTTTTACTGCTATGCTGCATTTATTTATTTATGATTGTAACTAAATTTTTACTGTTTAGTTTTATGTTATGACTGTTAGTTGCTCTGAGAGTCTGTGCTGAAAGAGCAGCAAATAAATTCTGTAGCATTTTAATGCCTCCTGTTACCAAGACAACTGAGCCAACACACTCTCTTTCCATGCAGTGAAATTACCTCAGCATGCCAAGATAGGAAAAAGTGACTGAGGTGCTTCAGCGATGGGAATGCTCCCGATTTTACTGCACTGTGGCAGTTTCACTGCCGCACAGCAAGGCAGGGAGCGTCCGCCCAGCTGCCTCAGCAACCAAGGCATGTGTCCTACTCCCCTCCCTGATGGCCAACACTGGCCATTATCGTATGATTCCCTCTATGTTCCTTGACCGGTTAGAGTAAGTCAGAGGAGAAGATAGCTCAGACCCAAAAAATAAGTGCCAAAATACCTACAGAGGAAGAAACGAGAGTTGTGAATTGTTGCAGAGAAAAGAGATCCTGTTTAAGGTTTTCCGGCAACTTTGCATTAACTCATGATTCTGGCATGTTCTCCACATTGCACACAAATAGTGGGCAAAATACTGCTCACCTAGGAAGTGGCTCATGCAGAACAAAAAGTATATGAACAGTAACCCATTTTCAGATTAAAAAATTCCTTCCAGTAGAACCTTAAGAGACCAACTAAGTTTGTTATTGGTATGAGCTTACGTGTGCATGAACACTTCTTCAGATACACTGAAACAGAAGTCACCAGACCCTTATATTTTCAGATATTAACTTTATGGCTGAAGTAAGTTGGGCCTGTTTAGCATTAGTACATACATATTTATAGTACTGGTGCACTTTTTTCTTATCTTTTCTTTTCCCTTTTCTATTTCCCTTGTTTTTTGGTAAACAAACATATTACTTAGTTTTATTTAATGTCCTTTGGGACTATTTAGGCACCTTTTTTTTTTTTTTGCTATCTATCCCAAACTGGGACTGAAGCGTTTATAAAAAAAAAAAGAGAATTATTGACAAAAATGAGAAAATTCTTATTTGGTAATCACTGATACTGAGCATGCTAACAGCCAACCACAAAAAAACTGTTCATGCAGAAATACCATTCTACAAAGAACTTTTGTTAAAAAGGCATATTTGCATGTCAAATATGGTTAATGACTTTTTTTAGGGACCTTGAAAAATTATTAAGGTATTTATAACTTTCATAGTTGGCCCAGTTATTGGCATTAATACTTTGAATTTCTGCATCAACAGTCACATCAAAAACACTTCAAATATTGCCAACATATATGCAGTGGAACTTTTGGCTATCTGGACCTCCCATATATGAATTCCTTTTCATGCCCTGTGCCCCTCTGCTCTGCTAACCAGGCCATCAAATTCCTAGACTGCCCAGCAACATCTGGTTCTTCATCCCTGCTGTAGTGGTTATTCAAAATAAATACTTCACTCCTCACTTCTGGGATAGTTACATATATAGAACCACAGAAAGGCATTAAAAGGGAATGTGAATTTTTTTACTCCTTTTTCAATAGTACTTAACTTGGACTGTATGGTTTTGTCAAAACTGAGTATTTTTTAACACAGAACTCTGTAAACAATGTCTACACCATTTTTTACCCCAGTGTAAATGTGTGTGTCTCTTAGGGTTGTCCAGATAATGAGAATTCTACTGGATGCAGTCGGCAACATATAACATATTCAATAAAAGTTTATAAATGTTTGCTTTGTAAAGGAGGGTGACCTTAAATTGAAAAGAGACCAATACTTGTGCCTCGGCTCCAAGATTCTTCTGTGCATTGATTCTCAATGCCAATCTCTTAGCAATTTCTAACTTTTCTGCATTTCCTGCTGTTGGGGCAGGAACGTTAGATGTCCCGCCAGATGATGCCATGTCCTTTACTCTTTTCTTTGAATTGAACATACTTTCAATCTGCTCGTCAATCTATTGAAAAAGAAAAAACAATGTAATTTCAAGTTTTCAGAAATTATGGTCAACTCCGTCAATGGAAGCCCAGTGCAAGGGCTTTTCCTTGTGTAATGGGGCTTCTCCCATCTCCTCCCCCTGTGTGACCCCCACAATTGGCTCTGGGGGAGGTCAGAACTCCCCGGAAAAGCACACAGTGGAGGCAGGATTGTTCCATCTGACGTGTGCAACGCCAAATTCCACCTATTATATGAATAAAAGCAAGAATCAGTCTCTGAAATAATTCATCCTGGGGTGCTGACAGTCTCATTTTGAGTGAAAGGCAATAGAAAAATCCTCAAAACTTTAAAACCATGCCTGACCTTCATTATAAGCAGTTTCCAGAAAGGTAGATAAATTAGTTCATTGCAGAATAAAACAACGAGGAACCTTGTGACTCCTTGAAGTGTAACAAATTTCTTATTACATACAGCTATCGTGGACCGAAATCTACTCCATCAAATGCATCTGATGAAGTGGACTGGACTTTAGCCCCCAAAAGTTTATGTATAATAAATCTGTTTGTCTTCAAGGTCTCACAAGGTTCTTTGTTATAAACAGCGGGTAAGATCCAGTGATGTCTGCCCAACTCTGCAAGGGACTTCACTTGTGTAATATGACTTCCCTTCATTTCCTCAACCCTGAAGCCCCTACATGTCCCCAAATCTGATCCAGCGGATCTGACAATCTTTTGGAGTGACGCCTGGGAGCTCCCAGGGGCCTACAAAAGGTGAAGACAGGAAACTCCTGCTGCACAAGGGGATGTCCACTTGTGCAAGGTTGGATGCCATCCAATATTCAGTTTCCATTTAATGTAAAGAGTATGAAGCATTGGAATGCAAAAAATCCTTTTAATTGTATATAAAAAGGAAATTCAGCTAACAAGCAACCATGTTTTTGTGAAATCAATCAGAACAGAAGCAGAAAAAGTGAGTCACAATTCTGTAGTTACTATGTGTATATATGAAGAGAATGCTATACTAAAAAGTAAATTTAAATACTTACTGAAACTGCCGTATCTTCATCATCTGAATCTTGCAAGCCAAGTGCAGCTTTTTGTAATTTCTTCCGCTCATTAGCCAAAGCCTCCTCAGTTTCATCAAACTTGAATCCTTTCCCAGAAAACCCGCTGCTCTTCTTAATTGTTTTTCCCTCCTAAAAGGCAAATCTCCTTTTCAGAAGTCACTTCCACAATATAAAAATTCCAACTTAGCTTTTAACATGTCTATTGCAAATATTTCAATACTTGTTTATGTTAATGAATGGGGGAGCTGATCCTGCTAAAGTACTGCTAAGCACCCACAACACATAATGCAGGTAGAAAAATTCCATCTGCAGAAAAAGTCCAAATGTAGAAACAAAAAAGCAGATTTAACAGGTATCACACAGAAATATATTTCACCTTAAAAAGTAACTACATGGCACCTGTGGAACAAAAAGAACAAATCCACTGAACCCTTATTCTTTTTAAAATATTTCCATGCACACCCAAGCAGCATTTTAACAAAAAAGTTAAAAAATGAAACTGCATCAATGCTTTTCAGCCTATAAATCGAGGCATGATCTACATATGCAGCAAAATGCATATGTACACCATTTCAAGCTGCAGTTAGGGGGTGGGTGGTATTTTTTACTGCTCCTTATGTATAAAACTTCCTAGATGTAAAAACAAAAACACAAGGCAGAAAGGTCAAGCACAGGCTACTCCCTTTTCTAGGTCTCTACTACAGTGGTACCTTGGGTTAAGTACTTAATTCGTTCCGGAGGTCTGTTCTTAACCTGAAACTGTTCCTAACCTGAAGCACCACTTTAGCTAATGGGGCCTCCTGCTGCCCCTGCACCGCCGGAGCACGATTTCTGTTCTCATCCTGAAGCAAAGTTCTTAACCTGAAGCACTATTTCTGGGTTAGCAGAGTCTGTAACCTGAAGCGTATGTAACCTGAAGCGTATGTAACCTGAGGTACCACTGCAGTGGGAAGTTGTTGCACAAAATAGCACTCAAAAATGCCATCCCCAAACCAGCAGTCTGAAGTAAACTACATTCTTTTACCTCCTTCTCATTATATTATTACCAGGCCTAACTCTACAGCATGGCCTCCAAACTTTAAAAGTACAGCTTGGATTCAAAAAGCAAAAGGAACAAAGCTCCTGCAAACAAGGACACATAGTGCTCAAGTAGGCAGGCTCTATGGCAGACCTCAAGCTACTGTTTGCTTTCTCAGAAAAACATATTTGGATTCGTTTCACTTTTCTCTCCAAACACTCAAAGTGGGAGGTGTTCTTGAGCAGAAGACACTTTGGCTCCAACCCCATAAAAGCCACGTTAAAACTATGTCCCAACAAGTGCCCATCTGAAGCCTATTTAACAACTGTTTTGTCTTTGCACAAACATTATCAGACAACGGAAAAGTGGATTACTTACAGCCTTCTGCTGATCTTTGAAGTCAGTCCAAAGCTTCTCCAGCTCAGGAGGAACTGGATTACTTGACAACTCCAAAGCTTTAATTATATCACCAGCATACCGTGCTTGATCTTCAGTAATGAAGGTATAGGCATAACCCTGTTAATAAAATATTATGTATAAACTTTGGGGGCAGTTATATTTTAGGACACAACAATCCACCAAGCTAGTGTGAAGAACTTAATTCACTGTTTGGGGACAACCAAATATATAACAAATAGGGTAACAGGTAAGAAGAGCAATCACAAGACACCAGTCTGTTTTAATCTTGTGGCAACTTCTTGACCCACAGGTGAATCAATGGGAATGTAGTCACTGACTTCCGTGGTATCACAGTTCTTTTGCTAAGGTTTCCACAAGACCTGATAGCATTCCAGGATTGACTTTTAGCTTTTTTTAAAGGCAAGAGACAGGGGGCAGCATCCAACAAGTCAACTACACTGATGCAAGAAACTTGTGTGTGTGCAACAGCCCACTCATCAGGTCAAGACAGTTGGGGGGACTCTGGAGAAGATTGGGGGGGGGGAGGAAAGGGAACAGAAAATCTGTTGCACCAGCAGAATCCCACTGGCATAGCACTGGAAGCAACCCAGAATTTATATTTTTAAGTCTTAATTTTATCTTTCTACATTTCAGTTATAAAAAGGTCTTCTTTAAAAAATAACCTCATTTAAAAAGAAACTGGAACAATGCAAACATATGCTGTACATAGACATTATCCATAGTTCAGTGCAACATGAATTAGCATGCTAATTTGTTCCAGGACTGCAGTGATCTTACTGTACCTGCATATGAATATGGTTGCCTTGAAGCAGACATAATTCTACAGTACAAAACTGGTGTGGGATGCATGGCCAAAAGAATCTGAATTATGCCTTGAGGTTACACAATGGCTTTATATAGTCACAAACCAATATAAGATTATTATTATTATCATTATCATCTTCTGATCTAACTGAGTGATCAGTTAGAACGCATGCTTGTTCAGAAAACGTGAATGTCAAAATGAACTTCCAGCTGATTTAAATCATGACTTAGATCAGATTTAAAATAGCCTTTATTTAAAACTGATCCACCTGCAGTGTTCTACAAATTCTCTACCTCCAGCAAACAAAATCATCTTTATCAGAGTACCGTTTTTAGCAGTTTATTTATAAAAAATATTGCATACATACTTTGTTGCCTGCTCGTCCAGTTCTGCCTGCTCTGTGCACATAATCCTCATAATGATTGGGGCAGCTGTAGTTGACTACAAGCATAAGATGTTTTACATCAAGACCTCGGGCTGCCACGGATGTGGCCACAAGAAGCTTGCACACTCCACTCTTAAAATCATTGATTATGCTATCTCTGTCATACTGGTCAATACCTGTGGAGGACACATAATACAGATGTTGAGAAATGACATTATTCAGGTTTCATTACTCTAGTTATATAGATGTAATGACTGAATAATGTCCATTACCTCCATGAAGAGACAGGCAGGGATAGGAGGCTCTCATTAAGTCTTTCAGCAATCCATCAGCATGTTCTTGTTTATCTACAAATATAATGACAGCTCCTTGTTCCTGATAATGTCCCAATAATTCAAGTAACTTCAAAAACTTGTTCTCCTCCTCTATGACAATCTGAAAGAACAACATAGTTTAAGGAGACAGCATCTCACCGATAATTGCTTAAATTGGCTTCCAGTCATATTGGAAGTAAAAATCAAGCAAGTCAATATACAGTTCTCTTCCATCTCAACTCTATGATTCTTGCTTTAATTTTGATAGTGCAAATTGCTAAATTTTGCAAGAAAAACTACAGCTGCATCTAAGCAAGTGGGTCAAGGCTCTTCTCTTCTCTTCTCTTCTCTTGCTTTTGGGAGTTGGGGAGTCACCCTGCTTTGAAAGAAGTACAAGAAAGAGCTGTGCTGCTAGGATTCAAAGAGCTGGTCAAAATCATGCAAAGGAAGCTACCATTATATATAAGCTTCCTGGCACAACAGCTCATAGACTGTGCATACAAATAGTAACCTTGGTGGAAGGAAAAATAAATAATATCCTTGGTATAAGGAAAAATAAATCTCACTACTGTAAGATATTTTTGTCAGTCTAGCCAAAGCCATGTAAGACAAGGATAAACATAATCACTATTCCCTACCTTGTAAAGTGAATGTATTTTAGAGGTCTATTTTTTTCAAAATAATCCAGAGCTGAAACCATCTTGGATGTATAGTTTTGTATGTACTACCGAGTTTTGAGCAATTTGTTGCAAACGCAGCAGATATATTCCTGAAACTTACCACTTTTTGTTCCACATCAGAGCAGACGACACTTCTACCACCAACTTGGACTTCTATTGGCTTGCTTAATATTCGACGAGCTAAAGCCTCCATGGCTCTAGGGAAGGTAGCAGAGAACATAACAGTCTGGCGATCAGGTCTCACATTGTCTACAATGCGCATAACCTAGAGCAAGTTCACAGGGAAGGTTAACACCACAATTCTCCAAATCAAATTACTTGCATCTTAGCTCATGCAATACAATGCAAAACCTTACATAGACAGTTCTGGGAAACATTTTAGTAACCAAACATTTTTGCAAAAGCCTATGGAACATAGCAGGCATAGGCAAACTCAGCCCTCCAGATGTTTTGGAACTACAACTCCCATGATCACTAGCTAACAGGATCAGTGGTCAGGGATGATGGGAACTGTAGTCCCAAAACATCTGGAGGGCCAAGATTGCCTATGCCTGGTTTACCCCAACACTTTACATTGGTTGTACAAATACTCAAATAGCAACATGCTCTCAGTGCTTTTTCATTTACTGAAAGAAAATTGTAATTGGAAAACAAGTGAACATTGGGGACATTCTTTACTGTTGGGCATGGGACAATCTCCTATAAGGATTATTTTTGCAGGTCTACTTCTGTACAAATTCTGCAACAAAAAGTGCAGAACAACCCTCCTACATTCTACAGGAAAGAAACTTCAGTGTCTACATTAGTGGTGGCTAATCTTCCTGATAAGTTTGCCACAAGCATAAGCCTTCTAGAGTTTCTTAAATACATCCCTTTTGTTGTTGCCTGACGCTATTTTGTATATAGTCTACTGAACTGGGGAGCAGGCAGCACTATAGGGCTAAGTATGTACCAGCCATGTCTGTGAACTTTCCAGGCACCCATTTCAGATTAATCACATATGTTCTAAACAATGGATGGAAGAACTATTTTTGTCTTGGGAGCTGCAATCACTTTTAGGCATATTTCAGAGGCCACATGGGCAAGGGCAGAGGTAACAATGGGCAGAACAAATATTAATTTTGCCTTGTACAGCAAGCTAGTTTCTACACCTGTTTACACATCCCTCTCTATCTTCCATCCAGCCAAGCAAGTAGCATTATTAGTGTTCAAGGACAAACTGACACTAGGCAAAACACTCAAGGATGGTGCTAAGCAAGGCCAGGATGTGGTTTAGGGAGAGTCCCAAGGACCAGATAGAAAGACCTGGAGGGTTGCAATATGGCCCAAGGTCTGAACTAAACAGACACACATAACTTCTTCCAACTCTACAATACAATTGTTCTAAGTCTAGTAGCTTCCCATTCTCACCTGAGGCTCAAAGCCCATATCAAACATTCTATCAGCTTCATCAAGGACAACATATGTCACTCTCCGAAGATTTGTCACTCGACCTATGAAAAGGCGAGAGAAAAATAAAGAGAAACAAGAATAAATCTAAAGGCCATTTTTCTTCAACAGCAAATGTAAATAAAATGGTACATATTCTGACTACTGGCTAAACAAACATTAAATGTTATATTTATTTTAGAAAAGCAATTTGCTAAATTCCTTATCTCTTGCTCCATTGACATTTTGGCAATTGTGTACTGATGCACAAGGCCCATTATTTTGTCAAACTCCTCTCTTGCATACCAGTACAGGGCCAGGAGAACCTGTAAAATTCAGAAAACAGCCCTCACCAAAACACATCATAAAACTAAGACTGAGGTGAAGCAACGAGCCACATCAGCCACTATCTGTGAGCGCCACCTAGAAAAAAACATATTAGAGATTACAGCGCATGTGTGGAAGGCAAAGTTCAAGAGCTAACTGAAGAAGCCCCACAAAAGCCTCTACTTAAGTTATTATTTGAAATATTTAGGATGGGTGAAAGTAACCACAAAGACAAGAGTTTTGTCACTGTTTTTGTCAGAAGCAGCACCTCTCACACTGATTTGAAGATAAGGAGAATCATCTAGACAGCAGCTAACAACAAGAATTGTATAAGCCACATTTCCAATACCTTCAGACACACCTTTACACTTACAATTCAGTCTTTAAAAAGCTACAGTCTTTAAAATTCAGTCTTTAAAAAGCAAATGGGCCTATGCATAGTATGTCTTTTGTCTTATTTTATGGTCTAAACTCAAAGAATTTGTCTTTAAAAATAAATCACAACAGATTCTTTCAGAAGTGCCAATACAAAAGGCACTTGAAGCTAAACTTAAATGTTGTACACAGTAGCAATTCTACATTATATCATACACCCCATATGTAAGTAGAACACACTTCCCTACACACATTGCATATGCAATTTGTGGGTTCCCCCCTCCATCAGCAGCAACATCTAAAGCCCTCCCCCCACCACTCTAGCGGATCATGAATCAGTGTGAAGCACAGCACGGGGTGTGGGTGCCGATGAAAAAATAAGGGGTGGGGTCAGAAGAACACATACACATACACAAGCATTTGTGGTAGTGCTTTCCACTTGGGATTTTAGGATCTAATCTCATGTGATTCGGAATTACATGAGAGAAGATTGAGTTTTAACAACAAAACCCTTAAACACTTAAAACTAGGGAAGAACTGAAATGTCCAAAACCCGCAGGTATTGCTGCTTCTATATGCTGTAAAGGGAATGGGTAAGGCAGGAAAAACCCTACCCAAGCTCCTCTGAACATGGGAAGAGCAGAAACCCGACATGAAGTTTGGGGTACATTAAAATCTAAGAAAGCATGGAACTTTCTCCACAGCATAGGGGTTATGCACTCCACCAGACGCTCCCTTCCAGGTGATTCTTTAATTCTGCAGATCCCTAGGTTACTTCCACCCCAATCATCAATTATGATCTGAATTTCTCAACTACTTATTTGGATGCTGGACTGAGTTACACACAAGGGGAGGAACACACAATTTAGCTATTTTGAAGCAAGGATATTGCTTTAAAGAAAAGGAAGAGGAAAAGCTGTTTTAATGTGGCTTTTAAGGTAGCCAATTTAAAGCAGATAAAAGGTAAATCTCCTTCTTCAGGACTAAATACATATGTTGTTATCCCATTTTAATTGGCAGAATTTTCATTATTTATTCAGCTCCTAAAAGTGTACATTGCTTGGGAACTGCAATGATGTACCTACCTTTGATGGCTTAAGTCTTGGAAGCCCAGTTCTATAATTCTTGAAGGAACTTTTCCCACAGAAGTCAAATGTCAACAGTTTAGTAGAGGTTTTGAAGTACAATATTTAAGCAAATCAAACATTATTTGACAAGCATGCAATACTGAAATAAAAAGCATTTTAAAGCTGCAATATCTCTGTTTAGTATATTGATTTGTACTAAGAAGGAAAACTTACAATATATGAGAGAAATTTCATGTTTTTGTTGAAAAAGAATTGTGGATTTACTTCAATTTAGAAATGTGCAGCTATATTTCCTTCAACTAAAGTTAATTACTATGTTGCATTAATGTCAACAAGCATCAGACAGGCAGCATAACTTCAAATTAAGAAACAGTAATCCTAAATAAGCCAATTTTGAAGTTGAGATATAAATCTAAAATGCATGTACTTGTTCTAAGAAATTCTTAAGAGTTACTGTCCTTCACTTATAAGACCCACATCTAAAAGTTATTGGAAAGAACCATTTTTATGACTATATTCACGATATCTGATATCACAGCTTCAAGAAATACATAACTTCCGGAATTCCATTTATGAACAAAATGTTCCATTTATTTATCATGAAAGAAAATCATTAAATGAAAGTATCTTCTTACCATTGTTAGCTGCTAACATGTCAATCATGCGGCCAGGTGTGCAAACGATTATTTCAGCACCCCTTTTCAGTTCAGCAATCTGGTTATAAAATAAGTTGAGGAAAATTAAAATATATAACACTTATGGTATTATCAGCAACCCTTAAGCAATTTATTCTACACATCAGTGATTTAGTACCAATTCCCTCAGCTGTAAACATGAAAGGTTGGGGGTACTATTCCCCTGCAACATCTGACTGGCTCATTTTTTGTCAGTTAAAACAAATCAAAACATAATAAGATGCTTGCAAACACCTTACTTGCTACGGTGTCCCACAAAGATTGATTTGCAGTTGGCTAGCTCAGGGCGGCCTTTTGTTTGTAGAAGGCAAAGTCTCCATCCAACCTACTGTAATTTAAATTGCCTTGGGTGGTATCCAGCTTTTACTGTAGACCCAGTGAAATTAATGGAGCTAACTTAGCCATGTTGATTAATTTCAATGGGTCTATTCCAAATAAAACTTAGTTGAATACTGCGCTCTTGTTTTGTGGCAGAGTTTAGACTCACTACATTCCATTTCTTGTGAATTACTAAGTGTGGAATGTCCCAAATATGCAACTGGGAAACTCCCAATTACTATCTAAATTGTGAAAGCAACTCTGCAGTCAAAACAACAGCTGTGGGTTCAACAACAAAACTGAAAGTTCGTAAAATTTTTACCAGAATAGGAACATATTCATTTTCATAGATCTGTAGAGTTGGAAGAGACCAGATGGGTCATCTAGTCCAACCCCCTGCAAGCAATGCAAGAATCTTTTGCCCAATCTTTTGCTTGAACCCATGACCCAGAGATTAAGAGTCTCATGTTCCACCTACTGAGCTACTAAGATGGTGATTTTGCTGAATCCTTCAGCAAAAAGCCCCCTTTGCTAATGTATGCATCAGAGAAGAAATACGAACACCCCCCATAGGTGTAGTGTAGAATAGCCATGGAAGGCTGCTGCAAGAGCAGAGCCCAGCTCATGCCTCTCTGGATCCAAAATAGTAACCTTCACATTCTCTCTAAATTAAACAATTGTTACAGAGAAGCTACTTGAAACCTTAAAAAGAATAAGGATTCCAAACATATTCTGCACTGACAGCAACACAAATCAAGATACTATGAATAGAGAGACAAGAGCTATATGTACCTGTTCACTTATTCCTGTTCCTCCATATACACATACAACTCTAACCCCAAGTGTCTTTGAGAACTTCTTACACTCCTTTGTAATCTGTAAAGCCAGCTCTCGAGTAGGAGTCATAATAACAGCTGAAAAGAACAAAGCAGTGTAATTACAAAAATCCTGACTCTTTACTCATAAGCAAATCTCACCATTTTCAGCACCTTACTTCCAACACATGCTTAGAAGGTAGCGAGATTTCCTTCCACAAAAGAAATCCAATTTCTAGAATGACACAATTTTCTTTTGTGAGAGAAATCTAATATGTCATAGTAATAGGTATCTTATAGATGTATAGGATTTTATGTACAATGTAAAAGTGTGTAAAGAAACAAGGTAAATATGAATTTCATCCAATTTCTTCCCATTAAGCCACGAACTTGCTTTTTTTAGATAACAAAGCTCTAGCTTGGTGGCTTACAGGCACATTCAGACAACCATCCTTTGCATTTTGTTTCAGTTTTGTTCCTCATTTTGCTGCACATTTCCTGCTGTGCTCCATTCTCCTTTGAACTGCAACCTGGTGCTTTTCCTTAGTAAATCCTGAAGTTGCTTAGTAGCACCCAGTACCTCAATATATATGAGGCAGTGTTTGGGAAGAAAGATTGGGGAGGGAAGGAAACTTGAGGATGGCTCCATAAACTAATCCACACATATTCTGCTAGAAGAAATTAACATTTAAGATACACCTGCAACACAGAAGCAGAGCATATTCTGTATTGTCTTCCCCTCCGCCTGGCAAGGAGAACAGCTACCAAATTTAATAGTGAAATTATAACTATATAGCACAAGCAGGCATTTCCTTTCATAGTTTGCTTCCAGTTCATGGTTGATCCATTAAACCTGCACACAAACAGCATGGCATTAAAAAGAATGTCGCTATCATGTACCTATTGGACCCTCTCCTTCTTCTAGTGGTCTCTGATCCATGATGTGCCTGAACATGGGCAACAGAAAAGCAATAGTCTTTCCACTTCCTGTTTTAGCAATGCCAATTAAATCACGTCCACCCATAATTGCAGGTATAGCCTGGGCTTGGATAGGGGTGGGCTTCTCATAGCCATGCCTTAAAGGAAATCAGAGATTGTATGTTAGGAACCTGAACATTCTATTATGCACATTAAAAAAAATAAATTACAGAGTCAATTATTAATTGAAATTAAAATACATCACAACATATATATGATTAGTGAACAAGTGACACGAAATAAGTAAGTTACCTGTAGCTACCCTGAAATCTTGAATTTGCATGGCTTTGTTAGATAATTTCTTTTACACAGACGCACATGGTAACTATGTGCTGCAAACAAATAACTACCAAACTTTTAGAAGACATCTGAAGGCAGCCCTGTTTAGGGAAGCTTTTAATGTTTAATAGGTTATTGTATTTTAGTGTTTTGTTGGAAGCCGCCCAGAGTGGCTGGGGAAACCCAGCCAGATGGGCGGGGTATAAATTATTATTATTATTATTATTAACAGCACGAGTCAGAAAGCAAAGACACAAGGAGAATTCATATACACTTCAAGACATGCATGCTTCATTTTGCTGTTGTTCACTTACTTTTTCATGGAATTCAGGATTTTCATAGAAATACCACACTGTACCCAGGTTTTAATTGGCTTAGGACATCCTTTACCCTTGACTATAATTCCTTCCATTTCCAGCCTATATGCATTCACCTCTGAAACACAATCCAGATTAGCATACTGATTAACTTATCCACATAAATCAATGCCCTCTTGTAAGATATTCTCTGTACATGTGATATTATTGACCTCTGCAGCAATGTTTTTGATAAAGCATATTGAGATTTCCAATAAGCTTTCTATGTTGTAAGCATGACTACTTTCTATGTTGTAAGCATGACTACAAAAGACAGTGTTATGCATTGATATAGGCATTAATGTATGTTGATGACTCTCTTTTCCTAACACAGTAAGCCCACAACTTATGCGTAATTAACTTGTGTACATTCAGCTTTAAGCACTTGGAGAAAAATAAAAAAGGGGGGGAAGGGTGTGGGTGTTCAGGAGAAAAGAATTTGGCAATCCCACCAACACTGTACCCAATGAGTTTAGGCTATATACGAAATTGGCTTTAGTGCAATCTCCAGAATGTAGCCCCCACATAAGTTTGAAGGCTTACTGTATGCCAGGTGTCTCCCAACGTATTTTTATCCATGGTCATCTGAAATGCAACAGCTCTGAAACTAGAGTTACTACTGCTTTGACAGTTGTTATTACCTTCCTGAGTCATCTTAGCTAGCTCTGGGACTTCAACATAGAAGTTTTTCCTGTAGGGCTCATATTCAATCTTCCCATGATCCACTGGTTCCAGCAATTTCCTATGTTTGGTCTGGTACCCTGTCAGTGCAGTCTGGAGATCTACTTCCTCCTCTTCAGAAGAATACTGTTTGAGTTATAAAATCACAAAAGCCAAACATTCAGGCAAAGTAATATTCAGGGGAAATCTGCTTTCTGCAGAGCATGTTTACCTTACCTTGCTAACTGAAAGTTATACTAAGAGCAGTCTAGGGCTGGGTAATATCTGGTTTCCAATATAGCAATATAAAGGTAAAGGTAAAGGTACCCCTGCCCATACGGGCCAGTCTTGACAGACTCTAGGGTTGTGCGCTCATCTCACGCTAGAGGCCGGGAGCCAGCACTGTCCGCAGACACTTCCGCGTCACGTGGCCAGCGTGACGAAGCTGCTCTGGCGAACCGGCACCAGAGCAGCACACGGAACGCCGTTTACCTTCCCACTATAAAGCGCTACCTATTTATCTACTTGCACTTAAGGGTGGGCAGGAGCTGGGACCGAACGACGGGAGCTGGGACCCCGCCGCGGGGATTCGAACCGCCGACCATGCGATCGGCAAGTCCTAGGCGCTGAGGTTTTACCCACAGCGCCACCTGCGTCCCTAAAATAGCAATATATCACCAGCTAAACATCGTGGTATATCACAATATCTGAAATAAGGAAGGAAATATGCAGAAGCGAACAGCACAATGTCCTAGCAACTGCTACTACTTACAGGTCTAAAACTGATAAACGATGATATTATCAATCACCTCATGGCCACTTTCAGCAGCAGGAAAGCCAAAATTCATCCAAAAATTTGGTTTGGGACTTGGCAAATAGTGGTACTCAGGACAATCCAAAATATGGTGATGAGTCATAGTGAATAGAAATAATCTGGGACTGCCAGCAGGCCTTCTAGGTGGCAGAGGCAGTGGCAGAATCAACAACGGGGGGGAAGGGGCAGTAGCAGTGGCAGCCTGGCAGCAGTGGCACAATAATCAGCAGCCTGAGAAGCCGTGTCATGGCAGTGGGCAGCAGCGGCAGCCTGTGAGGCCTTGTCGTGGTGGCATCAGTAGTGGTAGCCTTCAAGGCCTTGCCACAGTGGCAAAAGCTGCAACGGCCTGCAAGCCTTTCTCATGGCAGTGGCAGCAGCAGCGGTCTGTGAGGCCTTGTAGTGGTGGCAGGAGACGCTAGCAGAAGCAGAGGTGACCTGCAAGGCCTTGCTGAGGCAGGCTGCCACAGCTTCTACCACCACCTCCCACTACCGCCAGGAGGATTTGCAGGCTGCCGCCACTTCTTTCCACCATGGCGAGGCCTTGTACGCCCCACTGCTTATGTCACCATGAGGCTTCATAGGCTGCCACTACTATTGCTGCCCTCTTCTGTTGCCACGATAAGGCCTCGCAAGCTGCTTATCCTAATCCTTCTCACTTCTAATTATTATCAGTGACTCTGCAGTTCTGAAAGTATAAATCTCAAAAGGAAGGTATTAAGACTTAAGTATAGGCAAATGCCATTATATTTCACAATGCCTATGGCAACTCTTCATTTTTCCTGTGGGAAAGATACAATTTTGCATATAGATTGGTGAACACCACAAAACTGGGTTACATACATGGTTAAATCAAACTGTTTTCTAAAATCTATAAACTTGATAGGGGATTTCATATGGCAAAATAAACAATTTGGCATGTTGTAATTACCTCCATTGCATCTTGGTCATTCACCATAAGTTCTCCTTTCTTCTTTTCTGTTTCTGGAGATGCTTTTTTGGTTTTCACCACTGTTACTACTTTAGTAACTGTTGGCCCAGATTTCTTTAAAAAGAAAAGGTCATAAACATTAGAAATTTTACAAACCATCCTACTAGAAAACTCTATATGATACTAGTTTTGATCTCATATTTTTCAGATTTAATGCACAAAAAACTATTTTAAGACCTGTACATTATTATTATTATTTTTAATTTACCTTTTCACTTCCACCTCCACCTCCACCTTTTACACTTCTCATATTGAACTTCTTAACCTCTTCTTTCACTTCTTCCATATATGCATCTAATGGATCAAGTTCTTCATCTTCAATCTCATTACCTTCCTTTTCCCCTTCTGCAGTTTCTTCATCATCATCTAATGCAAAAAGAGATTTTAGTAGTATTTAATACCATTTTGGGATACAAGAAGTTTGTACAATTACATGCTTTTATAAATAAATGAATCAAATTGTTTCTTCTTGCCAAACAACTTGGAAAACTCTTAACACTTGCATGCATCCATTTATCATCATCATCATATTTGTATACTGCATTCATCCAAAGATCACAGGGCGGTTCACAACATAAAAATAGAAAATGAGAACACAAATACATAATAAAATAAAAACAAATCCCCTCCCACAAACACATTTAAGAGGCCATAGAATATTTAATCAGGCAAAGGCCTGCTTATAGAGAAACATTTACACCTGGTACCTAAAGATATGCAATGAAGGCACCAGGCAAGCTGCCCTTGGGACAGCATTCCACAAACAGGGAGCCACCAGAAAAAAGGCCCATTCTTATGTTGCCACCCTCTGGACCTCCCATGGAGGGGGCACACAAAGGACCTCAGATGATGATCACAGGGTCTGGGTCAGTTCATATAGACTCAGAAGCTTAACATGGGCCCAACCCAATGGCCTGGTTTGCACATCACTGTAAACCAATGAATGATTTATCATGACAATGCAAAAATGCTGGTTCCCAACAAGGAGCTTGACCTATTTTGCTTCTCCCCAGCATGGGATGGCAGCTAAGCCAAGATTTGGCTTACTGTGTCGTACCTAACCAGGACCCGTAACTGCAAACCTTGGCTACATATCATAGTTCAGGAGAGACCTTGCCCATGATCCTGGGTTCAGACAACACACTGAGCCTAACCTTGGCTTAGCTGTTACACAGCAGCAAAGTAAGAAGTCTGGGAAGGAGCAAAGCGGGTGCTATTTCCTCCTCGGGAGTTTGCATATTTGCATACTATCAGCCATGGTTTGGGCTTAGCGTGACATGCAAATGCAGCCCATATCTTCCACTCTCCCTTAACCACTTTGAAAGTACATATGACATAGTACAGCACATGATCTTTCACATCTGCACATGTTCAACAGCAACAAAAAGGCTTCCCTCCCCACAGTTAGTTACATAAGAAGTTAATACCATCATCATCTTCTAAGCTCCATTTTTTCCCCTGCTTCATTTCTTCAATTTCTTTCTTTAGTTCTCCTATATTTTCCATAGCTTTTTTGCGCTGTTCTTCTCTCCATTTCTCTACTCTTTCTTTTCGCTTCCTCATTTCCTCTTCTAGTTTGTTCTGATCGAAATTCTGAGGGAGAAAAAGCAACCATATGCAGTTACTGATCACTGACATGAACTCTGTTTTTCCAAAAGGAGATGCAAGACATTGCCAGTCACATCCAACATAAAATCTTGGGAAACTCAATACAAGTTCACTCTCTTGGAGAATTAAGTACTGTCATTCTGTGCCTTGGACAGCTACTGTGTTTCATTCACTAATGAAGCAAAACATAAGCAGCAGAACATAGGAAAAAGCAAGCAGGTTCCAGCTGCACAGCTGTAATTACAAGAGACTGTTGTTACAGCAGCAGTAAGTAAATGCCCACAGTCACAACACAAATGTAGCTTATGTTCTACTTGTTAGAAGTCCTCTATTGAGCCACTACATTCTGTCCAGAAGGATGATTTAGAACAGATGTTTGTGCTACATGCAGAGAAACAAGACTTTATACAGCATTAGAAACACTATCAAGTCCATAAACTACAGTATTGTGCCCATTACTGAACAATGAAACTTTTCAATAGTTACTATACATACATTTACATCTTGACCCTTTTCTTCTTCTTTGTCCTCTTTCTCTTTTTTCTTTTCTTTGTTAACTTCCACACCTTCTACTTTTTCTTTAGATCGTGATCTGAAAGACAGTATCAAGAGTTGCATATGACTGATGGTGAATGTCAGCTTCCCTTAAGAGGCTTTAGGTGTAGTGAACGAAACAATAATGGTATTGCACATAAGTAATAATAAACTATGGTAAATTATTATTTAACACTGGAATCCCCAACATGGCACCCACAGACACAGACTTTGCACCTGTCAAGGCCCCCTGCCTCTCTCAATTTTTGCTGGGTATGAGCTACCTGCTTCTTTCCTGTGCATTCTGTTTGTTTTGGCGTATGTGCAGGTGCTTTGCCTTTTCTGAGAGGGGGGTTGTGAGCACTGCCGGTTTTTCTTACATGAAGTGGGATATTTTGTGCTGAAAGTAATAGTTTTAGTTTCCTAAATGTGCTCTGAAACGCAAAATGTTTGGGAATAATGTTATTGCACTTGCAGAATAACTTCCATTCACGCAAAGGAAATTCCCATCCCTCTCTTTTCCCAAAGAGCAGATTAGGAGATTTGCACTGTAGAATCCTAAAAGCAGATTTGGAGGGGCATACAGGGGGAAGAAAGGGAGAAGTTCCATTGAACAAGTAGAATTTGTTCAATAAGGACGCTGAATTTGATGGATACAAACCCGTTTATTAAAAAATAAGACTACCACGTTCAACAGGATTCACACCCAAGTAAATGTGCAAAACATTACAGCCATAAAATATAATCTAAAGCACCCTCCCCCAACCTTGAGTCCCCAAAAATTGATGGACTACAACCCCATCATCCCTAACTACTGTCATGCTGGCTTGAGAAGATTTATTACTTATTTGGTGCATTTATTACCTGCCCTACACCACAAGGTCACAGAACAGGCTACACAGCAAAAAGACAGCACAATATAAAATAAAATAATGACAGCTAAACTCAGTTCAACATAACCAGAATACAATCACAAACAACCAAACACTCCCAAAAGCTGGAGTAAAAAGCTGTACCTTAGCATGCCTTCAAAATATATGTAGAGTTGCCATCGGACACACATCTCAAAATAGGTATTTCCAAAATGTAGGAGCTTCCACTGAAAAGGCCCTACTGCATACCACTGCCCCACTGGTGTTTTTTAACTTGTTCATAAGCAATCTAGAGTACAAGTATAAAGTGATGCATTTCACATATATGCTCCTGGGGTCTGAACTAGCAGTGACTGACTAGGAATGAGACCTGGGGTTATAGTGGATAGTTCAATTAAGGTGTTGATCCAGTGTGTGGCAGCTGTAAGGATCATTAGGAAAGAAGCTGGAAATAAAACTACTGATATCATAACAGCATTACACAAAGCTATGGTATGAGACATTAGGAACACTGTGTACAGTTCTAGTGACCGCACATCAAAAAGAATACTTTAGAGTTGGATAAGGTTCAGAAAACGGCAACCAAAATGATCAAGAGGATGATCAACTTTTCCCTATAAGGAAAAGTTGCAGTATTTGGGGTTGTTCTTTTTTAATTCAGAGAAATGGAAAGCAAGAGGCAGCATGACAGAAGTTTATAAAAGTATGCATATCATGAAGAAAGTGGATAGACAAGTTTTTCTTTCTGTCTCATAACACCCAATGAAGCTGAATTTTGGAATATTCAAGACACAATAAAGTGTCTTCCTTACACAGTTCAACTATGGAATTTGCTTCCACAGGAAGGTGTAATGGCCACCAACTTGGATGATTCTGAAAGAAGCTTAGAAAAATTCATGGAAGTAAAAAATAAAAGCAACCACTGGCTACTAACCATGATGGCTATGCTTTGCCTTCACAATTACAGGCAGTATGCTTTGGAATATCAGTTACTAGAAACCATAGGAGGGAAGAGTGCTCTTGCACATGCCCTGCTTGGGGGCTTCCCATAGGCATATGGCTGCTACGGTGAGAGGACACTGAACAAGACGGCCTGACCCACCAGGCCCTTCTTATGCCCATGTGACTCAAGGGCCTTCAAAAGGAAAAGAAAACTGTCTGCATCGCTCTGTATTTGCCTCTTTAGATCCTAGCTTTAATCTCATCATGCACATAATTTCAGACATTTACAATTTATAGGCATATACCAAGTGTTAGGCTCCATTTTGATCTTTTCTTTCTTTCTTTCTTTCTTTCTTTCTTTCTTTCTTTCTTTCTCTCTCTCTCTTTTTGAAAGCAAACACTTATTGAAAATTTAATTTCCAGAATACCTACGCGTAACTAATAGTCCCAGTGTTTATTTTACACCTCCTTGAAGGAAACAGCTTGTGCAAATCAACTAAAAATGAATGCTTGTTTCACTAAGTGATTTAGCACTTGCTTTGGAAGTGTTAGTGTCCTCCAAGGAGTCACTGCTGGCTAAAATGAATGTTTTAAAACACACACCTTCCCTCAGAATCTGACAGACTTGGCTTCAATATGAAAGCCATTTATCATGTTTATTATGGATTTTTATTATTCCCACCTCTTCTCCCACAAAAAGGACAAATCCAATTCAAACATGTGCTAACCCTTGGCTATAAATGTAGAAATCATTTTGGTTGGTAAAATCTTATAAAGTTCTCTTTAGAGCCCACTGAAAGGTTTTAACAAAAACCATATGCTTATCTTAAACAACAGTTTATGTCACTGAACTTTCAAGACATTATCTTTGTGACTTTAGAATAAGGTGGATAAAGCTAGATGGATATATTTCTGAAATGGCTTACATATTTTTATTGTATACCTTGACCGCATGCTTGCTTAAAACTTTTCATTTAGCACACCTGTTTTTAATTTTGAGAAAGCAGATCTGTAGAACAAAGAGGACTCCTTCAGGTTTTCTAAACGTAGTGATAGCAGCACAGAGACCCCAAAGGAACAAGTTATAAAGAATGGTTTGATTTTCTGAGAGGCCAGAGAATCACCAGTGCCATTTTCTTGCAGCCCAGCATAACGAAGCAGCAGATAAACACAGTACCCAGCAATGAGAGCACCAAGATCAATCACTAGGTGGAGTATACACACAACTCTCTCTATATAGAGCAGCTCCTCAACAAACAAGTAACAGAACTAAATCTTTTCTTACATAGTATTATTTACAGAAAAATAAAAATAAAGGGCTCCCTGTCATAATGGTACAGGTAACAACACATAGATTAGAGTGTATGCAACACCAAGCCCCTGTCAGGAAGGATGAAGAGAGGTTTTTGGATACAAGTTAAGAACCTCAACAAGAAGAAACGGCTCCCTCATTATGAAGCCAGAATCAAGAACTACTCTGCATTACATGTCCCTTACAATACTCAACATTTCCCGTTTTGTGTCTTTGCTGAGTCTCTGCAATGCTGTGTATATGAACACTGCCCATACATGCTCTTCCATTTTTATTGGAATTGCTTTAAAAATGTTTGGATACAGCTTAGGAATTGGGGGTGGGGGGGAGAGATAGAGAGCGGGGGGGGGCGGGGAGAATACAGAACTGAAGTGTCTTAGGTAAATAAAAGTTCTAAAAGGAGAAAGTCCACCAAAGTGAACAGCAGGTCAAACCTAAGAAGAAGGCAAATGCAAAACGTCTGTCCTGGATCTCAGCAAAATTTTAAGGTTGTTATTATCATGATAGTTTCTGCTGCAATCATGCCAAGTTCAGATGTGGTAAACGTATGTTAAAAAATGTGGGGCTCTTCCTTTTTGGCACTGTGGTGGTGGTGGTGATGAAGCAGATTTCAAAGCAGTCAAATGAAATATTGTAATAAAACTTGTTAAAGGAAAGGACTCTATAATGTAGTATTTCCCAACAATTAAACTTCTAATGTCAGACTCTGAATTTTCAGAACCTGGGCATTTCATCTCTAGCACTAATGGTTGCAGCAAAAGCATTAGAAATTTTCTTGCAGTTCACACCAGGACAGAGGGAAGGGAGAAAAAAACTTATTAACTGGATACCATACAGAAGCAACTAGGCATATTTTCCCAGTGCTCTTCCCTAATCACTTCATTTACTCACTTGTTTCTTCATATTCAATCTCTTGTCCCTATTCCTCACAAACGCAATACAATTCTCCTTATTTTTTATTCTACCATGCTTATCTCCATGCCTTCCTATATGTTGCTCTCTACCCAGGGACATTCTTCTTCTCTCACTGGTATTTATCAATGTGGGTTTTTTTCCTTCCCAAAGTCACAGAACAGGTAGCTGTAACTCCCTCATCACATTATCAGAGATGCTCCAATATCACCATCACTTCACAGCACACACAATGAAACACTTCCCCCCCTGGATTTTTCCCCTAATCTTCAAATGAGCTGTACTGATGGCAGGTTCCCTCTCTGTGTATATGCTTAATTCATGGTTAGCCAGAGCAAGTTCAAACTTTCTTATGACTTGTCTATAGAAAGTTGACCAGAATTACAGCTATTCTATTAAAGTATTCCAATATTTAACAAAATGGCATGCATTAGTATGTCAATTACCTGTTTTCTACTTTCTTGTTCTTGCCAGGGCTAGAAGATCGGGACCGCCGCCCTCTACTTCGGCTTCTGGATCTTCTTCTTTCTCGACTGCGTGATCGTCTCCTTTCTCTGCTCCGTTCCCGCTCTCTGCTTCGTGAACGCCTACGCACAAGCAGATTTTGGGTAATACTGTGTAAACAAAATATTATTTCTAGTTTAATCATTAAAAAGAGAGAGAGTAGAAAATATTCATTAGTAATCTAAAAAGATTTCATTAGTAATCTAAAAAGAAAACAGGACAAGCATTAATACCAATGATTACAGCTTTTCAAGGAAAATGACCAACTGAGAACACTTCCTACTGGACACATCTTCTAGTTAGAAGCAACCTCTTTCACCAGAAAACACCCAGTATCTCCCAGGGGAGGAACGTTTTCATAAGTTATTCAATTTTCCATTGCTTACCTCACACGCTTTCGGTCACGTGACCGAGATCTCCTCTTGTCCCTGCTCCGTGATCTTTCACGCCTACGTTCTCTGTCCCTGCTTCTAGAACGTCTATCATCTCCACGTTTTGCTCTTTTGTCAGATGGAGAGCGACTCTTAGAACGGCTACCAGAACGCCCTCGTGATGAGGAGCGCTTCCGATAATGCCTGTGGTAGCAACAGAATGGTCAAGATATACAAGACCAAAATTGGAGTTTAGCGTACACAATCACAGATGTTTTCAAAGAATACAATCTTTAGAGCTTTTAAAAAGGTTAAAAATTAGCTCTTGACTTATCTTCACATGCTGGACAAGGACTGAGGAGGCACAGCTACAAATCCCACTCAACCATGCATGGGCCAGTCTCTCTTAGTCTAATCACTTTTACAGGCAGGTGAGCGATTGTTGATAATCCCCCCCCCCCAAAAAAGCTCAACAAGTCTGGGCAATACCCCCCCCCCCATTTCCTCAATTTGGAGCCTCAAAAAATAGGGGTCATCTTATACATGGAAAAATATGGTAAATAAGATAAAATTCAGAACTCATAAGAGGGGCTGACAATGTCATTTTGGTTATTCGAGCTCTATTATTTTGTATTTAAAGTATTTCCTTTTCAAATGGAAGCATGGCTCAAGGCAAAGAAGCATAACAATAATAGAAGGAAAGCAGTTTAGGAGTTAATAAAACAGTGAGTAAAAGCAAAAATAAATGATAAACTAACATCCTTTGAACCATTTCCAGGCAACTAACTATTAACACTGTTAATTTCTAGGGCTGTAATGTCCTGTAGATTATAAATTAGGACAGAAGATAACATTATCCATTTGTTGGCAGCTTGATCAAGCAATCCAATCTCTGGATAATTGTATACTCAGCCCCTAAATTACAATGGGAAAGCCATTTATGTCAGCATTGCCTTCTGTTTTAATTTTGAGATGGGGTGGATAGAAATAATGCAGTAGAAACAGTAGTATTTTTATGCCCAAAATGTTAAGAATTGCACTTTTCCTCTACCATATATCATAAATTAGAAGTATTGAGTTAATAACTAAAATACATGCCAAACATTCTCAAGAGAGCCACTAGCACCCTATAACACAGCTAAGGCTGCTAAGCAAACCATACCAAGAAAATCAAACATAGGGTGAAAAGAGTAAAGTATTACTTAAAACACTGCAACCTAAATAAATATCTTGCTAAAACCTTTTGTGGAACTGAAAATATAGAAAAATTAAAGAACGGTATCTTGTAGTACTATGAAAAACCGACAGGTCCCAGCACTGTTTACTTCCTTTGCAACAAATGCACTTCATCTTGAGCAGGAAGAACCCACAGATATTAGAAAAGAATAGGGGCCCTGTGAATATCCAAATTGGGCCCCATACAGATATACAGAAAAAGTATGAGAACTTTACTAACACAATCATTAACATAGTACATCTGAGCTTAGAAAGTGTGAGATAAAAAACTATTATTTTAAATAGGGTAACTCACTGTTTTTGTTTGGACACCTGTTGCTTTGTTGATCTAAGGAAATGAGAGAGATTAAGATAAGCAAGGTGAAACCTTCTACTAAACCAGCATGAAACCTTTCACACTATGTGACATAAATGGTCCAGACTCATGCCATGCAATACTGGGATTTTCCCTAATGTCATGAAACCATGTGTTACTGCGAAAGTCATTACAAGCTTATTATAGAAGTCTTCAAACCATGTTCCAAGCCAGTCAAGAGTTTTCTTCCATTTTGTCCAAGAAGCATTACATTGGCTTTTAACAAATGGCTAATATGGGAATCCATTTGCCTTGAGGCCAGGCTTCACCTGTACAAGACAACCAATCTGTAGAAGTTGTTCCAACAGTATTAATAATTTCCAGGGCAAACCATAGGGATGTTGGAAAAGACAGAGGTCCAAATATTGTAAGAATTGTCAGTAAACAGCTATGAATTCCCAAGCACAAAATACACACATTGTGCATTAAAACATATACATATACATATACACACACTATTTCATTTCAACATACATGCAGGTAGAGACACAATCACCTGGTTGTATGTATTTTTAGTATGGAACACAGTTAAAAACACACACATGCACAATTCATACCTGTTGGATAATGTGCATTTTAAACTACGGAGTGGGATTGACCTAATGAGGCTTCCCCCTGCACCCACCCCCCAATTAGCTTAAGGGGATTCAGGAGAACCTTCAGAACAGTGTGCAGGTGAAAGAAGGGAGATCATTCTGTCTGGTGATGGTTGTGCAGATGGAACATTTGTCATAGTACAACACTGAATTCGTGTCCATGTACTACAACAAAAATCATAAGAAGCAGCCTTGTGTTATTGTTACTGGTTCAGTGAACAGTCCGAGAGCCTCCAAGGATGTAATGATGTTAAGCAGGGATGGGTTAGATCAGTGCCTGACAGACTACTGTGAGCCCCACAAAAGTTGCCCTGAGCTTCCTAAAATAAGAATGAGATATAACCAAGAAAAAATAAAAATACGTAATCTGCCAAGTCACTATTAAGTCTCTCTCTACAAATTATTTTGGATCAGGTATGCTACAACCATTCATTGCTAGCCTCGGTTTAGCCTAGCTACCATAAACCTGTGCTGCAAATCTGTTTCATCCCAATATTGATTAACAGCAGTAACACAGTAGCAGCTAATGACATACTGAACTTTTAAAAAAGAACAAAGTTGACCTTGCCAGAGGGCCTTCTCAGTGGTGGCGCCCACCCTGTGGAACACCCTCCCATCAGATGTCAAAGAAATAAACAACTATATGACATTTAGAAGACATCTGAAGGCAGCCCTGTTTAGGGAAGTTTTTAATGACTGATGTTTTCATGTATTTTTAATTTTTTGTTGGAAGCAGCCCAGAGCGGCTGGGGAAACCCAGCCAGATAGGAGGGGTAGAAATAATAGATGATGATGATGATGATGATGATGATGATGATTGTGTACTCTTAAAGTCTACGTTCTTGGTCTGCTAGAACCTCTCTCACAACAGTCACATCGAGTTTGCTGTTCATAAGCACAGGTCATCCCAATTTACAGAGGATTATGACCAGTCTGGATAACTAATGGCCTGGTACAGGTGAGAAGCAGCAACAAATTAGAAATCAGTAAGCAGAGAGGAGGTATCATTTTGCATATTTAATTACAATTGAGTAGAACTGATCTCATGAACATCAAAATTAATCCAACCTTTGCACGGGAAATATGTGGTATTGCCCTTTCTGGATGAAATTCATATTTAGAACACCCTTCTGTTGGGTTGTTGAAGCTACTGTTATCGACCCTTGGCCTGGTGATGAGGTGGGTTCAAAAACAGGGACAGAAACATTCCTGTCCAGGGGTGGGCTGGGAAAAAAGGATGGCCATCAGCCGCCTCAAGCACATAACAGAGAAGCGGAGCGAAAAACTGCCCTGATGATGCCCCGTCTAAAGTTGTAAATCACTATAATATGGAAAAATAATGACGGACTCTATGAAAGTGCCTGAAATAAAGTCCCGGCCCGTTTGGCAGTTGCAACACTCCCGACGGCGAGAAGTTCGTGGAGAACCTCGCGACCCCCGAGCGGCCTTCCTCCCGCGCGGCTCCCCCTAACCCACGAAGGGCCTCCCCGAGGGGCCGGCCACTTTTGTCCCTTGCGGAAAGGCCAACGCGGGCTCCCGCAAAGGCCTCCCGGCTCACCTGGACTCGCGACCCATAGCGGCCTCCTCCTCCTCCTTCCTTCCTTGATCCCTCAAGGCTTAGCGGCGGCGGCGGCAGCAGCAACAGCCATTTCCGAAGGAATAAGCGAAGCGGAAATGAACCCGCGCTACGCAGAAAGCGGAAGGAAGGGGCCGTCCCCCGCGTTTCCGCCAGCCGGGCACAGCGACCCCTAGCGTCCGGAGGGCCGAGCTTTCACAGGCTCTGGCCGGGACCTTCCTCTCTCCTGCGTGTTTGTGTGGAAGAGGCGGCAGGTGATGAGATCGCAAGAAGAGCCCCTTCTGGATGGGTCCCAAAGCCCATCTAGTCCAACATCTCGTTCTCATAGTGACCAGACGGGTGTCCATGGCAAGCTGATGTTCAACCTATGGATTGCAATTGTAATTGCGCAAATTGTAATCTCTTCTGTAATGGACGGTGCTGAGCTAGGAGACACGCTCCATTTATCAGCTGCTTCGTGATGTTTGCATTTAATACTGACTTGTCTGTGATTCCGTTCTGATTTCTAAGCCACCTTGATATAAAAATAAAATTCACGAATTCTCTTTTTAGCTACAATACGGTTTGATGCCAGAGACAGAAAATGCGGGTGTTGGCTCCAGGAGAACAGAAAAGTAATACACCCAATAAATGTATAATGTATTTAATGCATTGGTCTTCAACTGGTAAGGAAGAACACACTATCATGGCCTGATCTAAGTTGGGTTGCAAAAGCAGCACTACCACCCCAGAAATTAAGAAATTGTTCCCCAAAATGTATGCCTGGGTGCTGGGTTGGAAAAAGCTGAAGGCAATTGCTTCAATGCCCTGTGTACAACCATCTAGTATTAATATTAACATACACAAATACCCAAAACTAGCTAATATGATGCGATAGCAAATACTTCCTACTTACAACTTGGATTCATGTCTAACACAGACCAGGTATGCAACTATTTATCTTAATGGAGATGGTAAAAGTATTGCTATAGGATTGGGTGGCTGGTTTGGCTAATGCCTGTGGATCCCAGCCAAGTCTGTAATTTTTTTTTATCTATAAGACTGTAGTCTGTGGTAGAAGGAACTGCTGAACCGGCCAAACCAGTTTATTTTTTTTTTAAGTTAACAGCCTAGCTGGGCTGCTAAGCACCTTTTTTGTTACAAGAATAGAGAGTTGGCCATGTTGCAATAGGAACAAGAAGCTAATGGTGCTTCCAGGAAGAGAGATGACATATTGTAGGTAGGAGACTAGCCAAGAGCTAGTCACAATTTTTAGTCTGGGCTGAAGCTGCAAAAAAACAGGAGGCCTGACTTTCCCTGTGTGCTTAATCCAGAGCTATGGGTTTGGAGATCTCCCTATAAATTTAATGGGGAAGCAAGATCTATTCATGTGTTAATGCCCTGTTTAGTGAAATGTTTTATGTTTTATTGTGCTTTTGATTCTGTTAGGAGCCACCCAGAGTGGCTGGGGAAACCCAGACAGGTGGGCAGGGTATAAATAAGAAGAAGTTGTTATTTTGTTATACTAAATCATATATCCTAAAATCACCAGTCTCCAGTGACCTTCACTCCAAGGAAACTGAATTGAGGTGTGTGCAATAGTATTACAGTGAGCAGAATCATGGGATGAGGAGACCTGGGATAGCAAGTTATTTAATTGTATGGAATTATTGCTATTTCATGCTGCTTTCAGTGACTTTAAATGCGGAGACATGCTACATCAATCTGCTTTAATTCATGTGTCTATAGATATACTTTTTTAACACAGTCACTGCCTAAGCATCTTACAAATATGCTAACATGCTCCAGTATACCATGTGAATAATGGGTGTAGATATAAATAAAACAAACCACCAAATCTGGAGAGAGACTGGACAACTGTTGATCTAGTAGTAGTGCATTGGTATAGCCTATAGTAAAAAGCTACTTGGTGGTCATGGTAGAACTGGGTGGGTGAGACGGGGACAGGATTGGCAGAGAAGCATGCTCTATTTGTTAGTACGACAAAGGGTGAGATAATCTTTCTTTTTTACAGGTGTCCAAACACAGTGTTCCGTAGTTCTCCAGATGTTCTTTCAGGGTGGAATTGCACAGTACAGGACCACAGTTTACATTTTTCACAATTGTAAATAGAAATATGACATTTCTTTAATTCTCTCATTAGTTTCTGTGTTAATTTTTCTAGAAGGGTGACATGCAATGCTTTTTGCTACCAGCTGTTCAGCATAACTCCCATTCTGGTCTTTCTACACATTATTGTCCTTGTTCAGCTGGCAGATGGCAGGTTCCTATTGTGGTGTGTAAACAGATTCAACAGAGCTAACTGCAGTGTTTAATTCTTTACTTTCTAAATCATGCTTGTCCATAAGTTACATGAACATATATTCCATAGTTGGAAATGAAAATAACATTGGAAATATATTAGTAAAACACTTGACAACCCAAGTAGTCTTTAAAAATGAATTACAAAGGCATGCCAACAAATAAATGGTTAACAGACTTCATAGAAGCAGTCTAGAAATAATTACACTGGAGGACATACATGACCACATGAGGTTTATTGGATTTTGCAAAATGAGGTTTTTGCAAAAGGAACCACATACAAAACACCTTTTTACTATTCACCTGCTATCCCACCCTATACATCACTTTTCATAGCGGAAGTGGGCAATATGGGAAAATTCTATATTCTACCCATTAAATTTTAGACTTGATACTGATTTATCACTGTTGAAAAGTCCAGCTTGGCAAATATGAATTAAAGAAATTCAGAAACACCAGCTGAAAGTTGTTTTAATGGTTAAGTCTATCAGCTTTCTGAAACTATTAGTTGGGAATGATGAAAACTTCAAAGCATTTTGAAGATGTGATGCAGATACAGTATTTCTGCAACAGTCACTCCTTACAGATAGAATTATTAATGCCAGCTCAATTTCAGCCCTCACTTGCAAACCAATTGTTCTGAATCTTTTGTATTACATCCATTAGCTTCAAACAGAACCTTTCAACATGTCGACAGAGATATAGTCCGACCTTAACATATACAATTAGATGCTGAGAGTTTATCGTAGTGCAAAGTCTACTGAACACAATAGAATATATCATGGCCCGATTCTAGAGAGGAAAGAAATACATGCCCAGGAAAGAACTCAGATACAAACAGGGCTTTGCTTGCTGTTTTTGCCACAACAGTTCCTACTGCTAAAGAGTAAAGTTGGTTTTTTAAACTGAGCAGAATCATGTCTTCAGTGCGGGGAACTGCCATGGCAAACACCTCAATCCAAGTGCACAGATGTCTCCAGGGCATCCATATTTACTCTAAAAACTCTTTTCTTCATGTAACACATACAATTAGAACAATGAAACTTGGGTCAATGAATGCAGTATTAAAACTGTAACGGAGGAAAGAAGCAAAATAAGGAAAACAGCTTATTTTGATTATCCAAAACAAAAACAAAAAAGTGACAGCCTCTAAAAAGAGAAGCTACATTAGCCTCTATAATCACAGAATGATTTCAGTAACTTAGGGGATCACAGCTACATGGGTAACACCTATCGTTTACGATGGCCACTGTACCTCCAGAACATTTATTCCCATTAATTCTTAAGGTCCCAGGCAAATATCCACTCATCCTTCAGCATAAAGGGAACTATTACATAATAGCCTGATTTCTCCCAGCCTAATTTCTCACTGAATACCTAAGCCTGGTGCCAATTACTTGTCAGGGTGGCAGGTTCAGAAGTGAACCAGGGATCGCAAACATTGCACACAGCACTGAAGCAGAGCAGAGAAAGATGGGGAGGGAGAAAGGAAGGTTGGATGTGCATGCTCTCTTAATCTGGGCTTCCTCTGAACCAGCCTTTAAATATTATAGGGTTCTTAATTTATTTTTATTTATTTTTTAGTAATAAAATCTGTTTTTAATGGTAAACAACAACTGTGATTTACTGAAGGAACTTAACTCTAAATAAATAAATAAATATGAAGGCCCACCAGCTAAAACCAAGTAAAGACTTGCTTTATGGTACTGACCAATAGAACGGAATCTTTCAGAAATGAACCAATCAAGAGCATTTACCTAGAATTGCCCTAATGGTTTTGATGGAAGACGCTTCAAGTATCTGTTTCAGATGGGTTATAAAAACTTACTTGTGAGTCAGCATTCCCATGTGAAATGAATATGTAAGCAACTGTACAAACTAATAATTTGATTAAAATTATGGTTAAAATCTGGTCTGTACTCTTACAAGTCACATTTTTCCCCTGCTACTGATAAATGTAATGATCCCTTGAATGTCCAGACAGAAGAGGCTGGACTCCACATGCAATATTCTTGCAACGGAAGATATAGGAAATAGGAAGCAGAAACCTGTATTAGTTTACACTACAATGAACAAAAAAAAGCACTTGTCAAGTCAGAGGAATGAGCAAAACTTGTGACATTTTTAGGTACGAAAGTATAGTTACCCAAGAGAGCAGCTTTTAAATCTGCACTAATGCTGTATATTGCATTAGATCATGTAAACACAAGTAATTAAGTTTCCTAGTTAGGTAAAAAAAAGATAACAGGCAATATCCAATGGAAGTCAAACTCAAGAGTAGGCTAACTGAAATGAAGGACTAAAATCCACTGATTTTAATGAGTCTACTTTGAGTATGATTAATGTTTGATATCACCCAATGAATGCTTAATGGGAACACATAAAGAAGTTGAATTTCACTGCTTCGTCTTAGCTCTTGCATTCACATCCTAAAATCAAACCTCCCTAACTACAAGAAAACAAAGAGAATACTACCCCATTTAAGGAAGACATAAAATGATGACTTATATCCATCCTAATTCTATTGTAGAATCAATCTTGGCGCTGATCATATTTTGGTAAGACTATCCTGACTGCTAAAATGCATGAATTGAGGGCTATAAGCTAATAAAATAGGATATTCCTATGATAAGCTTGTATTCAGAGCATTCCTTCCATGAACAGAAAGATCCATTTGGAGGAAAAACAGAGACCCATCAGAGACTCCTGCTGGGAAAAGGAAGAGGGTAACAATTTTTCTGATCTCCATTTCCTCCTGTGTCACCCCCGCAAGTTCTGGAGAATCCCCAGCCCTCTGGTATAGGAGGAACACAAAAATCACCTCCCCCACCTTTCCTCCAGCAGCAGCATCTGATGAGTTGAGTTTTGCTCATGGAATCCTTGGATTCACCCATAAAGACTAACATAATTCTATTCAAGTAGGAGACCTCAGCTGCACTGTGCTCTCAAATCACAGAGCCAAAGGGAAAGGTTACAGTTTCAGGGTGATTCCTTTTAATTGGGGTGGTGGACAGAAAGGACACATTTCAGTTTTACAGAAAAGTGTGTCATTGGACCACTGACCAATATTTGCATTTGACTGTCCCTATCTGAGATCACTCTGCACTGTACTCAAAATCTACCAGTTCAGCTTCAAAGCCAGGACTTCAAAGCTCTTCCCTATCAAAGTATGTTTAAGCTGCACTGAACCAAGTATTGGATATAGGGTTAACACTGTTTATATATCCAGAGGCATGTATGAAATCAAGAGTGACGCAGTCCAGCTGAAGTATTACACCAGGTTCCACAGCTATCATGGCGCTTCAGGAACCAAAAAACACAAGCAGTTCATGGCAGAAGATGAAAGTAAAGAAATAGACACAAAGGTCTGTAAAAACATCCCCCATTTTGCTGTAAGTGTCCATGGAACGACTAATCACTTCTGCAGGGATCCCAGACAGTAAAAGAGCAGCAGTCAATACCGTGGTCTTCGTTTTCTTTTCACTCTGTGTAAGAAATAAAAATTACTTCGTTTTTCACAGCTTTCATCTTTAAGCACCTTATCAGAGCTTTAATACATTTATTTTTATTAGGTATTTTATGGTTTTATATCTTGATTTTATTCTGTGAACTGCCCTGAGACCCCCAGGGTATAGGGAGGTATATAAATTCAATTAATTAATAATAATAATAATAATACATTTCATAAGGTTACCTAATATTCTACCATACACCTCTCAAAGTGCATTTAAAAAAGCATCTCAGAGGTATTTTCCTGTAATCTTGGTTGCTTGTTTCTATTATGATGAGCTCTTTCTGTTCACAAATAGCAGCTGGTGCTATTCTCTTACATTCATCAGGCAAGGGCAGAGGCTACAGTGATGAAGTAATGACTTTGGGACCTGGAAACGGTGTTATCACACTGGAAATTGTTCCTTTCTTCAAAGTTCCATTACATTTGCTTGCCAGTTGTCTATACTAAAAGGGATTTTTGTCCACTAATTGTTACTTAATAAGTCGTTTGTCGTCCACATTTGGTAATTCTCATGTTTCACTCAATACAACTGTCACAAAAACAATGATGACAGCAAAGGAAAGTTAGCTGAAAATGTCACCAGTTTGAAAGAAAAGTAAGATATTTGATCAATACACTAAAAGGTGAGAAGAAGACATGAGGCTGTGCGCCAATCCCTGGCCAAAAATGTAAAGCAAAGGGGACAGAAACCTCATGCCCAGGGTCTCAAATTCAAGGCCTTTAAAATCCTGCAAGGCCTTTAAATTCAGCCCTCATGAGTCCTGATCTGTGCCCTCCCTCAAGCACTTCTGCCTAGCTAGGACTACAGTGATGCACCTCGCTTGCCTGGATGGAAGATAGAGAGAGGTTTGTGTAATTAGAAACATCTGGCTGTTGTGTGTGGCTGGAATGTCACCTTCCATACAAAGGTACATGCCACGTCTGTTTCTCTGCCCATTTTTGGCATCTGGAACGCTGCCAACACAGGAATGCGGCGCTCAGGCTGAAAAGGGTTCCCTGCCCCTGATATACATCAAGAAGGCCAACATCTCCCACAAAAGTTATTCAAAAGTAATCTGCAGAAAAGTGATTAGTTCACTGGATTCACAGTCGCAAAACATGGTGGAGGAGAGACAACTCTCAAGTAAACATTGTGCTTTTCTTTTACAAACCATCTGCAACCCCACATACACCAACAGGAATGAGCCCTATTCAATCAAGGGGAATTTTCTTCCCAGTTAGAATTCAGATGATCAGTCTGTCACATAAATATTATTGCCAATGCCGTAAGAAAATCTCAAGATGAAAATACATGGCCTATGCTACAAAAAGCCTCTGAGAAATCTGCCACAATATGTGGCCTGGTCAGTGTTAGAAACTGGGATATGAAAGCTAGGAGCTAAATGGCACCTTAAATCTATGTTATGGGCACAACGGAATGTCTAGGCATGCTTTTTTATAACAACAATACAAATATTATGTTCATTTTTCACATGGTCTAGTCCTTCCCCTGCCCATCCCCTTAATAGTCTTAAGAGGGTCTCTTCTCTAGTCTTCAGAGAGTAGCTGGAAGTGGGGAGGCAGAAAAAGGTCCTCCTTTCCTTCAACTCTGCAGTTTTAATCTGAAATTTTAGGAGCAATATTGCGCCCAGAGCTCAGAAAACTGCTCACACTAATGAAATTCCCTGTCGCAATATGCACCTAAAAGAATGGGAGTTTGGTACCCTGGACCTGAAGTCTGACAAAGTCTATTTTACAATAACGATGCCACCAAGCTTATAGATGGTGACTTTCAGGTAAGGGCAAGATCAACAGGTTAGCCCATTTTACAGAGCATTCCTGTATTTTTCTATTCAGAAGTAAGCTGCATGGAGTTCAGAGAGTGGCTCCCAGGTAAGCATGCCTAGAATCACAGTCCAAAACACGTTTACTCAGAAATAAGGTATTCTAAAGTTGAATGTAACTTACACCCATGAAGATCCTCAGTACTGAAGAGTTTATGCATTGTCTCTGTAGCTGACTGCTCTCAAGTATTCAAAATGTATATACACAAAATGCAAACAATTGCTGATAAACCTAAATTAGCATTGTATTGTCATTATCTGCTATTCTGCATAAAAGCTAAGAAAATTCTAACACAGAGCTTTCTCTGTCAAATCTTATTTTAAGTTAAGACATTTTGATAATCCATTTGTCCTAAAAAAAGGTCTTACCTTTGGGAAATACTTTGACAACCCCATGTATGCAAGCTGTAAGGTAAGAAATGGAGCAAATATTGACTGTGGGGGGGAAAAACAAAGAAGTTAAATGAAACAGAAAGTAGTAACAAGAAATTCACATTGCTACATTATTTCAAGGAAATAGTCTATGAAGTGTTTCAACCAATTGATTGGAAAATATAGAGAAGATAACCAAATTTCAAAGCACCACTGTCAAAACAGACTGAATTTATATTTAAGGAAGATCCAGAGAAGTCACTAACATATATCTAACGTACTGGTACAGACCAGTTAGAGTGCTATAGTAATGTCTAGGAAGATGTCCATTCAAAAAGTCCCCAAGGAAAACTTCCATATGAATCATTCAGTAAATAATCATCCTTGCACATAATTAAACAATAACATTCAAATTTACTTTTGAATAATTTAAAGCTATTTGATAGTAGCAATGATTAGGCATTGCACTTTATATAGTTAGGAAATGCTTTTCTGCTGATTATCCAGTTCCCATAAAAACAAGCCTGGGAATCTCGAAATCTTTGAATTGTTTTGTATGATTTTTGACAGATGATTAAGTAATTTAAGAAAGCAGTCTTCTTCATTTTTGATGTCTAGGAATTTGTGTCCATATCTTGCCAACTTGACCTCAGTCCTAAAATCAGATGGCTACATCTTCCTTAAGGGTTCTGATGGCAAGAAAACTTTAGCCCAATTGCTTTGGACAGGCTGCTTCATTAGCTCACAACAGGATTAAGACAAGGCGAAACCTAGGCATATTTTGTAGTTAAGCTTCATGCATAAGGCCACGTTTGTTCCACTATTAAATGTTATCACTGGCTAGTAAATTGTCAGCTGTGTTTGAACACCATTTGCATAGACTAGAACAGTACTTGGCACAGCCTGAAAAGCAAACAACACTGCTGGCTGTCCTGGGCTTCCAGGGCTACCCATAGCTTAATTATTGTCAATACAGAAGAGCACCAAAGTACAGTAATTTCTTGATGCTTTTGCTAGGCCAGGGCTTACAATTTCTTGTGGTTCTGATCCTCTTGCCAAACACCATGTGTCTTAAAATAATCATTGCTCAATCATCACTACTTAGGACAAGCCACTGTTGAAGAGTGGACAGAATTATGGATTTGGGCCTAAATCCAAATCTCTACTTAGCTATGAACTTGATGGGCGGGCTTAGGGAAAGTTATTACTTTTCTCAGCATAAATTCCTTATCTGCCAAATGCAAATTCCACTGTCAAACTTTCTGGGCTAATCAGTAAGGCAACCAGGTCAAATAAACAAGAAGTACTAAGTTACTAAGACTTTTCTTTACTCACCAAGTATTTGCACACAAAAGCTCTAACTCCAATGGCAAGTAGTGCACACCCCACTAATCTAAAAATGCGGAAGGAATCAAATTCCTCCACTACATTTCCATTTTCCTGGCTTGGCTTCTCACTGATAAGTTGGTTTCTTAACTTCATCGCTTCATCAAACCTCGAGAGATACTGGTCTAACCCGTGGCGAGGTGCTCTCTGCGGAACCTCCATCAGATCCCCTCTGCTGCGCTGTCGGAGCTCGCCAGTGCCATCATTTCCAACCTCGGGAGTTATGCTAAACAAGTCCTTTTTCTCTCCCTTGTGCTCTATTGCACTGCTTGCATGGTCGGCTGTTCCTGCCAAACTGCAAACAGTGTCACCTAGCACAACCCGTTTGGAAACAGGAGTGGGAAGGGTGCTTGGCTTATCTTGTTCCAGCTGAAGTTTTGATTCTGAATGGCTGTCATCATCTAAAGAGGAGGCAAAAAAGAAAGGAGTCACTATGCTAAATATTGTAGGTTACTCTACAAGACCTAGGCTAGTAGTCTTCCATGTTTTCAAACCTGGGACCCACTTTAAACCAAAACACACATCTGGAGAACATTTTCTTCTTATTACTTTTTTTTACCATATTTTTTTTTTACCATATATTTGTACAGTGGTAGGGCTGCTGTTGTGACCATCTCAGATCAGGTCATAAACTGGTAGTGGATCCCTACAGACTAAGGTCCTAGGCCATGTAGCTGTGGAACTAAGCACTGTAAGGAAAACAGGGGTCAAAGAAGAATGGCATATACTTTTCACACTGAGCCTAATGACACTCCCCCTTCCTGCCCCAGCTAAATACCTGCTGTTTCTTTCAGGTCTTTGAGCATTAAGGAACTGGCCTGTGCAGTGATATACTGACAGATAGCCAATGATTTAGTTATTTATACTGATTGTTTTATGAGTTTGAACTACTGGTTGCTTTATGTGTTTTATTACAGTAACCTGTCCTGGAGAGTCATATGGCAAAGGGGTAGGGCATAATTTTATTAAATAAATAAAAATAAAGCATAATGTCATTTCAAAAAGATACGAAGAGTTGGTGCCTTTTCTCTTGCAGACCTCAGCCTACAAAACAGCTCCCTTCAAAAGGACACAGGACAAGTTACTTGCTGGCTTTTGAAAGAAACACAAGGACTAGTCGTTCAGTGGTAATTTTAAAAAGGGTTGTGCTGCTTGTGTTTTATTGCTGGTTTAATTTTCATACTATGTGGACAGCAGGAGAATTTTTTAAAAAGTCAGATAGAAGCAACTTTCACAATCAGTGCTCATGTCTCCACCTAATTTGGGGGGATCCCCTCTCCCACCTTCATCCCCCTGCACTACAGCCCACTCCAACCAAAAGTATTCCCTAATACTCAAGAGCAGATTTTCATGAAGCTAGAGTGGTTACTTCTACCAACTCCATTCCATGTGCTTTCCTCTGGTTCCATTCCAATTACAGTAGTTTATCGAGGCCAAATAACCAAATAATAAATTTTCCACACATATTTTTTTCCTGAGTCAAATAGATTGATTGCAGAGAGACTTTTTGCCAAAGCTCTTTAAATAACTCATTTTGCATATAACAGTGGTTTGGAGAGAAACAAGTCATACCAAGAAGGATTTGTGACTACAAACTGTAGAAGGAAGAACAAAAGTACAAACCAGAAATGTGATCTTTAATCTTTTAAATGTGTAAACATTTCATGCCTCTTTTTTCCAAGAACTGTGACAGAATAATTAAAAACACCATTCTATAGGCTTTCCAAAACTGCTTTATAGAACACATATGAAAAGTCACAAAGCCTGCCAAGGAGAAAGCTGACCATAATGGGTTAGTTTGGACAGAACACTAACCCACAGTTTAGCGTTGAGAAAGCAAGTCTATCTTTCTCCCAGGCTCACATGCTTTCACCAAACCTCTCCCAGAGCTTTCCATTTTTTATTAGTCACAGCTTCTCATGTCATCCAAGCTCAGTCAAACTGTGTTAAGATAGTTAACTATAGTTAAGATCAGCCATAGTTCAGGGTTTGGACAGCAAACTAAACTGTGGTTAATCTAAAATGAAGTATCTGTTCCCCTTAGTGTTGGCCAGGAAGAAGTGAAGGAAGGAGGGCATGTTTGTGGGGAGGAAGCAGTGCTAAACCCTCATTTAGCACAGGGGTGGCTGCCCCCCCACGCCAGCTTTGGTTTCCCCTTAAAGAAGCTCAACTAAAAAAAAAGTGGGTGTTCCTGTAACTCTTTTTCTAGAAAGAAAAGTACTGGTATTGGTGCTACAATGATAGAAAGCTCCAAACCTGATGGGAATGAAAATCACCGTCTCCCTGGCCTTCAGACCCATACTTTGATGACCAATAATACTTTGATGATCCTCAGCTAATCTGCACAAATCAGCTGTGAGCAAAGTACACACATGCAAGTGTGCATGAGTGAGGGTATGGGGTGGCCACATCCAGTGCTGACCTGTAGCCAGTGGCGTAGCATGGGGGGTGCAGGGGTGGCCGGCCGCACCGGGCGCAACATCTGGGGGGGCGCACTTGCACTCGCAGCTCTCTGCTCCTACCTGGCTCACTCACTCTCTCTCACTGCAGTGCTGGCTGTGCGAATCCGATCCGAGCTGCTGGGTCGCCGCCCACTGTGGAGGGGGTGGGTGCCAGGCGTGCGGTGCGGAGAGAGAGCGAGGGACTATCTGGGGAAGGGACAGTGCAGCGGCTGCCCAGCGCAGCGCTGAGCGCGGGAGAGAACCACACCAGACCAGCCCAGGCAGCAGCAAGAAGAAGCTGGCAGCGGCGGCAGGTTAGGGGCGCAAATTACTTGCCTTGCCCCTGGTTAGGGGGCGCAAATTACTTGCCTTGCCCCAGGTTAGGGGGCGCAAATTACTTGCCTTGCCCCGGATGCTGACAACCCACGCTACGCCGCTGCCTGTAGCCTCTAGAGGTTTGGTCAATACTGAATGTGACCAATGGGACAAAAAAGCTTCAGCAGCATCTGGTTCAGGGACTCTTAAGTGCTTCACGTTGTCATCATTCTTCAGAGGATTACTAGCACCCTTAAACTAGAAAGAAACAATTTCAATCTCCAATATTTCAAACACACCAGAAGGAAGAGCATGGCACCAATACATACTGTGGAATCTCAGCTCTGAAAATATTAAAGAGTACTGGAAGGACACAGAAAGAATCAAAGCACGTAAACACCTGCAAGCTCTAATGAGTTGTGATTTCCACAACTGACTTCCTCCTCTTCTTGACCAAAAAGTACTAAAAGCAGGAGCTACTGTACAGCTTCCCCACCTAAGTGTTAAGTTACATTCTCTGCTTTTAAATGCAGCCAGAAGCACAGCACATTAATAAAACTATCTACATATTCAATAGGAAATCAAGGAACATGACAAAGATTCATTATGCAAGCAGTAGGCAAATCATCTTGGTCTCAGTTCCACATTTAAAAATGGCAACACAAGGCAAACAAGTGTTACAAGTTATATTGTGAACTGGAAACATTATCTAAATGATAAATAACAGGAGAGACACCAGTCAGCGTGTTATACTGGTTAGGGTTAAAGGAGTAGAAAGATTCAAATTCCTGTACTCTTAAAGTTCTCTCACATAAAGCTCTTGCGCAGTCAGACCTTGCAAGCTTATTTGCAAGGATACACCCACCCAGGGCTTCTTGGTGGTAATAGCTGTTTTAAACCCATATGTCATCCCAAAAAACTAATAAATTGAGTGAATAAATAAGCAACAGGTGGGATAAAAATGTTTCAGAGAATAGAATTATGAAAAAAAAATATTGATTTCATTCAGTAATAAGTATTGAAATGATTCAGCACGGTTTGTTGGCACTTTCGCGTCAAATATAGTAAGAGCATTCACCTTTCTCCATTGCAAATGGAAACACAAATCCTGAACGAAACACACATTAATTTATAAATTGTGCATGATTTGTTCTTCCCAAAGGACGTAGAGGCAGGTGTTTTCAATGCTGAAACAGCCATCCTTGGATCGCATGAAAGAACTTGATTTATCTTCAAACAAAGCACCTTTACTGAAAAGGTATGGGGGGGGAGCACCTCAAATAAGACGAATGCGATATATCGCTCGGGGAGGAGGGGCAGCGTCATTTTGAGCGATCAGATTAGCTTGTTAATATACGGACTATGTTAACCCATTGTTCGGGAAGGAGAGGAGGACTTGACGAGGAAAGAGGGGCGCGTGTTGAGCTCCCACCCCCGACACGTTCATAAGCGCCCGGGCAAGGCAGGGGATGCCCAGCGCAGTCAAAAACCGCCCCCCAAAGCCACGCCCCGTCCTCACCCGCCTTTGGCCGGTGGAAGCCCATGATCCGGTTGATCCGATCCTCCGAGTTCATCAGCAGTTTCCTCCGGCGAATCTCGGCCCGGCGCTGAGAGGCCGTGAGTCCGGGGGCCGTGGCCGAAGTCGTCTTAGGCCCCTCATGGCCGCCGCCGTCTCCTTCCAGAGGCTCCGTCTCCATCCCTAGTAGCACCGAGGCGGCGGCGGCAGCAGCAGCAGCGAAAAGCCCTCGAGCTTCCTCTCCGCAGAAGGCACACAATAGGGAACGGCCAGGCCCCGCTCTGCCAACCCTTCGCTAATGCGCATGCGCCGCCGGCGCCGCCATTTTAGGTACCGCCTCCAGCCGGTGGCACGAGCGGCGCCATCTTGGATGCGGGTTGTGAGGACAGGCTTTTACTTGTAACCGCGGGAGCTTACGGCAAACCCCCTCGACGGGCTCGTAACCTGAGGCTGTTTTCGCTGGAGGATGGCGCCCTTCGCAAAGATGGCGAAAGCAGCCTGCCGAAGAAGTGCTTGCGCATGCGTGCTGGAGGGAGAGGCGTTGATAGTGCCCGGGCGGGGATGAGGAGTATGCAATGACCTCATACAGCAAGGGTGGGTGGTTGTCACAATCGCTCCACGCTGTAGCATTTGTCCTAATGCAGGAGATGGTGGCATCTTCAAACCTGACTCTACAAATGTATTTGGGGGGAGTGACAATAGGACAATTACTCGAGGAAATGTAGTCTGCAAATCCTATGCACTTGGGAGTAAGCACCAGAGGTCCACCATCGGATTTATTTTTGGAGTTAACGTTTTTAGCCCAGCATCCAAGCTGAATAGCCTGATCTCAATGTATGAACGAACAACTGCCAACAGCTATTGTATATCGATTTTTACTTTTGCCTTTCTCATATTGAAACACAAATTTTAGTGTTAATTTTTTTCGTTTTTTAAACAGCCTTTTGTTTTCTTTAAAGAAAAATCATCAGGCACCCATTTTGCTCCTTTAAAACTAATATTCCCTTTTAAGAAATTTTGAGCAGCGTGCACCTTTATCTGAGGAAATACATATAATTTGCCCATATTTTAAGGGTTTGTCTCATTCAGATCCCGTCTTCATAGCTCTTAGCGTTTTTATTTGGTCTTAGAGAAAATGCCTGCTAATCATAGCATATCTCTCATGGAAGCTTGTGGTCTTTTATGGAAACCTATATTAAACAGAGCAGTAAGTACACACATACAAGGTTTTGTCTCCCTCTCCTATCATGGGTGTCTAAAAACACCTGGATGTCTGGGGGACTTCTCGAAGATAAAAGCAGGAAGAGCTGTATTTAGTTAAGGAATCTAAGATTGTTCCAAGACTCAAAGTGTAATCTGACTCAGCTATGCAATGCATACAAAGATATTTCTCATGCACAAAATTACAAAATATACATTAATCTCTTTACTCTTCCACAACCCTAACAAAATCTAAAGCAGACCCGCCAGAATTTGACATGTGAAATCATAAACATTAGCACTTAAAATTATAATAAAGTGTTCCTTACTATGGAGTGTTAAAAATGACACTGTTAGAATTAAACCATGCTTTCTGTCATCTTGCTTGGAGTTCCAAACCTAAGAGCTGTTTTGCAAATAGACAAAGTCCTCTGATGGTAAGAGCTGTTTGACAGTGGAACAAACTACCTGGGAAGGTGGTAGACCAAAACCTCAAATGTAGTAAGCAGGTTGGATGGCCATCTGTCAGGAATTCTTTAGCAGTGATTCCTGCATTGCAGGGAGCTGGATTCAATGACCCTTTGTGTCCCTTCCAACTCTACAATTCTATACAGCGGTACCTCGGTTTAAAAACAAGCCTGTTTATGAACTATTCAGTTTATGAACTCCGCAAAACCAGAAGTAGTGTCCCGGTTTGTGAACTTTACCTCAGTCTAAGAACGGAATCCAAACAGTGGAAGGGCCTCATTAGGGAAAGCACGCCTCGGTTTAAGAACAGACTTCTGGAACAGATTAAGTGCGTAAACCGAGGTACCACTGTACTAATAAACTTACTACAGCATCAGTCTTCCTAGTACTGTTAGGAGAAATATTTTTCTATGGTTCATATTCTCCCTCCTCAGGCAGAACCATGAATTCCCTCTGCTTACAAAAAGACTAGCACATACACATTTACTGGAACACTTAACTGCAACAGTGAAGTCATTTACAAACAGTGTCGTCATATGGATTAAAAAAAAAAGTCTAGCAGGTGAGATCATTTGGTCCAGCTGATAACTTAGAAGTTAAAATATTAGTGCCTATTTCAAAACCCTACTGTTGCAATAAAACTTGTCACACTTAGCCACCTCTTCTGTGGCTTAAATTTGTTTTGTCACACCTTTGTAATTGCAATATTACGATTTAGAGATCACCATATTTTTGTCTGAATATAAAAGGGACTGCACCATTCTTACTGGAATTCTTGAAGGGTGATTTTAGAAGTTCTAAAGCCTTGTCAAGTAATTTGAGAAAGCGGCTGTGTCATTGTGTTAATGTGTTCCAAAGATAACACAAAAAGACATACTCGGGCACCTTCCATTTAATTCCATGTGTTCCCATTCTACTTTCTTTCCACTGCTCTCTAGATCCTCAAAACCAATTAGGGGTTGTTTTTGTTTGCTGCACTCACCTCCCCCACCAGCAATCTCTGCATAAACACGCAAGTCTTCAACTCACACTTCTATGGTTACACAAGTAAGGAATGCTGTCCCATCCTGCTATGTTATTATAGACTGGTTGTTTCCTAAATGTAGAAATCCTTACAGCTAGAGGATAACGTTCATAAATTGCATTAAACCTATGCTTTTCAATTAAACAAAAAACAGCAATAGAGTCGTTATACATTAATTATAGGCATCAAATGGGTGCCAAGGATGTCATGACATGTCTTTTTGTGGGGGTTGTGTATACCTGATAGTTTCTGGTTGTTTTTAAAATTTTGGTGAAATATACCTTGCCATTGTAAATGCTGTTTCCTGAGATTTTGTAAAATCCATGCACCCCCAAATCTTATGCATGTTTACATTATATTCAGTGGCTGTAATCCAAAGAAGCAAGCATAGGATTGCAGCATTAACATTTGTACAACATATCAAGCAATTATACTTTTACTTGCCAATTTTTTGTCCTTCATTCCTCCCCTCTTTCTAAATGTTGTGCCAATGCACATACCACCCCCTAAACAAACTTTTAGTTTTTCCTGGTGTGTGTGTGTGTGTGTTATATAATGAAGACATTTGCTTTTAAGCTCCTTTATGTGCACTAATGACTCTCTACTTGTAACTTTTTGTGAATAGGCTGGTAGGCAGTATCCTCGTGGGTACACTAAGTCCAACTAAGGCATCTGGAGCACTGGACCAGTTTAGATTATTGCAACCTAAGGGTGTGGGCAAGCTGCTTAGAGAAGTGTAGCTGACCACAGGTCTCATTGTCCCTTGCTGATGATTCTGGCTTCTTAGAGCTAGCTGCAGGGAGTTGATTAGGTGGGTTCAGGAAGTGATTAATTCTTCAATAGAGAGTGAGGAGTACCCCCTGTCATAGAGGAGGCAGTGATGCATCTCCTCAAGAAAACCTACTTGGTTCCAGAAGTGTTAATCTATTGCCCAATGGTGAATATTTCCTTTTGGGGCAAGGTGGTCAGGAAGGTGGTGGCAGTCCAGCTTCAGGCATACAATGGTACCTCGGGTTACAGATGCTTCAGGTTATAGACGCTTCAGGTTAGACTCCGCTAACCCAGAAATAGTACCTCAGGTTAAGAACTTTGCTTCAGGATAAGAACAGAAATCAGGTTCTGGCGGTGCGGCAGCAGCAGGAGGCCCCATTAGCTAAAGTGGTGCTTCAGGTTAAGAACAGTTTCAGGTTAAGAACGGACCTCCAGAACGAATTAAGTTCTTAACCTGAGGTACCACTGTACTTGGTAGGAAACTGATTACTTTGATCCATTCCAGTCTGGCTTCAAGCCTGGCTATGGCACTAACACTGCCAAGTTTCCTCTGGCATCCAACTTCTGTTTGTAAAAAGGACTGATGAAGTTCTGTGTGAGCTCTTTCAATTAATTTTATTGAGTAGCCAAATTTGATAAATTAGCACAGCTAAAATAAGCATTTGCATGTGTTACAAATGACTTTATACAGGAATAAAACAGTGAAAATTACAAACTGTAAAAAGGGGAACAAGTAAAACCTTGCCTCCAATTTCAGAAGAGCATGGTTTACAATTTCACACCGAATATCAATGTCTGAGTTCAGAAAACAAGGATTAATATTACAATATTTTACACTACTTTACAAAATCAAATTTACTACGTAAGGATTTAATCTGTAACTGGTGGACAGAAGCTTTATGTCACATTTGATGGTCCCTTCACATTCTGTATGATTATATATTCTGTTAAATTAATTTTGAATAAAAATAAACCTCATCATTATTGCAAATTATGAAATTACAGAAATGTAAAGGCTAATTAAAATGGATGGTTTTGATGCTGACTGAATTTAACATATCCATCAAGCATACTAAATTGTTTAAAAATCTTAAAACTAGAAAAATAGAGAACATCTGTTGTGAACTGCCATGCTAAGATGGAAGCATCAGGGCCATTCTTGCCTAGTTAAGTTGTGACAGATCTTAAAAGAGACAGCTCTAAGTAAAAGTATAGCATAGGCAATTTTACACATGGGTCTGCCCTGCAATCCCTATTATTAAAAAGGAGATGTAGTTTTGTCCATCATGAGGAAAATTAGAAAATTCAATATTGCAAAAAAGAGTATGAACATTCTAAAAAGCATTCCTATCCAGACAGTATAATGTGCTCACCATCCTTTTTATTTCTGTTAAAGAGGTGGAGATTAGGGATTTATTCTTGAAATCATTTTCTCCCTCAGGCTAGTTCCGTCAAGGCCTATCATCCTGTCTTACATGAAGTGAAACCACGTTTGAAATACACACACCCCATGACACACTCTTCAAACGAAGTATTTTTGTGCACAGGAGATAGCTGGGCATGGTGCTACATTTAAGGGCTCCCACCACCCCACGGAGTGCAATCAAGCCTGGCGGCACCAGTTATCTGTTCAAAATATTATGCGTGCAGCATAGGGAGCAGTTATTCACCCAAGGGGTGCTGGATGCATTTGTTATCCATGCACAGTACCTGTGCCTGAACCAGAAAAATAATCTAAGCACACAAGCCTGTTTCTACGCACAAATTGTTCTTGGTATATTTTGTACACTTTTGTTTAGAAGAGTCAATGGAACTATGGTCAAAATAATAATATTCAGGTTTTGATTTCCAGTACTCACAAGCACGCACTGCATTATGATCACATGCTGAAAATGTGCATATCATTCTTGATAGCAACTTCCATAACTGAATTACTACTTTAAAAAAAGAATGACACCAGCAATAAGGAACTTCTCTTTTGCAGATTTCAACAGGTATTTTAATCCCTTTTGAAGAGGGAGATCCGCCCGCCCCCCGTAACATGAAAGTAAACAATTCTATAAGCAACTTTTTATAGACCACTCTGACACACTGGATAGATTAGCAGACAATGTTGTTAGAAGTAGATAAGAGTTGGTATTCCGATTCGAAATGCTGGTTTATGAACACCACAGTTCTTTAGAGAACTTTAGCGGCTTTTTGTGCATGTAATGCTTACCCATGCCCGTCACTGAGGACATTTCAGTTAATCTTCTATAACTGAACAAAAGCAACGGCCTGAAAAAATGGCTGCAAAGTATCATTCCACAAAAGGAACACCAAGGAAGAAGTGCAATGGAAATATATTTCCGATCCACTTTTCTTGGGAGAGGAGAAGAGGTGCGAGAGAAAATAGAAATCCAAGACAGCTACAAGTTGAAGTTCTACCATTGATGAAGGATGATACTAATGCTGGCTGCTTGTGTGGGAATCTACATAAAAACACTAATGCTGTTTGCCATGATTTATTTCACAGTAGTTTCCTGGGTATGAGTAAAACTAACATTTATTATTCTTGCTTATACTGTGCAGAACTTGGGATTCTTGCCTATTAAGCGGGATTTCTGAAATCTTTTTCCATTAAAGCCACAAAAATTCTTCCCTGCATTTTTTCAATTTTAAATGGCAGCATGTTAGATGCTCATCTGGATTTTAGACAAGTTACTCAACACTGTTTTTAACGTGATGATTATGGCTTAGTGTCACCATTAAGCACTCATATTAAAAATCTTAACTGAATATAAAAATGTGACTTTATATTTAATCAAATGCAATCCAAGACTTTTGGTTGGACAGTCTGTTCCCCTATTTACTTTCAATTAATGAATTAAGACTTACAAACATCATTTTACTATCGAAGACAAGAATCCATGGTCACCATTTTTGTAGCCGATTCAGGCCATGTGATTATAATTCTCAATGGACATAGTGCAAGTTCATGGTTCTTTCAGGTACTAGAATACTGGTGCATCTTAAAGCTTTTTAAATGAATTGTTTCATATTCATTTAAATCCAGCCAGATCCCTTCACATTTACTCTGCCTTGCTTATCATAATCCATTTTGAAAAGCACTAGAAACTAAGTTCATTAAATATTTTGTTCACAACGAATTGTTTCATTGCTTCTTTAAAAATGTATTTTTTAAAAAATTAGTGATACATATCGTATAAATCAAGACAATATAGTTTCCCTGCAACTCAGTCTTGGGAGGTTTGAAATATAGCAGCAAAAGAAAGCAGAAAAACAAAACAAAAAGTTAGAAACATAGTATTTTGAACAAAAAAAATCTTGTATAAAGGTTCAGCTCTTCAATATTGCCTTTATAATGCTACTTACAGTGAAACATTCTGCAGCAAATTAAAAAGGCATCCAACATGTTCAAATGGATTTTAATTGTTTGAAGTACAAGATTTGGTGGTCCTTTATTTGCTTTGTTTTTCCTTTCTTTCTGAAAATCACAGTGAGATTCTCATCAACTGCATCAGGCCAAAAACTTTATAGGAGCATTACAAGCACAAGTGTTCTGTATGCAGGAACGGTCCTTTGAAAGGGGCTCATTTATTCACTTGCTGCTGAATATGCAAAAGGAACTCATAGTACGATAATGCAGATTCTGTTCTGTCTTCTATCATATTTTGCAGGAAACTTGGTTTCCATGGACTTTCATCCCTTAAAAATAAAAGCAAACAGAATTTCATGAGCATCAACACTTTTTAATGCTTCATTCCTAGAAAATATTTACAATGTGAATTGTCTGATAAAAGCAAAATCTATTTTGTTAACATGTCGGGAATCTATAGCATTAAAGATGCTCATGCTGTTTGCATGGGCACAAACTCTGATACACACATGGATCGGAGGAAGCAAACACTTCTTCATTCATGGCAGCACCTGGGACAGCCCTGTAGCTGTTCTTGCTATTGAAATGGAAGGGAACTACTGGCTTGTGTGGGAACTCCATGCATGCCACAAGACTGGCCATTTCAGGTAAGTACTTAAGGGTCTGAGCATCCCTCCATTTGTACATCCCTTAACACTCCCCATATGCCACCAAAGATCAGTGTTGCTACCCCTTTTTACTTTCATTGAATGTGGTCTCACTCCATCTCTGCCAGAAGCAAGCAGGCAGAGAATATTCCTCTTTTTAATAGGCATGCAACAGAGGAATTTTGTAACTAAGCTGTTCGCAGAGAGCCAGTTGCTACCTGTCCCAGGTGAGCAGCAAGCTGCACGGCTACCAGGTCTGTATGCTGGTGTAGTCGTCTCATATAAAAATGCCACTTACCTTAAAATATACAATATAGGAAAGAAGGGCCTTTGCTCCCTCAGCCAAGAGATAAAAGCAAGCATTCTAGAAGACTCAGCCGTATCAAGTTCTGGAAGTTGTGTCTGTCACAAAAAGAGCTACTGTGAATGCCAGTCAAAAATAATATCTAAAGTATTCAGGTTATATATATTCAGGTTGACATTGGCCCCCATATACCTGCATGAATATGCATATCCCCCCTATTTGTTTGAAGGCGGCAAAAACTGTTCCCACTGCATTTTTTCAGGCACTGCTGCTCAAGTAAACCTGCGTTGTGCAAAATGTCATTAGCAGTCTGTCAGCAACCCACTATCAATCAACCATGGTGCAAGAGCAGCCCTTCTGAAACTTAAAAGATTTAGTCAGCAGTAGGATTCACTCTCTGCACTGTTCTTTATCTTCAACTCCTGGCTAATTGGTAGTGAACAATGTGTATACTTAAACAAAGAGGCATTCAATGGGGTTCACTTGCATGTGCAATAGAAATCCGCTTGTGCAACAGGATTCCCACCCCCACGCTCTGTAAGCTCCTCCAACTCTCCAGCGCAAGCTTTGGGGTGCATGGGACAGGAGGAGAGGGGAAAGCTGCAGTGCACACCTGCTTGCACTCCATTGGATCCTATCCCAAATGTCTCCTTCAGGACTGGAAGTGGATCCCTCAATCACCTGACACCATTGTGACATCATGTGACAACATCAAAGGGACTTGCCTCTAAAGTCCCTATGCAAGCAATTTCTGTACCATCCACTTGCAAACAGCCTTAAAAATGATGGCAGCTCACACAGTCTGGAGATTCCCCACCCTCAGGCCTACATAGTGGAAAATCTTTGAGGAAACATTTTTGTTCCCCTAAATAAGGAAATACAGGGTGTATTCAACATTGTGTTAAGTGGATCATTCTATCAGTGTAAGGGTTTCTCCTCATGCAATGGAACCATCTCCCCTTCTTCTCTGCCTGCACAACCCTTAAATCTGCTCTGGGGGCTTTCTCAACTCTCTGGAGCCGATCTGGAGGCATCCTAGAGGAAAGACATCCCTCTGTACTAGTGCAACTATTTCACTGAATGCTGCCCATAAATTCAGACACTTGTGAGGGATATCTAAAGATTAGAACAGGTGAAATGAGCTGCCTGTAAGGCAATCCTTAAAAATACTGCAGTTTGCACAGCAGGAATTTTAATTGTGTAGCTTAACTTTTTCATGTAGTTCTAAGGAGCTAGAAGTTCTTCTGAATTACAGAGGAATCCTCGCTTACGTGGGGGTTCCATTCTGGGATGTGCTGAAGTCCATTCTGACCCTGTTCTGCCCCCGCACCCATTCGGCGCTGTGCACCCTTGTGCACAGTTTTGCGAGTTGGGAGTTGCCTCCACATTCTTACCATATTGTGTGGTATTGATGCATAGTGTGGAACTCCAAGGACACGGCTGATAAAGTTCTGTCCACAATTCTTTCCAACCCACAAAAACATCACCTGTAAAGGCAGACATGGATAACCAGAAAACATTACTCTGTGCATTTTACTCTTCTCATACACTTTCTGGCAAATGACAGCTATGAAGCTTCAAAGAGAATGAGCCACATTTTGCACACAATATGAATATTAGCAGAATGTAACTTACAGAGCCAGCATCCATAAGGTAGGCACCATCTCTATTTATCTTCTCCACAGACAGCTGGAGAATGGGAGGCTGAGGTATTGTTTTGTCATTGACGTTGAGGGCTCCCTAAAGAAATATGCATATAATGGATAAGATATGAAGAGGCTACAGGTCAGATCTTGACTAACAATAGGAATAAAGACCTTTATCATGTAAAAAGGCACAATGTACCGACCCGTATGTTCCAACTGCATTTTACCCTTTAGTATGATTAAACTTAAGGGATGCGGGTGGTGCTGTGGGTGAAACCACAGAGCCTAGGGCTTGCCGATCAGGTCGGCAATTCAAATCCCTGCGACAGGGTGAGCTCCCGTTGCTCGGTCCCTGCTCCTGCCAACCTAGGAGTTCAAAAGCACGTCAAAGTGCAAGTAGATAAATAGGTACCGCTTCGACGGGAAGGTAAATGGTGTTTCTGTGCGCTGCTTTGGTTCGCCAGAAGCGGCTTAGTCATGCTGGCCACATGACCCGGAGGCTGTACGCTGGCTCCCTCAGCCAATAAAGCGAGATGCGCGCCACAACCCCAGAGTCGTCCGCGACTGGACCTAATGGTCAGGGGTCCCTTTGCCTTTACCTATGATTAACCTTAATCATGGCAAAACCTTATCGAGGCCTAAGAGGTGGTGTTTACAGGCACAATTTAGAGGAAAATGATCATACCTCGTCTGTGAGATTGTCTATTCGGTATAAATTAGGATGCATCATAAGCATGAGGTACACTAAAGGTTGGTTCTTCACTTGACACATGGTAAAGATGCGATCATCTAAACGTATGTTTGTCCCGGTTTGGAATGCTTTCTGTGAATAAAAGTAGCATCATTACCATATCCATTACTCAGGAAGTAAACATACACAGCATAGCATACAATTTATATCCCATTTGGTAATATATGTAAGAGAGGAAGATGAAAGGACATCTCAGAGGGCAACACACCAAGAGCTATGGGTTGCAGGCAAGCCTGCACTCAGAATCTAGAGTTTAAGCATATCTAACAAAATTGTTCTGTTAGCACCTGTGCAATGAGACTTTTCCTCCTCACAC